GTTAGGCCTTGTGCCTACGCTTCCACACTTGCTGTAGTTTCTGCTTGTACTGTGATCTATATATATATACCTGCATGCTGGCTCTTGCTAGGTAGCCATCACTGTACTGTCATTGCTGCATATATATCTCTGCATGTGAACTGGCCTTGTGGCCATTTGCTTGTGCTCAGAATGTGTGGTGACGTTGTGATCCACCCTGAGCTTGTTTTGCTTCTCTTGACTGGTCTTGTGACCCGTTGCTCTCCCCCACTTTGCCTGTGGGGGTGTGTCAAATGATATATATGTGTGATATATATTGGTAGGCTGTAGTGGGGTAGATGTTATAGGGGATAACACTTTAGGGTTGTGTGTCATGTACCAAACTCTCTCGTCAATCGAACCACCTTGCCTAGCTATCTCGACAGCAACAACAGCACAACACTCGCAGGAGTGGCCTACCTGAGAGAATAACGCGGCACAGTACGTTCTCGACCGACTTCGACTCTCCCCTAGTCGTGCCACGTCTCGCACGGCGGCAGGAACGGAGGCGTCGGAGGGTGGCAGGAAGAGACAGGCAGAGGGAGCCGCCGGTGGGGGGCCGGTGGGACCTGCAGGCGGGCGGACAGCAGGGGAGCCGGGAAAGAGGCCGACAGCCGCCGGAGGGGACGAGGCAGCAGCGGCTGCAGAGCGGAGGGCAGCAGCAGCTGCAGAGCGGAGGGCAGCAGCAACTGCAGAGCGGAGGGCAGCAGCAGCTGCAGAGCGGAGGGCAGCAGCAGCTGCAGAACATAGGGCAGCAGCAACTGCTGCAGAGCGGAGGGCAGCAGCAGCTGCAGAGCGGAGGGCAGCAGCAGCTGCAGAGCGGAGGGCAGCAGCAACTGCAGAGCGGAGGGCAGCAGCAGCTGCAGAGCGGAGGGCAGCAGCAACTGCAGAGCGGAGGGCAGCAGGAGCTGCAGAGCGGAGGGCAGCAGCAGCTGCAGAGCGGAGGGCAGCAGCAGCTGCAGAGCGGAGGGCAGCAGCAACTGCAGAGCGGAGGGCAGCAGCAGCTGCAGAGCGGAGGGCAGCAGCAACTGCAGAGCGGAGGGCAGCAGCAGCTGCAGAGCGGAGGGCAGCAGCAGCTGCAGAGCGGAGGGCAGCAGCAACTGCTGCAGAGCGGAGGGCAGCATGAGCTGCAGGGCGGAGGGCAGCAGCAGCTGCAGAGCGGAGGGCAGCAGCAGCTGCAGAGCGGAGGGCAGCAGCAACTGCAGAGCGGAGGGCAGCAGCAGCTGCAGAGCGGAGGGCAGCAGCAACTGCAGAGCGGAGGGCAGCAGCGGCTGCAGAGCGGAGGGCAGCAGCAGCTGCAGAGCGGAGGGCAGCAGCCCAATCAGAGCGGAGGGCAGCAGCAGTCGCGATGCGGAAGGCAGCAGCAGCTGCAAAGCAGGGCACAGCAGGAGTTGCAGAGGGGAGGGCAGCAGGAGCTGCAGAGTGGAGGGCAGCAGGAGCTGCAGAGTGGAGGGCATCAGGAGCTGCAGAGTGGAGGGCAGCAGGAGTCATTGTGGGTGAGCGATGTGGAGATGGTGGACGAGGCAGGCACCGACGAGCTGGAATCAAGCCCCATGGAGGGGGAGAATGCCAACCCCGACTCCTCGGACCAAGCAGGAAGGCCCCGAGTGCGGGGGCGGGGCCGGAGGCGACGGGCAACCAAACTGCTACAGCTGCAGAGGGGAGGGCAGCAGCGGCTGCAAAGCGGAGGGCAGCAGCAGCTGCAGAGCGGAGGGCAGCAGCAGCTGCAGAGCGGAGGGCAGCAGGAGCTGCAGAGCGGAGGGCAGCAAGAGCTAGCGAGTGGAGGGCAGCGGCAGCTGCAGAGAGGAGAGCAGCAGGTGCTGCAGAGCGGAGGGCAGCAGGAGCTGCAGAGCGGAGGGCAGCGGCAGCTGCAGAGCGGAGGGCAGCAGCAGCTGCAGAGCGGAGGGCAGCAGCGGCTGGAAAGAGGAGAGCAGCAGGTGCTGCAGAGCGGAGGGCAGCAGGAGCTGCAGAGCCGAGAGCAGCAAGAGCTGCGGAGTGGAGGGCAGCGGCAGCTGCAGAGAGGAGAGCAGCAGGCGCTGTAGAGTGGAGGGCAGCAGGAGCTGCAGAGCGGAGGGCAGCGGCAGCTGCAGAGCGGAGGGCAGCGGGGGCTGCAGAGCGGAGGACAGCAGCAGCTGCAGAGCGGAGGGCAGCAGCAGCTGCAGAGCCGGGAGCAGCAGGAGCTGCCGAGTGGAGGGCAGCGGCAGCTGCAAAGAGAAGAGCAGCAGGTGCTGCAGAGTGGAGGGCAGCAGGAGCTGCAGAGCCGAGAGCAGCAAGAGCTGCGGAGTGGAGAGCAGCAGGAGCTATCTCGTGGAGGGCAGCGGGAGCCGCAGAGTGGGGGGCAGCAGACGCTGCAGAGTGGAGGGCAGCAGGAGCTGCAGAGCGGAGGGCAGCAAGACCCACTGGGGGAGTTGGATGTGGAGATGGAGGACGAGGCATACACCGACGAGCTGGAATCAAGCCCCATGGAGGGGGAGAATGCCAACCCCGACTCCTCGGACCAAGCAGGAAGGCCCCGAGTGCGGGGGCGGGGCCGGAGGCGACGGGCAACCAAACTGCTACAGCTGCAGAGGGGAGGGCAGCAGCAGCTGCAGAGCAGAGGGCAGCAGCCCAATCAGAGCGGAGGGCAGCAGCAGCTGCAGAGCGGAGGGCAGCAGCAGCTGCAGAGCGGAGGGCAGCAGCAGCTGCAGAGCGGAGGGCAGCAGCAGCTGCAGAGCGGAGGGCTTCAGCCCAATCAGAGCGGAGGGCAACAGCTGCTGCAGAGCGGAGGGCAGCAGCAGCTGCAGAGCGGAGGGCAGCAGCAGCTGCAGAGCGGAGGGCTTCAGCCCAATCAGAGCGGAGGGCAGCAGGAGCGGCAGAGCGGAGGGCAGCAGCAGCTGCAGAGCGGAGGGCAGCAGCAGCTGCAGAGCGGAGGGCAGCGGCAGCTGCAGAGCGGAGGGCAGCAGCCCAATCAGAGCGGAGGGCAGCAGCAGCTGCAGAGCGGAGGGCAGCAGGAGCTGCAGAGCGGAGGGCAGCAGCAGCTGCAGAGCGGAGGGCAGCAGGAGCTGCAGAGCGGAGGGCAGCAGCAGCTGCAGAGCGGAGGGCAGCAGCAGCTGCAGAGCGGAGGGCAGTGGCAGCCGCAGAGCGGAGGGCAGCAGCAGCTGCAGAGCGGAGGGCAGCAGCAGCTGCAGAGCGGAGGGCTTCAGCCCAATCAGAGCGGAGGGCAACAGCTGCTGCAGAGCGGAGGGCAGCAGCAGCTGCAGAGCGGAGGGCAGCGGCAGCTGCAGAGCGGAGGGCTTCAGCCCAATCAGAGCGGAGGGCAGCAGGAGCGGCAGAGCGGAGGGCAGCAGCAGCTGCAGAGCGGAGGGCAGCAGCAACTGCTGCAGAGCGGAGGGCAGCAGCAGCTGCAGAGCGGAGGGCAGCAGCAGCTGCAGAGCGGAGGGCAGCAGCAGCTGCAGAGCGGAGGGCAGCAGCAGCTGCAGAGCGGAGGGCAGCAGCAGCTGCAGAGCGGAGGGCTTCGGCCCAATCAGAGCGGAGGGCAGCAGCAGCTGCAGAGCGGAGGGCAGCAGCAGCTGCAGAGCGGAGGGCTTCGGCCCAATCAGAGCGGAGGGCAGCAGCAGCTGCAGAGCGGAGGGCAGCAGCAGCTGCAGAGCGGAGGGCTTCAGCCCAATCAGAGCGGAGGGCAGCAGGAGCTGCAGAGCGGAGGGCAGCAGCAGCTGCAGAGCGGAGGGCAGCAGCAGCTGCAGAGCGGAGGGCAGCAGCAGCTGCAGAGCGGAGGGCAGCAGCCCAATCAGAGCGGAGGGCAGCAGCAGCTGCAGAGCGGAGGGCAGCAGGAGCTGCAGAGCGGAGGGCAGCAGCAGCTGCAGAGCGGAGGGCAGCAGGAGCTGCAGAGCGGAGGGCAGCAGCAGCTGCAGAGCGGAGGGCAGCAGCAGCTGCAGAGCGGAGGGCAGCAGCAGCTGCAGAGCGGAGGGCTTCAGCCCGATCAGAGCGGAGGGCAGCAGCTGCTGCAGAGCGGAGGGCAGCAGCAGCTGCAGAGCGGAGGGCAGCAGCAGCTGCAGAGCGGAGGGCTTCAGCCCAATCAGAGCGAAGGGCAGCAGGAGCTGCAGAGCGGAGGGCAGCAGCAGCTGCAGAGCGGAGGGCAGCAGCAGCTGCAGAGCGGAGGGCAGCAGCAGCTGCAGAGCGGAGGGCAGCAGCCCAATCAGAGCGGAGGGCAGCAGCAGCTGCGGAGCGAAGGGCAGCAGGAGTTGCAGAGCAGAGGGCAGCAGCAGCTGCAGAGCGGAGGGCAGCAGGAGCTGCAGAGCGGAGGGCAGCAGCAGCTGCAGAGCGGAGGGCAGCAGCAGCTGCAGAGCGGAGGGCAGTGGCAGCCGCAGAGCGGAGGGCAGCAGCAGCTGCAGAGCGGAGGGCAGCAGCAACTGCTGCAGAGCGGAGGGCAGCAACAGCTGCAGAGCGGAGGGCAGCAGCGGCTGCAGAGCGGAGGGCAGCAGCAACTGCAGAGCGGAGGGCAGCAGCAGCTGCAGAGCGGAGGGCAGCAGCAACTGCTGCAGAGCGGAGGGCAGCAGCGGCTGCAGAGCGGAGGGCAGCAGCAACTGCAGAGCGGAGGGCAGCAGCAGCTGCAGAGCGGAGGGCAGCAGGAGCTGCCCGATTGGCTGCAGCTTGCGAGGCTGTCAGAGGGGGAGATGGAGATGGAGTCGAGCAGACAGGTCTTGCCGGCGTGTTCGAGTGGAGAGGAGCACCCAGACCCTATGCTGACACCCCCGCCCCGCATCCCGTGCGAAACCTGTTATCGCACTTTCACGGAGAGAGGAAAGGCCACGCGTCATATGTCGGCCTGCAGGGCAGCGGACGCCCAGCGTCGTGCGCAGGCGCTTGGGTTGACCCGCGACGTCACAGACGACTCGGACAGCGAACCTCCGCCACCACGGGATATCAGTGAAGAGGTGTGGGCCGCAGTTCCCACATGGGACTGGGAGTCGTTTTTCGGGATCGAATTGGTGCCAGGGAGAATCATGCGTCGCATCCCACAGCGCGCAAGACTGGGGGTGCTTGATGCACTAGCTTGTATCCTGAAGCGGCTCCAGACAAAGGCAGCAGACGAGGCAGCATCCTTGGTGTTTTTGGCCTTCCCTCGTCTTTTCTTGGGGATTCCAACCGGGCAAGGCCAGGGGCAGAGGGCGGCAATTAGGGAGCGGTTGGAGAAGTTTTGGGCTGGGGAGTGGCAGCAGCTGTTTGAGTTGGCGGTGGCGGCGATGCAACCTGCGGCTCGCCCCTTGTCCTTCACCCCACCCGAGCATGATCCTGATGCAGTGCGCCTGTCCCGCTGCCGTACAAGGTGCAAAGTGGGAGAATGGAGTCGGGGTTTGGCGTGCCTTACGGCTGGTAGCATCGCTCAGCCCTCTCAGCACATGGTGGACATGCTACAAGCGAAACACCCATCGTGCGAGACCGCCATTCCTGGGTGGGTGCAGGAGGAGACAGTCGAGCCTTCCCTTATCCCACAGCTCTCAGTGGAGGTACTCGGCCAGGCGATCCACTCAGCGGCTAGGGCGTCCGCACCAGGACCGTCGGGGTGGGTGACGGAGCACCTGCGCGACACTTTTCTCTCTGAGCCCGCGTACCTGCCCCATCTGCTAGAGGCCTTCACCCAGTGGACCAAGGGAGAGGTAGCGGAGCGCGTGCGACCCTGGCTCGCTACGTCCAACTTGGTGGGCCAGTCGAAGCTGAATGGTGACGTTCGCCCGGTGGCTATAGGCGAGGTGCTCCCCCGCATACTATCTCGGGCCATATGCATCGTGCTTCGTCCGAAGATGATGTCGCACTTTGCTCCGTGTAACCAGTTTGGAGTCGGGTCCAGGTCGGGAGTGGAAGTCCTCGCACATGCCTTTCGCTCCGCCATCTCTACTCACCCGTCGTGGTGCGCGCTGCAAATTGACGTGGCGAACGCTTTCAACTCCTTCCATCGGCGGGAAATGTTTGAAGGTCTTCGACAGTCGCCTTTCAAGGGATTGATTCCATTTCTGCGTGTCTTCTATGGCACTCCTAGCGACCTCTATCTCCGTGCGGGCCCTTTTGTCGAAGCTTTGGCCTCCGAGCGGGGCTCGAGGCAAGGGGACCCATTGGGTCCGTTTCTGTTCGCGTTCACACAGCAGCTGGTTATGGAACCAACCAAAACAGAGTTCGCCGACTTACTCTTCCTCAGCTATGCTGATGATACGTATATCCTGGGGCCTAGGGAGCGGGTTTTAGCAGCCTATGAGGCCTTGCGGGAACGATTGGACGGGCTGGGTTTGGAGGTGCAGCCGCATAAGTGTAAGCTATGGGAGCGAGGGAGGAACCAGGATGGGGAGGAGAGAAATGAGACCGTCCCGCCCGGCATGCAGCAGACATGGACGGGGCTCACTGTGGTAGGGGTCCCCATTGGGGAGGAGGACTGGGAGGTGGCTAGCCTGCGTCGCCGGCTGACGGAGCTGCATGCACCTGTCCCTTGGCTTCCTCTGCTTGACCACCCACAGATTGCGTCCCATTTGCTGGCGATCGCAGTGTCAGCGCGCCCGATTTACCTCACACGGACGATGCCTCCACGACCTGAGGTTGTGGAGGCTTTTCGGGACTGGGACATGAAGCTAGAAGATTGTTTCGAGGAGCTGTTTCCAGATAGTACCTGGGATCACGATTCGGGGAAGTCTCAGATGGCTCGTTTACAGCTGCACCTTCCTGCCAGACTCGGGGGGTTCGGCATTCGATCTGCGGCTGACCTTAGTCCTCTGTCATATGCAAATGGCTGGTGCCAAGCAGTGAGCGATGTGGCTCGGTTGGGGGTGGCAGGTGAGGAGCGGATGTTTGAGGAGTTTTTCCGCACGCCCGAGGCTACGACCTTGTTGGACCCCTGGTTTGCGAGAGCAGTGGATCTGCTTCCACAGTCGGTCCGGCAGGAGATGCCACCCCTTGCCTTGTGCACTGCTGACCCCCCTGTGCTGCTCTTCTCCACACAACACCGTCGCCTAGCGGTTGAGAGCCTTCAATCTCTTCGAGGCATGGCCCACAACGATGCCACCTTGGCCCGTTTGACATCCCTTCAGGGCCCGGGGGCTGGGGCGTGGGTTTCTGCCGTTCCTTCGCACGAGGAGGCTACCTTCACCGCAGCCGAGTGGAGCATCTGCGCGTCCATGCGCTTAGGCCTCCCTATACAGCAGCTGATAGTGGCCGGCAAGTGCGCGTGTGGGTTTGAGTTTGCTGATCCCTCTGACCCGCATCATGCCCTTCGCTGCAAGTATCAGTATGCACCTTCTCGTGTTCACGATGCGGTTAAGTTTGTGGTGGCGAAGATAGCTAAGGGTGCGGGTGGGATTGTGACCATGGAAGACGACACGTTGCTCCCAGGGAAGAGGGTTGATGTGGCGGTTCGGAAACTGAGGGAGGGGGAGGAGCACGCGCTGGAGGTTAGTGTGGTAGACCCTATCTCGCTATCCGCGCAGCACCATGGACAGATTGGGCGCAAGGTGGGTTTTGCCGCGAGAGAGAGAGAAAAGCGGAAGGCGGCGGACTACAAATCGCTTCTACAGCGGCATAGGGGAGTGCAGTTCACACCTCTCATTGCTGAGACATGGGGATGCTTGGGGGGGAGTTTTGGACGGTGGCTTAAGAAGCAGGGTGACGCGCAGATCGAGATAGCAAAGACGAAAGGGGCGGCGCGAGCTACGGGAAAGGGTTTCTCGGCTTATTTGCTCGGTTCACTCAAAGCGGCCGTGGGTGTGGCTTTGCAGCGGGCTCAGGCGCGTGTGATCTTGTTACGCGCGGCGTCGATGATGAGAGGTCCAGAGGCTGTTTGGGTGGAGCGGGAGGATGTTGAGGAGGAGATGGGATGGGATGCTCCGTGGGCGGATGCACCCTACTTGGTAGACATGCGGGTTTAGAGGGTGGGTTTAGGGGGGGTTTTGGTTTGATGGGAGTGCAGTTGGGGTGTTTTGATGGGATGGTTAGATGGGGTTTCAATTGTGTGTGCTATTGGGGTTTTCTTGAGGTTGTGTCTTGTGTTTTTTCTTCCCTTTTCCCGGTTTTTCTTCCTCCTACCGTTTTCTCCCTATTCCCTTCCTTCTTTCTTCTTCTTTCCTTTTTTCTCCTCACGTTATTCCTCCTTTCCTCTTCTCTTCCTGTTCCCACTCAATTTCCTTGCGTAATTGTGCTACATTGTGAGTCTCTATATATCTAGTATCATTAGGTGCTTAGATTGTCCCCATAATTTGTTCGATATGAACGCTCACTAATCACTGTAAAGAAGTTGGCTAGTCTTGTAGAGTAGCTTACAAGATCGACACCCGACCCCGACCAGCAGCAAAGAGAACTTGAGTTTTATGTAAGTACCGAAAATCTGCACCCGACACGAAGAAACTTGGGGAGGGACCTCAAAATGCTCCAGCTTGGTACATACAGACCTACAAGCAGCTACATTCCTGGGCTGTCCCAGTCTGTACAGTAGCGTTCTTTTGTAGGTCAGGTCAGCACCACCACCGCCTCACCTCACCGCCCCCACACGTGTCAAGCAGGTCGGCGATGGGTCAACGAGATTTGGCTTCTTCGCCATTTGAGGAAAGCACAAGCAGGCCGTTCGCAGCGACTTCTCGCCTCGCCGCATTTCGCTCTAAACGGGCATCTCGCTGCATTTCGCGCCATTTTTCTCTGTCTGCTCCGCGCGGATCCGCTCCGCTCGCTGGTGCAATTTGCCGCGACAGAGAGTCTGCATCCCCCTCCCCTCCGTTGATTCTAGTGCTTCCAGGTGCCCAGTGTCCCACCTCGCTTGGCGCCTGAGCACAAACATATTGTGCCGTACATCTCGGGGACAGCACATCACGACAATGTTAGGGGCAGCAGCACATCAACTTGCGCGGCAGCTTACAGCCTGCCAGTGATTCGTCGAACTTCCAAAAACCTACGTCAGTTTCTGGCATTCTCCGTTTCCGTCGCGTCCAGAGCATCCCCGCTCATCGCTGTGCCATCCCTCTTTCGCCCCACGTGAAGTCTCGAAATGGTTGTGTGTAGACTGTTTGTCGGGGATATTTAGTGCGGGATCTTTAGCGCGGCATTCCGTTGATGCCGCTCCCTAGCCTCCTTCCTCGCTGAAACCGCTACCGTCATCTTTCCGCTAGCCCTTCTGATGGCTCCCCGGCGGCATCATGATTGTCACAAGCAGCAAATAAAGCTCGATTCAGAAAAGGCGCGCTTCGGAGCGGAGACCGACGAGGGTGCCGAGGGAAGATTTTTTTCTTGGCGGCTGACGGGGCTAGTAGCCTCGTATGGCCGCGGCTTCGTCCGCCCAGGCGCGAAGCGATTGCTCTGGTGGCTGTTGCTGAGCGCCATCGCTGTTTTAACTGCGAGAATATTATTGCATCGCGGAAAAGGCGAGTGCAGGTTTTGGAGGCCGTCGGTTTTTTTTTTTATCAACAAAAATTCACACACAAAAAGTCCCAAGCAGAAAGTCACATACGTCACTTCCGGGTCTCCGCGATGCGTGTAGTAAAGACGGATAGCCTCTTCCTTTCTTTCCGCTTTCTCCATTTCCCGCCTCCTCCGCCGGGAGCTCAGGCTCCTGTGATCCATTTCACTCAGTCAGACCGTTCATTGGATGCACTGAATGGACTGAATGGCTGAACTGGCAGTCTGGCTGAATTCGTTTCGCGTTTCACATTGGTGGTGATCGTATTGGGTGTTTGAATAACGTTGCAGCATACATGATTCAGTCACATGATGTTGTCCGGCGCTTTTAGGGACGGATTGGGACAGACTGAATCTATACGGTATAGATCGTCGTCTGTCCCTTCCCTCCGCCCATTTCAACCTTTCCTTCACCTCTTCCCCACTCATTCCCCTCCATCGTCCCTGTATCCGCACCTGTCCTCCCCTCCCCAGCGCCAGAAGCAGCCGCAGCAGTGGAATCCGCAGCTGCAAAAGCAGTGGTGACGGCAGAAGCAGCAGCAGGAGAAGCATCGGAGCAGTACAGGCGCACCAACAGCAGCCATCCACCACAGCACCTCATTCCACAGCAGGGTGGGGTGGACATCTCCTATACAGTGGAGTTCGGTTACGAGTTAATGACAGTCCTCCCAGTCGCCTACTGGCACCATTTGAATGGCTCCCTCCGCTCTACCACCTCCTGCGGGCGGGATTCCTTGTCTATGCTCTACTACTTCAGCCCCAACCACACAAACAATGCCACGTGTCGTCGACTCAACAGGGCTTTCAATGATGTGATGCGTCACTTCCTTGGAGGTCACCCCCCGCCAGCCTGGCAGCCGCCCCCTCTTGCCAGCCACTTCAGGAAGCTTCCCTCCGTGTGGCCAGAGATTTCCGCGGGATCCCAGTTGGTGGTTGTTGGGAATAAATACGAGCGGGAATACAAACACGCACCGTCAAATTTTATCCATTTACCAACGCTTCTGAGAATCGTCAACTCGTTTTTGAAGGCTGGATTCTATGTGGTGTACAACAACCCGGGGATGTCTCTGGAGCTTGACACCTGGCAGGTGGTTAGTGATGACTTGGGAGATTATGATGCGCTGCAGAAGCGGTTCGAGAAGCATCCGCGGTTCCAGATCATGCAGAACCTCCAGAAGCGGTGGCCAGAATTGAGTTTCAACGATGTGCAGTTCAGGATGCTGGCTCGGAGTGTGTGTTTTGTGAGTGTGCAGGGAGGGGGGTGCACACTCCAGAGCTACTTTGGCGGCAGCCATATCGTCTATTTTCGTGAGGGGCATGAGTTGGAAATCGGGGCGTATGATTGGCTTTACCCTCTGCTGTCTGGAGTGAAGATGACGGTGGTAACCAGCTATAAGGGGCTGGTGAGGAAGGTGCACGGGATGATCAAGAAGAACAAATGCTATGCACAACTGCCCTAGACATGTGCGGTGCATAGAATGTCAACAGTACCTTAAAGGAAATGTGGGTTGGGGGATGGGAATAGACTGGACTTTGCTACTGTACGGGGAATAATAAGACCATAGTTGTCCCTGTAAACTAACACCTTCTTGAACTAATTCTGTGCGTGCTCAATACACCAAGGGTTTTATCGGGGAAGCCCGGCGTTGTCACTCGAGGTCGCTAAACGTGGAGACTGCCGCGGTTTTCCACGTGGCAGGTTTCTCGCCAGACAAACTCCATCAGTCACCTTCTTTGTCCAAATCCCCGTGTGCACCCCCTCAACCTTGTTCCCCCCCCAACCTTGTTCCCCCAACCATGTTCCCCCTCCTGCGCCTAATCGCGGCCATACGATATCTGCAGTCTAGACACAGCACCCACTTCCGCTCCCCCGCATTCTTTCCGCGTCCCCCAGCAGTTCCTTCTCCGCGAACCCAAATTTCCAGGTCATCCGTACAGCTGTGCGGAACTTTCAGGGGTTGCGCGAAAACGGTATAGGCGGTTCGCACACATTTGTTGTGATCACCTCGCGTTCCGCCTCAACCTCAACTCAACCAGCTTCACACTTTCACACCTTGTTCAAATTACTTAAAGCCCGCGGCCCAAATTGCGGGCCGCGCGGGTCAAGTTTTTAAAACTTGATGAAGTGCCCTGTTCAAGCTTTGAAAGGTACCGCAGGTGCAATTTGGGACTTCCGAAGTCCAACACACCCACTAGGGAGAAGTTGAGGGGCCTTTGGGTTTGGCGAAAAAAAACGAATGTGACGAAATAAAAAACACTCTCCAAAACCCAAACCTCAAAAACTCCCTCTCGTCATCTTTTTAAAACTTGTGCAATTTGGGCCGCCGGCTTTAATCTGCTGCTCTCTCCCCAATCAAACACATCGGTTTACAGCAATAGTGAACCCAGGGTTACAATAGTAGTCAACCCGCGGTTTTATAGTAGTAGTCAACCCGCAATTACTTTTTTTTTCAACCCGCGGGCACAGGGCTGTTCCTTTGTCCTCCCCAGCCGCAGCTTGCGCTATCCTTTTCTACTGTCGCGAGCTCAATTCGGAATTGCCACGTGTCAATGGTGCATCTAACGGAGCTGCGGATCGTGCTGCCCTTCACATGTGCGTGTCAAGGGGCCCCTGCGGGGGTGGCTCGGCGGGGAAAATGCGGAGGCCGCGTGGATATGCGGAAAACGATAGGCGCGGAAGCGCGTCTAGGAGTAGACTGAATAAGCAGCTGGTTGTTTTTCCGCCTCGCCTCCCCTCGCGCTCCGCCATGTCCGCCACTCCCTTGCCCTTCCCCTGGTTCTTCCCCCCGCTGATTTTGTCAATACTTTCTCCTTGCACGTTCCTGGCATGACATGGCATTGCATCGCATGGCATGGTATTGAATGACATGGTATTGCATGGAATATCATGGTACGAAATGGCATGGCATGGCATGGCACGAAATGGCACGACATGGCATGGAATGACATTTCACGGGGCCGGAACGGGACGCCACGGGGCGCGCGCATGGGGGGGAGGAGGGGAGAGTGCGGGAGGCGCAGTGGACGAGTTCAAGCGCGGGCAGCGCTATGCCAACTGGCGCACCAACGAGGATGCCACGGAACCCGGCCAGGGCGGCACTGTCAGTCGCCCCCATCCCCCCCCTCTCTTCCATTCCTCCCCTTCCCCCCCTCACTTCCATTCCTCATCTCGCTGCTGTCTCTTCCATTCGTTCCCTCCCTGCCCTCTCCAGTTCTCACGATTGCTCCTGACTCGCTCCCTTCCTCCCTTCCTCCCTTCCTCCCTTCCTCCCTTCCTCCCTTCCTCCCTTCCTCCCTTCCTCCCTTCCTCCCTTCCTCCAACCTCCTTTCCCCCCACCACCCCTACTCACCCCAACCTTCTTCTCCGTCTCTCACACGGTTTTCACAAGAGAGGCTTTGCAGCAACAACCTCCCCCCATCTCCTCATCGTTGCTCCCGCAGCTGCTGTCATCAACGCCATACTACCACGAGCAGCATGGGGAGGGCCTCTTCACGCACAGCCTCTTTCGCCTGGGCAACCGCCTCCCTGACTGGGTGGGTACCCACCGCACCGTGCACTCAATACCACTCTCTCACTCCCCCTAGATACCCATCTTGCTGATTGAACGTGCTTGCTAGGAGGCACAGCGGCTGCGTGACGACGATTTGATCCAAAGGTTATATTTTTCGTTCATGTGTTGTGCTGTGCGCATGTGCTGTGTTCCCTTCACCGCATTTGCTGTGTGCATGCATGCATGCGTGAACGCATGTGTGCATGCATGCATGTGCCGTGTGCATGCATGCGTGAGCGCATGTGTGCGTTCAGGTGAACCGGCTGGTGCCGCCATCAGCGCTGGTGGTGGATGAGAAGAGCTGGATCAACTACCCCTACTTCCGCACCATCATCACCATCCCCTTCTTTAGCAAGGTGCGTGCATGCCAGCCATGCATGTGCTGCCCCTATCACCCTCATCACCATTATCACCATCATCATCACCATCATCATCACCATCATCATCACCATCCCCTTCTTTAGCAAGGTGCGTGTCGGCATTAACCTCCCATCCCCTCTCACCCTCATGTCCATCATCGCCACCAGAACCCAACTCACCATCCCCCCCCCAATCCCTCTCTCCCCAGCTACGCATGGAGATAGAGACCATTCACCTGCAGGACGGCGCCTCTCACCCCAACGTCCTGGAGCTCTCTTGTTCCCCCTCCTCTCACCCTTTTCAACGCCTACTCTCCCCCCCTCTTTCTCCCCTCCCCAGCTACGCATGGAGATCGAGACCATTCACCTGCAGGACGACGGCTCGCACCCCAACGCCTTGGGATTGTCGGCAGCAGAGCTGGCGTTACGGCGGGTGGACTGGATGGACATTGGCAGTGAGCCGGTGGCCAAACGGGATTATAAGGCGGAGCTGGACCCACTGCTGGTCAAGTCAAAGCTCACAGGGTGAGTCCAATGCAATTGAATGCCAGTCCCTCCCTCCCTCGCTCTCCCTCTCCTTCCTCGCCCTCCCCACCGGTCGAGGGCCCTTATCCCTTGCATTGAGATGCTTTTCGAGGCGCCTGAAAAAGGCCCCTTATCCCTTTCCCTATCCCTTTCCCTCCCATCTCCCACGCTCTATTCACCAGGCGAGGTCCCCTAACCCCGGGGTGGCAGAAGAGGGAGCGACCACTCATGTGTGCGTACAAGGTGGTGCGGGCGCTGGCAGAGTACTGGGGCGTGCAGAACAGCGCTGAGAAGCTGCTCATCAACTCGCTCAGGCAGGTGAGTGGGTGTGGATGGGTGTGGGTGGGTGTGGATGGGTGTGGATGGGTGTGGGTGGGTGTGGGTGGGTGTGGATGGGTGTGGGTGGGTGTGGGTGGGTGTGGGTGGGTGTGGGTGCCGCTGCTTCATCCCATCACAGGCAGGGGAGTACTGGGGTGTGCAGAACAGCGCACAGCGGCTGCTCATTAACTCGCCCAGGCAGGTGCGTGGGTGGTGTGGTGGGTGGTGTGGTGGGTGGTGTGGTGGGTGGTGTGGTGGGTGGTGTGGTGGGTGGTGTGGTGGGCTTGAGTGTGAATTTGGGTGTGGGTGTGGGCTTGGGCGTGGGTGTGGCTGTGGCTGTGGGAATGCATGGCACGGGTAGGCGCTGCTGCATCATGCCATCACAGGAAGAGTACTGGGGTGTGCTATACGATGCCATGCCCCACCCACTGTTCCCCCCACTACCCCTCCCGCCCCTTCCTCCCCACCCCACCAGATATTCCTGCTAGCGCACAAGAACTGCTTCGGCCTGTTGGACCACCGGCGTGCCGTGCCATGCCCACTGCTTCCCCCTGACCCTTCCTTCCCTTCCCCCACTTCCTCTCCCCATCCCACCAGATATTCCTTCTAGCGCACAAGAACTGCTTCGGGCTCTTAGACCAATGGTACCCGCTCTCCCTCGAGCAGGTTCGCCCCATCCCTCTCCCACACGCTCTCTCTTCCCCACACGCTCTCTCTTCCCCACACGCTCTCTCTTCCCCACACGCTTTCTCTTCCCCACACTCTTCCCCACACTCTTGCTTCCTCACCCTGTCTCCCCCTCACTCCTTGCACGCTGCTCGCTTCTTCCCCCCCCACTTTCGTCCACTCGCATTCTTAGAACATCTTTTCCGTTTTTTCTCCCCCTCCTCTCTATTTCTGCCCTTCCCCACACCGCCTTAAAATTATTGCCATCACAGACAAGCACAAGCCACATGTTCCAAAGCCCCACCCTCCTCCCCTTTCTTCCTCTCCTCTCCTCTCCCTCTCTCCCACCCCCCTCCCTTCTCTGCCTGCCCGCAGATCATTGCAATCACCGACAAGAACAAGCCACAAGTCCCCGTCCCAAAGCCCCTCCCTCCTCCCGAACCTGCTGCCGAGCCTGTTCCAAGACCTGCTGCCGAACCTGGAGCTCGTAGCAAGAGGGAGGGGATGATAGCGGGCAGTGTGGAAGAGGGGCGGAGGGATGGGCTGCTGACGAGAGGGAGTGAGAGTGAGAGAGGTGAGGGGGAGGAGACGGAGGATGAGTCAGAGGAGGAGGAATCTGAAGAGGAGGAGGAGTGGGATGATGAAGTGGTGTTCTACGAGGCGCAGGTGAGCGCTGCTGGGCTGGGACTGGTAACCTTCCTCTTCCATGAAGCTTTCTGAGAAGCACACTGGTGGACTTGTTACCCTGGCCACCCTTGCCACACAGGTGTTGTTCCTGGGAAGGTCTTACAACCCTGGCACAACACGACACATGCTCACACCCCTCTTTCCCCCCTTCCTCTCCCCCTCTTCCTCTCCCCCTCTTCCTCTCCCCCTCTTCCTCTCCCCCTCTTCCTCTCCCCTCTCCTGCATTGGTGTCTGTGTCCTGTTGTGTCTGCAGATGCAATGGGCAGCAGAGGAGGAACTGTACGGGGAGAAGATACTTTCAGGTGAAATCCTGACCTCAGGTGATCTCCACATGTCAGGTGAAATATCAGGGTGAGATTGTGTGGTGTCGCCCATACACCAACCCCCGCTCCCCTCTCCACCGCTTTTGCCCTTCTGCTGTGTCCCGCTGCTGTACCCCATTTGCTCAGTCTTCTATTCTATACCCTCCTCTCACCCCTCCTTTCCCACCTCCCTCCTCTCACCCCTCCTTTCCCACCTCCCTCCTCTCACCCCTCCTTTCCCACCTCCCTCCTCTCACCCCTCCTTTCCCACCTCCCTCCTCTCACCCTTCCTTTCCCACCTCCCTCCTTTCTTTTGAGAATTCTCAAAACTCGCATCATCCCGCTGCTGTACCCCATGTTCTCAGTCTTCTATTCTATGCCCTCATCTCACCCTTCCTATTTTTGAGGCGCCTATAAAATCATCTCGCCCCTCCTTTCCCACCTCCCTCCTCTCACCCCTCCTTTCCCACCTCCCTCCTCTCACCCCTCCTTTCCCACCTCCCTCCTCTCACCCCTCCTTTCCCACCTCCCTCCCTTCTTCAACTCTATCCCCCTTCCATCTCCTCTCCCTTCCCTCCCCGTTCTCTCCCCCCCATGCAGACCTGGGCCATCCGCTCTTTCTCTGCTTGGAGCAACCTCCGCCCCTCTGCCCCCTCTGCTGTGCGCGCACACAGAAGCAGGGCGGGGGAGAGAGGTCAGCGGAAGCAGGCAGGGCAGCGCTGCTGCCGCGGCAGGAGTCTGCACCGGCTGTGTTCTGTGTGTCGTGTGGCGAGTTCTTCTGCCCCCGCTGCTTCCATGAGGTGAGGTTTGTGGGAGGCACAGAGATGGCTTGAGAGGCGTCTCAAGGTCGCCCTGAGTCTTGTCAGCTGTGTTCTGTGTGTCGTGTGGCGAGTTCTTCTGCCCCCGCTGCTTCCATGAGGTGAGGTGAGGTGGGAGGCACAGAGATGGCTTGAGAGGCGTCTCAAGGTCGCCCTGAGTCTTGTCAGCTGTGTTCTGTGTGTCGTGTGGCGAGTTCTTCTGCCCCCGCTGCTTCCATGAGGTGAGATGAGGTGGGAGGCACAGAGATGGCTTGAGAGGCGTCTCAAGGTCGCCCTGAGTCTTGTCAGCTGTGTTCTGTGTGTCGTGTGGCGAGTTCTTCTGCCACCGCTGCTTCCATGAGGTGAGGTTTGTGGGAGGCACAGAGATGGCTTGAGAGGCGTCTCAAGGTCGCCCTGAGTCTTGTCAGCTGTGTTCTGTGTATCGTGTGGCGAGTTTGCCCCCGCTGCTTTCACGAGGTAACGATGGGACAGGCATAGCGATGACTTGTGGAAAGTCTCAAATGTCGCCTGAGTGTGCACCTGCAGTGTCCTGCGCTGTGCTTCCTGTGTGGCGTTGCTTCGCCGCCTCTGCTGCCACGAGGCGAGGCTGGAGGCGACTTGATGATGGTTTCATGACCTTAAACCGTGCTCTTCCCCATGCCCCATGCCCCATGCCCCATGCCCCATGCCCCATGCCCCATGCCCCATGCCCCATGCCCCATGCCCCATGCCCCATGCCCCATGCCCCGCACGCCATTCCCAATGCCCCATACCCCCATGACAGTTCCACATCACGCCTCGCTTGCAGCAGCATGCCACACATCCCGTGGCTCCTTCCCAGAAGTTTCCTTCCGCCGCCACTGCTGCTGACGCACAGAACGGCTACTCCTCTCCACTCAATCAGAGTCCACCACGTGGCATCAGCACAGACACCGTTGCTGCGCCCCTCACCACCACCAGTCACCGCACTGCACCCAGCAGCACCAGCACAAGCACAAGTAGCACCGAGGAGGACCACTCAAACAGTGTGGGCAACGCTGGTGCTGCCTCTGGTATTGCTGCTGCTGCTGTTGCTAGTGCTGCCTCTGCTGCTACCTCTGCTGCTGCTTCTGCTGCCCGCACAGAGAGGAGAAGGCGAAAGGCCGAGGCGAAGGGACTGAGAGAGAGGGCGAGGGAGGGGGAGAGGGAGGAGAGAGAGGGGATGTTGCTAGCGGCTAGAGAGGTGAGGGCGGAGGAGAGGAGGGAGGAGAGGGAGAGGAGGGCGGAGGAGAGGAGGATCAAAGATGGGCGGGGGAAAGGTGGTCTGCTGGGGGGGATGGGGGGCGCAGGGGGAGCTGGCGCATGGGGGAGGGGGAGAAGGGGGAAGAGGGTTTGTCAGGGGAAGGGGGAAGGGGAGGGGGGTTTTGGGGCGGCGGAAGGGGTGAGAGGGGGGTTGGGGGGAGTGCAAGTGGGAGGTGGGTTGCAGGTAGGCGCAGCAGTGCTGCATTGAACAGCAGAGATTCTCAGGTGGATTTCCAGGTGGAGAATCAGGTTGTTTCAGCAGAGGTTGCAGAGGGCGCGGACGTGCAGAATCGGAGCTCATTCAACTTGTGGTTACATGGTAACCCTGATAAGCTTCTGGAAGGGGGTGATCCTCTTGCTGCTGCTACCACTGCTGCTGCTTCGGCTGCTGCTGATGGTACTGTTGCTTCTGCAGCAGCTCCTGCTGATGCCGCTGCCCCCAACGCTTCCAGTATCAGCACTGCCAGCACCCCCAGCACTCCCTGTGCTGCCAATGCCAATGATCCGAATGCGTGTGCCATTGCCAATGGAACCGCGGATTCTGTCGCCAGTGCAATAGAAGCGAGCCCTGTTTGGGAAGGTCAGGGCGGCATACAGGAGGTGCCAAGTGGGAGGCTGGTGAGGGAGCAGCTGAGGCAGCAGTATGAGGGGCAGGCAGTAGAGCTCTCAGTGGCTCTCGTTGACGCTATCCTCGCCGTCTATAAGGCCGCTGCCAACGCTGATGCTGCTGCTGCCGCTGTCAATGCTGCTGCTGGTGTTGCCAGTGCTGCGAATGCTGATCCCCCGGCCGCCTTGCTCGCAATCCCATCTCCCATACTGACCTCCTCGCTGTCCTCACCCTCGATCGCATCGCTGGGCTCCGGAGCATCTCAGCCGTCCATCTCTGCGCGGCACTCTGACTCCTCCCTCACCCACGTTGACTTCTCCGTGCCACCACAGCAAGAGCAGCAGAACCACCACCGGCCGCACCACCGCTACGAGCAGCAGCCATCCTCTCTGCCTGCAACCACCACTCGCTCCTTCTCCTGGAAGGGTCCCAGAGCCTTCTCTCGCTCCGCCTCCTCCCCTGCCATCTCCCACACCGCTGCTGCTCCTCCCACTCCTACTGCTGCCACGACCAATCCCCCCTGGTCCTCTGCTGCCAGTCTTCCTGCCAGCTATGCAAGGGCAGCAGCTGCTGTTGCTGGCGTGGCTCCTCTCCTGCCTGAGAATGATGCTCTCGTGGGTGACTCTGCACCTGTTGATGCTGCTGTGACTGTCACAAACAGGGAGAATTTGACTGTTATGAAGGAGGGAGATGTGACTGTAGCGGATGTGCAAGTGGTTCTGGATTATCTGGCATCGGAGGCAGGCACGGCTCATCGACACAAGCTCCAGCGGTTCAGGTGAGAAGCCAGGTGCCGTGCAACAGAGCCAGGTGCCATGCAGCAGAGTCAGGTAACTTCCATTAGAGTCAGGTGCCTTGCAACAGAGTCAGGTGCCTTGCAACAGAGTCAGGTGCCTCGCAACAGAGTCAGGTACCTTGCCGCATCCTAAGGTTCCATCCAGCAGATTCACGTGCCACGCAGAAGAGTCACTTACCTTGATCAATGGTCTCTCTCCCCACAAATGTGTATCTGCGTGAAGGCACACCCCTCAACCCCCCTCAACCCCCCTCAACCCCACCCCTTCCACCCCTTGTCTCAGGATCCTATCAGAGCTGCTGGCAGACGTGCAGCCACAGCAGCTGGGACACTCAGAGCGACTGGCCTTCTGGATCAACGTGTACAACGCGCTTGCCATGCATGTGAGAGAGGTCTTAGTGTGCGCATGCACGATGGGTTATACTGTGCGCATGCAGGATGGGTTATACTGTGCGCATGCAGGATGGGTTACACTGTGCGCATATGGTTCTGTGCATGTGAGGTGGGGCACTAGGAGCGGCTGGCCTTCTGCATCTATGTTTACTCTGCGCTTGCCATGCATGTGAGCGGAGTATTGTGCATGTGAGAGGGGTCAAGTGCATGTGAGAGGGGTCAAGTGCATGTGAGAGGGGTCAAGTGCATGTGAGAGGGGTCAAGTGCATGTGAGAGGGGTCAAGTGCATGTGAGAGGGGTCAAGTGCATGTGAGAGGGGTCATGTGCATGTGAGAGGGGTCAAGTGCATGTGAGAGGGGTCAAGTGCATGTGAGAGGGGTCATGTGCATGTGAGAGGGGTCAAGTGCATGTGAGAGGGGTCAAGTGCATGTGAGAGGGGTCAAGTGCATGTGAGAGGGGTCAAGTGCATGTGAGAGGGGTCATGTGCATGTGATAGGGGTCAAGTGCATGTGAGAGGGGTCATGTGCATGTGAGAGGGGTCATGTGCATAGGTTGCTGCCATGCACGCGAGAGGGTTAGGGTGTGATGTGCCTGTGTGCATATGCGACAAAGGTGCATGTGAGAGGGGGTAATGTGCATGTGCTGCCATGCATGCCGCACTGTCATTCCCGTGATCACGACACGAGCACCATAGAGCATATGCATCACTCATGCATCTGTCGTCATCCCTCCGTCTTTCTCTCCACCATCACTGCCTTGCCTTCAGTTGTCCCTCCTCCTCCTCCTCTTGCTTCCTTTGCCCTCACACACCTCCTCGCCTCCACCATCGCTGCCTGCCTCTTCTTTCCCCCTTTCCGCTCCTTTGGCCCCTTACCCCCAGGCGTACCTCGTGTATGGCCAGCCGCGCAGCCACTACAAGCGAGTCATGTTCATGCACAAGGTTCCCGTCCTCTCTCCCTCCCCTCACTCCCCTCCCCTCACTCCCCTCCTCTCATCCCCCTCCTCTCACTCCCCTCCACTCCCCTCCACTCCCCTCCCCTCACCTCACACCAATCCTTTCCTGCTGTGACACAGCCCCCTCGCTTCCCTACACGCTAATGTGATGCCACCCATTCTGCATGCTCTAACCGTGTTACCCGTGTTACCCGTGACATTCCATTCAACATTCCTCATTACCCGTGTCTGCCATCCTGCCCTCAACTCAACCCTACTTATTCCTATTCTCCCTCATCCCCTACCCTCGCCCTCCTCTCACCAACCCCTTTCTCCGCCCCCTTTCCTCCACCCCCTTTCCTCCACCCCCCTTCCTCCACCCCCCTTTCCTCCACCCCCCTTTCCTCCACCCCCCTTCCTCCACCCCCCCTTCCTCCACCCCCCCTCCTTTCCTCCATCTCCCCTTCCCCCAACCCCCGTGCCCCCACCCCAGTCGGCATACATCATTGCCGGCCTGCCCTTCTCCATCCTCGCTATAGAGCACTGCATTCTAAGGGCCGCTTCCTTTCAACCAGCACTGGTAACAACACCTCCCTTATCACACATACGTGCATCCCCGCGCCCATTTCCACAGCACTAACTCTCACCGTTCTCTCTCTTTCTCACCCATCCAGTCCCCGAATTCTCTCCTCTGCCTCTCACGCACATGTAATTTCCTCCCCTCTCTTCCCATCCCTTTTCTGACCGGTCTGCTGCCAGTGCGGCGCTACAGGCGGGGGGACGTGCGCTACAGCCTGGCTCTAGACCTTCTTCACATCGCCTTCCCTCTCGCCCCTTTGTCCCCCCACCAAATCCCCTTCCAGGCGGGTCTGCTGCCAGTGCAGCGCTACAGGCGGGGGGACGTGCGCTACAGTCTGGCTCTGGACCGGCCTGAGCCTCTTGTCACCTTTGCTCTCAGCTGTGGCTGCGCCTCCGCTCCCCCTGTAAGCCTCCGCTCCCTCCGACCCTCCTCACTCTCACCCCCCCCTCCAACTCCCTCCCTCGTTTCCCTTTTTTACATGTGCTGTTCTGCCCTGGCATTTACACATTCGCACATTTCTTGCCACTGTGCCGTCACACACCTCACCCTAATCCCCGGTTTCCTGTGCATATTGCCCTCAACTGTCCGATTATGCTTTTCATCGTTTTTCCATCAACCAATCAGGTCCGAGTGTACCACCCTGACATTATTCACGAGCAACTGAAAGCAGGTGCCCAGGAATACATTCGGGCAAACGTTAAGCTGCATCCGGGCAGTGGGAAAATTCTGCTGCCCAAGCTCCTGCACTGGTACAGCAAGGATTTCGCAAGGAACGCAGTGGGGCTGCTGCAGTGGGCAGCTGAGCAAATGGAAGACGGGCAGAAGCAAAACATTTTGCAGGCTATGGGTGCTGCTGGAGCTTCCAAGAAGGTTCGGCTGGGGAGGGTTCCTGTGCAGGTTCTAGCATATGATTGGACCTTCCAATATCTGCTGGCGTGACAGTGTCTCAAACTTTCTACAACTGGAAAGATCTAAATTATTTGGCATGTATAAATGCCACATGAAGGAAACATCTCTTTGAAATAGCTGCAAATAGCTGCTTCAACCATCCAGCTTTATCTGACAAAATGTGATTACTCATCCCCATCCCCTGACCTACGAACTCACACAGCTGCTAAAGCCAACCCTCAGTCAACCACATGTGTTGGTCATTTTCCTCCGGTCTACAGCTAACAGATTTCCCACTAAACCTAATCAAGCGTCCCGCCTGTCCCCCTAGACGACAAATTTAGGCCGTCAAGGGGAAGTTCTTGGGGAATACGTACGTCCCGTTGACACGCCACGTGGCAGGCAGTATGTTCAGCGCCGTGATACTAAACTTCTTGATTGCGCTGACGACATGAAACGAGATCGGTACGCCGATGACCTTCACGCCGCTCGCCGACCAAACTCCGCCGAAATTCCGCGCCATGGGCAGCCACCCCGCGCCGCCCACTTTCATGTGCACGGACGCGATTCCGCCAGGCCCCGCGGCGTTCATTATAAGCACCCCGATAAAGTAATCCGTCCCCATGACCGGCTTGAAAACGAGCCCGCCGCGTCGCTTGCAAGGGATCCGCGCGAGTCGCACGCGAATATTCCCCGCGACGCGATTCTTCACAATCTGATCGTACACCCACGGCGACATGATTATTCCTTTTTTCCCGGGCCGGCAAATTCCGGATCGCGGCTGCCCAATGCACTCGCTAGTGGCCGTCACGGCGACGATCTTATCCTGGCGGCACATCTGCGACTTGACGCATTGCACGGCGTAGCACGCGCCGCATCCGGTGCCGTTCTCGTAGAGCTTGGAGGAAATCGCGATGGTGGGGAGATTGTACGGCCGCACGCCGTTCGTCTTGCCGTAGCCGCACGAGCCGCCGTCCTCGCCTTGAATCAAGGAGAGCGTGCCCGTGAACTTGCTATCCCACACGCCGTACTGCTCGACTGCTGCTGCGCGGGTTGCGATAAGGAGGACGAGGAGAAGGGGCGGCAGGGCTAGTGCTGCTAGTCGAGTACTTCCGCGCGCCATGTCGTGCAGTTTGTGTTCCGAGCAGAGGAGGTAAAGAATGTGGTAAGTGCGTTGGAATCTCGTGGATTATAGAATTTCCGGGATGACGCAGTGATGTGGAACGGGTTGAAGTTTGATGTGTTGGGCCGAACAGTGTTGAAGTCCAGGGGATTTATGTAACCTCCGTAGTGTGCGTGTCACGGCAGCTTGGGGTTCGATTTGGGGAGGATGGGAGGAGGTGGAAGAAGGGAGGGGAGTCGAATAGATGGCAAGCCAATGCAATGTCGGTGTTTCGCGTCGCGGTGAGGCGGTCAACATTGGTCAATTTGCTGCTATAGCGAAGTGCAATGCTGCGTCAAACGAATGACTACTCGGCAATCATCAATGCGACGTGCGGGAGTTTGTGATGGGTATTTTGTTGTCACGATCGACGATTCTCCGCATGACACGGCGCCCTGGAAAGGGCGCAAACAAATTGAATCTCAAGAGCGGTTCATTTGAGTTTCGATGTGTTTCCTGGTTGAAACAAAGACTCGCTCACAAATTCAAAAATTTTATTTCCACATGAAAAACTAATGATTTCCTAAACCGAAGTCTTTGCCGTTATTACTCTGAGTTGAACATCTCCGGTACAAGCAGGTACAGCTCATCCTGTAATCCGCACCAATTTCGGCAGGAGTTTCACCATTTGCCAGACAGTCCCATTTGCATCACCAGAACCTGATATTTTCCAGTCCACAACTATGGCTGCCTCTGTCACCTCACCGCTTCCAGCGCCCGTAATCCCGACGCGCACTGCTAGCTCATTCCGCAAAGAATCACGTAGAATCCCCTTCCTTAGTTCCTTACGCAGTCGTCCTGCTGGACTTGCCGCCTTGCGTGGAAATTCGGGCAGCAGAAATTGGACAAGATTCGCTTCACGTTACGGCCGCGATTCCGTGCAGCCACACGATGGGCGGACTTTCCGCGTGCGCGCAGCAGCCTCCGCGGGTAGCGCGGCGGCGAAATCCGCGGAGGCGGAAGAGAGCACAGTGGCGGAAGACATGAAGCAGCGGAGAGGCCTCCGCGGCAAGACCGAGGCTGACGTCATCGTCATCGGTTCCGGAATCGGCGGGCTCTGCTGCGGCAGCCTCCTGGCGCGCTACGGCCGCGACACGCTCGTTCTCGAAAGCCACTACCTCCCAGGCGGCGCGGCGCACGGCTTCACGCGGAACGGCTTTTCGTTTGACACGGGCCCGTCGCTGTTCTCGGGATTGTCGTCGCGCGGCCCGCAGGCGAACCCGCTCGCGCAGGTTCTCGACGCGCTGGGGGAGACCGTGCCGTGCGCGGCGTACGACAGCTGGATGTGCTACCTCCCTGAAGGGGACTTCTTGTCGCGCATCGGCCCTTCTCACTTCATTGAGGTGCGATGCGAGAGTTACTGAGAATAGCTCATTTCGTTTCTGCACGCTCACCATCATCGAGGTGTTGGGGGAGAGCGTGCCGTGCGCGGCGTACGACAGCTGGATGCGCTACCTCCCTGAAGGGGACTTCCTCTCTCGCATCTGCCCCTCTCACTTCATCGAGGTGTGGCTATCGCGACTAGTACCTCCCCGCGCGCGCTTCCGGTGCGCCATTGTGCGGAAATTACTGATATTTCTTTTAACATGAGAGGTCTGACTGCATGAATCCCCAATAGTCTTGCATGCACGCTATGTGCTCCATCTGTAACACCACCACTGCTCCCAGTGCTGCGTGGCCACGCCCTGCGTGGCCTCTACTCTGCCCTCTTCACCGTTCCTGCCGCTGGTTCGGTTCCATTATAAACCCCCCCCTCCTTCCTGACCCCCCATCCCCCTCCATTCTTCCGTCCCTCCATCCCCTCCCTCCCTGCCGCGCCATGCCCGCCCTCCGGTCCCACAGGTGCTGCGGCAGCGTGTGGGGGAGGGCGCCGTGCAGGACTGGCGGAAGCTCATGGTGAGTGTCTCAGGCAGTGACTTGTCACCCACTGCTAGTGCACTCGTAAAGTGCACTCGTGCACACATGCAGCTCTCTTGCTGGCTGCATCGCTGCAGGCCAATTCGTCTACCCTGTCAACCTTCCCACTGATGCGCCATTCTCGTGAGTTTTTGAGACGCCTCAAAAACTCACCTTTTACACGTGGCTTCGTCTACTCTGTCAACTTGCCCATTGATGCGCCATTTTCGTGAGTTCCCTTGCCGATTGCCGTGCTGCCTGTGCTTCGTGCCTCCCTCCTAATCCGCTCATGCGCCACATCCCATCCCCCCTTCCCCTTCCCCCCCTTCCCATTCACCCCTCCCCCCATCCCCTTCCCCTCCCCTCGCCCTCACAGCCAGCGGAGGAGCCTCTAGCGAAGGGGCCGAGGAGAGGGGAAGACTTCCCAGCGGAGGAGCCCCTAGCCGGCCCCTGCATTGACTTCCCATGGCTGCTCTGTGCACCGCCCCACCCACTCCTGTCCCCACGTTCTTCCTTCCCCGCTCACCCTTTCCCCTTTCTACCCCTCCTTTCCCTCCCTTCGCCCACACAGGCCGAGGTCGAGCCTCTCGCGGGCCCCTCGATGGCGCTCCCCCCAGTTGCTTGCTCTCTGCACTGCAGCACCCCACCCTCTCCCTTCCCCCTTCCCTTCCCTCATCCCCACCTCCTTCAACTTCCCCCCTGCCCCCCTCCCTTCGCCCACACAGGCCGCGGTTGAGCCTCTTGCGGGCCCCTCAATGGCCCTCCCTCCAGCTGCTCTCCGTGCCGATCCTGCCGTGCTGCTCACTGCAGGGCTGAGGTACGGCCCGAGCCTGCTCCGCACGTTCGGCAGCGCTGGGCCTGCAGGTGAGGCTAGCAGTGGGACGTCTTTTTTAGTGCAGTGAGTGTGATGTGTGGGCTGTTTTCTATTACAGCTGAGGCAGTGGCTGTGGCCAGATGATACACCCTTTCTTGCGCTCCCATCTCCCCATTCTGATTACTCTTTCCCTCCCTCGTCAGCTGCACTCAACGCGTTGAAGCTCATGGGCCCATTCTCCTCACTAGCAGACTCAGTGGGCGTGAAGCACCCCTTCGTGCGCAACTGGATCGACCTGCTCTCGTTCCTGCTGTCGGGACAGAAGGCCGACGCCACCATTGCGGCTGAAGTGGTGAGCTTCTCTCGCGTTTCCTCCGCTTCTGTCGTGGTATCGTTCTTGCCTGCATGCTACTTTCACAGTTTCTCTGCCACGGCACCTTCACCTTTCCTCTCCTTGCCTCTCTCCAGCTCCCTGCTCTTCACCTCTGAACAAACCTCAACCCCGTACCTCCCTATCTCCCCCTACCGTCCCCTCTCCCAGGTGTACATGTTTGCAGAGTGGTACAAGCCTGGCAGCGTCATGGAATATCCTCTCGGCGGCCCCGAGGCGATTATCAAGGCGCTTATAAGGGGGATGGAGAAGAACGGCGGGCAGCTCTCCCTGAACTGCCACGTGGACAGCATAGTGGTGGAGGGCGGCCGGGCAGTCGGCGTAAAACTTAAATCCGGGCAGATAATCCGCGCCCGTACGGCCGTGGTGAGTAATGCATCGGTGTGGGATACAATGCGCCTGCTGCCGCCCGGGAGTGTACCTGGGGAGGACCGGAAAGAGAGAGAGGCTACACCCGAGTGTGATTCATTCATGCACCTGCATCTCGGGATCAAGAAGAAGAATCTTCCTGCTGACCTGGAGATCCATCACATCGTGGTCAACGATTGGTCGGTGGGCGTCGACGCGCCTCAAAACGTGGTCCTCATCTCCATCCCGACGGTTCTCGACGCGTCGCTGTCGCCACCTGGCACCGTCTCATTGCACGCGTACACCCCGGGGACCGAACCAGCCTCCCTGTGGGAAGGCCTGGATAGGCGATCGCCTGAGTACAAGAAGCTGAAGGAGGAGCGGGCCGAGGTGATGTGGAAGGCAGTGGAAAGAGTACTTGGTCCAGGTTTCTCACGTGATCAGTGTGAGCTGGCATTGGTGGGTACGCCCTTGACTCATGGGAGGTACTTGAGAAGGCACCGAGGAACTTATGGCCCGGCAATCAAGGCAGGCGAGGGGACTTTCCCAGGCTCGACAACGCCGCTTCCGGGCCTGTTTTGTTGTGGGGATTCAACGTTTCCGGGGATCGGTGTGCCTGCGGTTGCAGCTAGTGGAGTGGTGGCAGCTAACACACTGACCCCTGTGTGGGACCACTGGAAGTTGCTTGATGCTATTGGTATCTGAACTGATATGCGAGAAGCCTTTTTATTTGTATTAAGGCATTTATCTATGCTACGTAACTAGAGTATTGATTATTTTGGGAGGTGTGAAAATAATAATTCAGTAACGTCTTTTGCAACGAGGGCGGGGTCAGCTCGTTCGTTTACAAGCTCATTACAGTTCATTCTGAGCGGTTACTCTCGTTGTGTCGCGGTTTACAGCGGCCAGTTTTGAAAACCGCTGTAAACCGTTTGAAATCCTTTTGCGCCATGACGGATGAACTGTACAAATGTGATCAATGAACGCGCTGACCCCGCCCTGATTGCAAAAGGAGAATAGCTGTTCAGGTTGTGACACAAGCGCCTGGCAGCTCATCACTCATCCCAAGCAAAAGGCACTATGTCGAATGTGTGCCAACAGTGAATGGTAGCCCACCAATAGCTTATTTCGGCGGGACCTCTCTATACAAACAGCCCGCTGGACGAGTCCTCGAGCGGTTCGCCAGCTGGTCGCAGGAGTTTCTCGCTGTACTGTACCGTCTAAAGGGAAGCGACGATGACCCAGGGTCTGAGCGGCATCTGGATTATTTCCTGCGACGCTCGCTACAGTGTTTGGGCAAACCCTTGGTTTGGTCAAAGTACCCGTGCCGCGTGTCCAGGAGCACATGCAACACATGCACTTCTCATTGGTTGGTTTGGTGTAATGTCCCGTCTGCAATAACAGTACAGTATTTGCGACCGATGGCCAAAGCCCAGCCCAGGCTGCCCAGGGTAGGGACACTTGCGACAGAACGATACGCCCAGGGCCGGTGTGACAGGTTGTGTCGTGTGGTGGTGATCGCACAACAACCCGTCCCTTGTAGATTTGCCCAGGGCAATAGTAGGGCACACAGCAAGCGATCGTTCTATCCGCACTGCACTTGCTGTGCGAAGTCGCCATGAAGTCGCATGGCATGCAATAGCTAGCCTTGATTTCAGTCTGTTGTGTCGCACGCACTATCCAGTCTCAGATGGCATTCGCAAACTCCAATTCCCCCATCAAACCCAACCAGCCCCGTCAGCCGAACACCTTCGTCACCTGTCATTTCCAAGTGTCTTCCATTCCTGTGACTTCCTACATTCACCCCCACCCTGCCCTTCCAATCTTGCTTCTCAGATCCCCCAACACGTAAGGTTCATCTCACTTGCTTGTTCTAGGTTCTCTCAATCCTCCGTGTTCCACAGAATCTTGCGAAGCATAGCGCGACACGCTTGTATTCTAATTAAGAGTGATCATCTTGGCGCCTATTTCCAGCTCCGGCGGTACTCTTAGCATCACGCGCTGCGAATTGTTTTTTCTCCCTTTTTTCCGCGTAGCAATGTCTTCTGCGGGTGCTTCCTGGTATTAATACCCAGTATGGGCGGTTGACAAAGGCGGGACAAATATTTGTAGCCAGTTCTCGTCAGTGGTGTCGAACTCGTACGCTGAAGGCATGGCGACGTCGACAGAAGATGGCGAAGCGGATTACATGGTTAGCTCCTCGGTCGTTATAACTTTTTGCACAGCCAGTTTCGTTCAGCTACACGTTTATGCTGCCTAAACCATTCGATTTTCATCTCGTCAACTCGTACTGATCAGCCGAAGATGCTTCCCTACCTTTTTTTATTATTATATCACCTATTTCTGCCCTACCCGTTTATTTTTCATGTTTTCTGTGAATCGGTCTTTTGCCTCGAGCGCAGCGGTATCTAGACTCGGAGCAAGCAGTCATGGATTACGACATGTGCGACGAGGACAGCGACGAATGCGACGCTTTTGACTATACCGACGACAGCAGCGACGCGGACAGCCAAGACGGCTCACAACAAGGGGACTGGGACTGGGACGCGACCCCTCGGCGGGATAGAACGGCCGAAGCGCGGCAATTTCAAGGAGAAGACGACTCGGACGAGGACAACGACATGGTCGGTGCATCGTCCATTGTCCATTGCGTGATGTATCAATGTTCCACGTGCCCCGGCAGTATTGTCGCTTCCCTTCCAAACGCTCTCTCAGTCAACTCAAAGCCTCCAGCCTATTTTCCGTTTGTATCCGGAGATTAATCTCCCATCTGCCCCTGCCGCTGCCCATGCCGCTGCCCCTGCCCCTCCTCCCGCCCCACCTGCCGTCTCCCACTGGCAGTTGGACGGCGCTGCTGACGTGAGTGCGCAGCAGGCGGCGCGCGGGCGGGACATTCAGGGCATACCGTGGGAGCGGCTGCACTTCACGCGCGCCAAGTACCGCGACATGCGCCTGCAGCAGTACAAGAACTACAAGAACCTCGACGTCCCGTTAGACGCTGTGGAAAAGGTGGGCTTTGGGCGCGCGGGTGATAAGATGCGCGCAGATGATTTGCCAGTGATGCATTTCCACCAGTGCAGCTGGAAGTGACATGCCTAACTCTGCTTGTCTGCCTTGGCGTGTGTGACTCTACGTGCGTGACTGTGCGCGTGTGACTGTGCGTGTGCGACTGTGCGTGTGCGGCTGTGCGCGTGTGGCCGCGTGGTGCGCGCAGGAAGTGAAGCAGGTCAGCACAGACGCCGAGTTCTACTGCTTCGCCTACAACACGCGCGCTGTCAAGTCCACCATCGTGCACTTCCAGGTACATTGGGGCGTTAAAGAGGGATGAAATGGAAGCAGCTGGTTCACACAGGGACGATAGTAGATCTGCCTCGCTTTGGACTGACGGGTATACTATGCACATCCTCACTAGATTTACCGCATATGTCTTTTTCCCCTGCCCCTTCTTTGTCCTTTTCCCCCTTTATCCCCTATCGCCCGCCTCCGCCGCTTTTCCTCCTTGCCAGCTGCGGAATCTCGTGTGGGCGACGTCGAAGCATGACGTGTACACGATGCACGGCCACACCATCAATCAGCCTCTACTCGGCGCTAAACTCTTCCCCTTCCCTCCTTCCCTCCTTCCCCCTTCCGCCATCCCTCCCTCCTATTCAGCTGCGCAACCTAGTGTGGGCGACGTCGAAGCATGACGTGTACACGATGCACGGCCACACCATCAGCCACTACTCCGCGCTCTCCCGCCGCTCCGTTGACTTCCTTGACCTCAGCGGACCCGTCGTGCCCATCTTCCATGTACGGATATCGTACATGCATGTGTACACCATACCCCATAAACTTACATTCATGTAACATCCCCATCGATACATACATGCCTACACCCGTGTGCCCTTGCATTGACTTTCTTGACCTGAGTGGACCTGCACACCCTGCATCCCTCTCGTTGTTTGTATCACCCGCCCACCCACCCACCCACCCACCGCACGGCATCCCACGCCTTTGTTTCTCTTGCCCTTGTGTAGACTTCGTTCTGAGCTGCACTCATTTCCACCCCACCACCACCTCCCCCCCCCCCCCCCTCCTCCCCCTCTCCCTCTCTCCTCTCTCCCCCTTTCCCTTTGCTTCATTTGCGTCCACTCTTAACCCTCTTCTCCCAGCTTCATTTGCGTCCACTCTTAACCCTCTTCTCCCAGCTTCATTTGCGTCCACTCTTAACCCTCTTCTCCCAGCTTCATTTGCGTCCACTCTTAACCCTCTTCTCCCAGCTTCATTGTTCCTCTCCTCACTCTCGCTATCCCTTGTCGTCTTCTTTGTCTCCTCTCCTCAAACCCCACCCGTTCCCCCTTTTCCCTTCCCCCTCCCCAACCCCCCCCCTCCCCCCCCCTCTCCCACCTCTTCCCCCCCCCCGTCTCCTCTTTCCTCCGTTTCCCGTCCCCCTCCCCCAGCTACAGCGCGCGCCCTGGCTGTACCACCAGCGCGCCACCACTGCCACACTGCGCCCAGGCGGACCCCGGCTCTATGGGGGCGGGGCGACAGGGGGAACGGGCGGAGCAGGCGGGGGAGTAGCCACTGGCGCGGGGGTAGCAGCAGGGCCGGGGAGAGGGGACGGGGGGGGAGGGGCGGCGGCAGGGGGGAATGGGGCAGGAATGGCGGATGATGGGACGTGGGAGCCAGTTGGCCGGGTGCAGGTGAGCATTGGAATAATGGGCACGTTGTGTGTGCACCGGAATAATGGGCGCATTGTGACTTTTGAGGCACCTCAAGCATTGGAATAATGGGCACATTGTGTGTGCACCGGAATGGACTCATTCTGTCAATCTTTCTTTTTTTTTCCGCACCCCATGTTGTGAGTTATCTTATCCACCATGGGGTGGATGCCAGTGAGTGAGCACACTGTGTCTCAGCAACGGCCTGTTTGCGCCTCTGTTATTGGGGTGTGTGTGCGTGAAGGTGAGCAGCGTTGTGTGTGCGCAACGGACTGGTGGCAGCGGGGGGCTTCAACGGCGAGATGGTGTGCAAGCGTGTTGAGACGTCTCACAACACTTCTTTTATCACATGGGGGGTGTGTGTGTGTGCGTATGTGTGTCTGTGTGTGTGCGTGCGTGCAGGTGAGCACGTTGTGTGTGCGCAACGGACTGGTGGCAGCGGGGGGCTTCAACGGCGAGATGGTGTGCAAGCGGCTGGACAGCGGCGCAGAGGGCGGCGTGTCGTATGCTGGGCGGATTACCAGAGACGAGAGCGCCATCACGAATGCTGTAGAGATCTTTGAGTCTGCCAGGTGAAGGGACAGTGTGGGGAAAGGGGTGGGAGGGGGTGGATGGTGGGTGGGAAGGGGTGGGAGGGGGTGGGAAAGGGTTGGACTGGAAAGTGGGGTTTGGGGGTGAGCGTGGGCTGAGGGATGAGAGTGGCCCAGCACGGAGGGCGGCGTGGTGTATGCTGGGGGGGGGGGCGAATTACCAGAGGTAAGAGAAGAGTTTTGAGGCGGCTCAGAGGTAAGAGAAGAGAAGAGTGACGTCACACATGCAATGATGTAACGAAGCAGAGAAGCAACTCGTTTTGCACTGCTTCCCTTACCCCTCCTTTTAACCCCACCAGTGGAGCAGTGCAACTGCTGGCATCAAACAACGACTGCCACGTGAGGGAGCTTGACGCTGACACACCTTCGCCATCATCGCCTGCCCGCCACTCCCTCCCCCCTCTTGCCCTTCCCCCTCTTGCATCGCCTTCCCCCTCTTGCCTCGCCTTCACCCCCCTCCCCCACACACAGTGGAGCAGTGCGAGTGCTGACGTCCAACAACGACTGCCTCGCGAGGGAGCCACACGATTCAACACTTCCTCCCTCCACCCTCTTCCCCCTTCTTTTCTTTCTCCCACACACAGTGGAGCAGTGCGAGTGCTGACGTCCAACAACGACTGCCTGGTGAGGGAGTTCGACGCTGACTCCTTCGCCATCATCGCCCGCCACCACCTGCCATGGCCCATCAATGTACGCTGAGCAAGTCATGCACGTTACGCCGTAACCAAGCTTCCACCCATCCATTCATGTGTGCTCCATCCCTCAAGCCCCGTGCTATTCCTCTGTCGCTTTCTGCCATTCAGCCTTTCTACCGCTTCCCCTTTCCCCTTACCTTTTCATGCCTCGCTCCTGCTCTCTCCCTCCTCCCTTCCCCTCCCTCTATCCTGTCCCTCATTTCGCTCCTCTCCCCCAGCACACGTCCGTATCGCCCAACGGCAAGCTGGTGGTGGTGGTGGGGGATGACCCAGACGCCTTCCTTATGGACGCCACATCTGGCCGGGTAGGTTCACGCACCATACCACACCCTGGGGAGTTGATTACAGGAGTTGCAGCCATAACTTTGCAAGCTGGTGGTGGTGGTGGGGGATGACCCAGACGCCTTCCTTATGGACGCCACATCTGGCCGGGTAAGTTATCTCTTATGGTTTCATCTACAAAGGGGGGTGGGAGGGGAAAGGGGGGGCGGTGGTACATGTTCTGATGATTACAAGGGGCTGTTCCCATTGTAACGTGATTCTCTAACTTCGTTGCTCCCTAGTCGCTTCACCATGATTCTTCCCTCTCTCTCTCCCCCCCCTCCTTTCGCTCTCCCAACTAACCCCCCACTTCGCTACTGCAGGTGGTGGCCCCTCTGAGTGGCCATGTCGACTATTCCTTTGCATCGGCATGGCACCCCAACGGCCTCACATACATGTTTGAGACCTGAGCTGTTTCTCTCTTCCTCCTCTCCCCCCTCCCAATCCCCCCAGGTGGTGGCCCCTCTGAGTGGCCATGTGGACTATTCCTTTGCATCGGCATGGCACCCCAACGGCCTCACGTTCGCCACCGGCAATCAGGACACCACCTGCCGTGTCTGGGACCTGCGCTGCCTCTCCCGCTCCCTCGCCACCCTCAAGGGCCGCATGGGCGCGATCCGGTCCGTCCGTTTCTCATCCGACGGCCGGTTTTTGGCCGTGGCGGAACCAGCGGATTTCGTGCATGTGTATGATGTGAAGGGGGAGTATGAGAGGAGCCAGGAGATCGATCTGTTTGGGGAAATTGCGGGGGTGTCGTTCTCTCCGGATTCGGAAGCGCTCTTTGTGGGTGTGGCTGATCGCACGTACAGCAGTTTGCTGGAGTTCAATCGGGCGCGGTGTTGTGACTATATCGATGCCACCGTGTGAATAAACGGATTGGGGTTAGGGCTTGGGCTGGGCCGGATTCGGAGGCGCTCTTTGTGGGTGTGGCTGATCGCACGTACAGCAGTTTGTTGGAGTTCAATCGGGCGCGGTGTCGTGACTATATCGATGCCACCGTGTGAATAAACGGATTGGGGTTAGGGCTTGGGCTGGGTGGGGGGGGGGGGCATCGCATGTCTTGTACACTGTATAGAGTTGGTTAGATGAGTCGTGGATGAAGGGCCTGCTTTTGAGTCGACTCGAAAGGGGAGCATTGCATGTCTTGTACACTGTATAGAGTTGGCTAGATGAGTCGTGGATGAAGGGTGGTGGATGGTTAGGGGGGCTACACCTACTTGCATGACCTAGACTAGGCATGTGATGTGTTTACGTGCTAGGGATGATAGGGGTAGGTAGCTGAATAGGCACTCCTTGTGCCATCTTTCTGATGCTTTGTTTCTTTCATGCCATGAAGGTTTAGGCAATTTAATATTGACTTGATGTATTCGAATACCGATATCAACTACACGTAGTATTGGAATCGAATCAGACTGACACGCACGGTTGTCAACATTTCGCCCTGCATCAAATTTGATCCGATATTTGCCCCACTTGCCACCATGCCCGCCACACGGCCGCGAAAGCAGTCCCTATCACGGGGCGCGCCCCCGGCGCAAGCGCGCCTCAGAAAGCGCGCATCCGCGGGGGAAACTGCGCTGCTTTCGTCAACTCTCGTGCGTCCGCCGCTTCGACCTGCCGCGGAAAGGTCAGCCATGGGTGGTAGATGCGGAGAGGCTCGATATGGAGAGTAGAGGAGGAAACCACGTTAGCCATTCGAATGTGAAAGTTGGGGCGGAGTGGCGATTGTTAGAGGGCCCTACGACAGCAAGGGCCCTCGCGAAATGTTAGACTTGGCAGGTTGACGACCGACGACCTGGTCTACTCGGCACCGTCGCACAGGTTCGATGGCAGTCAAGTGTGACTACGGGTGAATGCGAGCTGCAGTAAGGACTCTGCTGAAGTCGGTGCTGGGAAGTAGAGTCGTGGGAGTCTTTGTGTGCTTCCTTATGAGGCACGCCACTCCCAAGCTGAGTCGGATGGAGTTGCGTGCTCGGAAGGTTTTCGCTGCTGAGTTGGATGGAAGTTTGGCGGGGCGCGTTCGCCAACTCCCACAAGCACTTCCGTGTGGGTTGGGTTACTCACAGCGCCCTCGCTACCTTGTGAGAATGCTTGCTTGCCTTTATATGTTTGTGTATGCTTTTGTATTCAGACCAAAAAATATTACAATCTCTACTCAAGTTCTCACTTAGCCATTTGAGACAAGCTCTACCGAAACGCTACCGAATTCCTAGCGCAACATCATTCCCATAAGCAGAATCTCTCTCGCCGTCGTAGTGCTCTCCATAATATTCCTTCATGGTGCGGTGAGCGTGGAACGAACACGCATAGAATTCCGTCGTCGACTTTCTTAGCGTTCGTAAACTCGCCTTGGCGTGCGGCGTTAGTGAAGGGCGCATATTAAATTAAGTTGAACCTCTCTTAATTTCCCTCCAGTTACGTTCTCGGACCCAAGGATAGGGCGTTTGGTAATTTATTACCACTCGTCTGAGGACCCTTGTGAGGTGACCCCGAGACGAGGGATTTAAGGAAGGAACAATTTATTTTAATTTGTGGCACCTTATCGAGGCGTCGTAGAGGATGAGTTCGGAGGAGGCGGACGTTGAGGCCGTTAATTTTCGCGCACTAGAGGAGGAGCTCGTGGCACGTCGTTCCCGTGGCGAGCTTAGTAATGTAGATTACGAGCTCATGTTGGAGGGATTACGCTCTCGTCAGCGTCGCGATCATCCCTCGCCACATGTAGAGCAAGCTGCGGGAGGCACTAGTGCGTGGGACATGGCTGTCAATGACGGAGGTGACGATGACGAGGAGGTTGATGGGTTGATGTCGCGTGGGGTCCTGCGAGGACCAACTCGGTTTAGTACGACTAGCGTCGGCGGTGTACAGGAGCGTGTTCATCGTGCGGCGGCGTCACACGAGCGTACGAACTTAGGACTGTCAAACTATATGTGCTGCATATTGTCTAGGCTGTAGTGGGGTAGCCCATATGGGGTACAACCTAGTTAGGGTTTACTACTTGTACTCCTGCATCCTGTTAGTTCATTCATTCCTGCTGCTAGATTCTAACATGGTTTCAGAGCACTAAGGTCCGTAGGACCGTTTTTTTTTTTCGGGCCCACCTACCGCTGCGGTTACCGCGCTACCCCACGTAGCCTTGCCTTGCCTTGTATGCCTTGCCTTGCCTTGCCTTGCCTGCGCGCTGCCCCTAGAGGCCCGTAAGGCCCGCGCGCCGCCTCTACACGCCTGTCGGGCCCGCACACACGCTGCTACCGCGCGCTGCCCGCACCGAGATCGCGCAGCCCGCCCCGAGTCGCGCGCAGCCCGCTGCAGCCACGCGCAGCCCGCACCGAGCCGCGCGCAGCCCGCTGCAGCCGCGCGCAGCCTGCACCGAGCCGCGCACAGCCCGCTGCAACCGCGCGCAGCCCGCACCGAGCCGCGCGCAGCTCGCAGCTGCCGCGCGCAGCCCGCGCCGAGCCCGCGCAGCCCGCGTCGAGCCGCGCGCGGCCTGCTACGGCCTCGCGCAGCCCGCGCGCGGCCCGCAGCAGCTCGTGCCGAGCCGCGCGAGGCCTGCTCCTGCCTCGCACGGCCCGCGCGCGGCCCGCAACAGCCCGCGCCGAGCCGCGCGCGGCCCGCTACTCCCTAGCGCGGCCGCGCGCGGCCCTTTGCCTCGGCCCCGACCTGCCGCTGATGCGGCCCCGCCCAGCAGCTGCCATGGCCCCGACCTGCCGCTGATGCGGCCCCGCCCTGCAGCTGCCACGACCCCGACCTGCCGCTGACGCGGCCCCACCCTGCTACTGCCGCTGACGCGGCAGCGCCCTCCAGCTGTTTCGGCCCTGCTCTGCAGCCGGTTTTGCGGCCCCGACGTCGCCGCTGTCGTGCGCCTACTCGAGCGCCGGCCCTGCTCTCCCAGCCTTTGGTGAGCGCCTGCCTGCCTGCCTGACGGCCTGCCTGTCTGCCTGCCTGCCTGCCGGCCTGGCTGCCTGCCTGCCTGCCGGCCTGCCTGCCTGCCTGCCTGTCTGCCTGCGTGTCTACTTGCCTGCCTGCCTGTCTGCCTGCCTGCCTGCCTGCCTGCCTGCTTGCTTGCCTGCCTGCCGCGCCTGCCTTTCCTGCGCTACTGCTACTGGCAGGTGGCCAGATGCAGCTCCAGCGACATTCACGCGAGCCTCTGACGCCTCAGCAGCTTAGTGAGTGGTATACTAGCTGGGGTTGTCGCGGTAGCCGTCGTAGCTGTCGCCCTGGAGCTGGTCAGTTGGGAGCGTCTGGCAGTGGCCAGCTGCAGCTGCAGGGACGTCCACGTGAGACACTTACGCCCCGGCAGCTCCAGGAGTGGTACGCTCAGTGTAGCAGGTCTACGCGTACAGTCCGCTGCCCGTACGTCATTCGCACAGGTGCTAGGACTGGTCAGCCTTGTGGGACGCTTGGTCACACACAGTCCCGCTGCTTCGCCCGTCTGAGCGACGACTGGCGCACAGTGTTTGGCGACGAGGCTGAGCTCCCCACCTGGCTGGAGCTGCATAGACAGAGGGTAGATATCTTTGCGCTTGACTATGATGCTATTCTCACTGCCATGTATGCATTGTCTACTAGTGCTGACCGTGCCTGTTGCCTGTGCGTACCGCCTGACCCTGGTGAGGCTGCTGCCCTAGGTGCTAGTGCGTCTCCTGCTCTAGGTGCTGGTGAGGCTGCTGCTCTCGGTGCTAGTACGTCGTACGCCCCTGTGGGAAGCTATGTGACGGCGCGTGTGCTTCTAGCGATTGCAGCTGCACTCGATTTGGAGCTGATGCAGCTGGATGTGAAGAACGCGTTCCTCCATGGCGTGCTGGACCGTGACCTTTACATGGAGCAGCCGAGCTACAACGAGGATGGGACCCCTCGTGTCTGTAAGTTGCTGAAGAGTTTGTATGGGCTCAAGCAGAGCCCGATGCTGTGGTATGAGGCCTTGGATGGGGTGCTGCTTGGGGCTGGATGGAAGAAGAGCCAGGTGGATGAGGCTCTGTACTTCAAGAGTGATGCTGAGGGGGAGATGTGCTGGCTGCTGGTGTATGTGGATGACTTGCTTGTTGCCAGCCGCAGTCAGAACATGCTGGGGGAGCTGCGGGAGTTGCTGCAGAGTGCGTTTCAGCTGCGGGAGATTAGCCCTGTGGAGAAGTACTTGGGGTTGCAGCTGATTCGGGACAGGCCTACGAGGAGGCTGTGGCTGCACCAGGGGGCCTATGTGGACAAGGTCCATAGGCGCTTCTTCGACGGGGAGCAGCCGCTGCGAGTGCCTCGCACCCCCCTTTCCTCTGACCCTTTCAGTGTGCAGACCTTCGGGGACGTGGGATGGCAGTCTCGTCAGGAGGAGGAGTACAGGCAGAAGGTGGGATCCTTGCAGTTCGCGGCCTGTACCACCCGTCCCGACATTTCCTTCGCCTGCAGCAAGCTGGGGTCGGGCCAGACAGTGCGGAGTGACCAGCACTGGAAGGAGTTGGACCGGTGCTTGGCGTACCTGGTGGGGAGCAGGGATGTGGCGCTGGAGTTTGGTGGCGGGCCGGAGTCCTTGGAGCTGGTGGGCTACGCCGATGCTGATGATGCAGGAGACAAGCAGAACAGGACCAGCACTGGTGGCTACATCTTCGTGCTCGGGGGTGCTGCTGTCTCTTGGGCGAGCCAGAGGATTCGTTGCGCCACGCTCTCCTCCACTGAGTCTGAGTACGTTGCTGCTGTGGAGGCTGGGAAGGAGGCGCGCAGGCTGCGCTTCCTGCTGGCAGAATTTCAACTGCTGAGGAGTGAGGAGCCCACAACCCTCTTTGTGGACAACTCCTCCGCCATTTCAGTGGCAGGTGGCATGGGGCTCAAGGGGAGCCTCAAGCACATGGAGCGTCGTCATATGTGGCTGCAGCACATGGTCAAGCGCAGGAAGCTGCAGTTGCAGTACATCCCTACGAGCGAGCAGCCAGCTGACTACCTCACGAAGGCATTGCATTTCCCCGCCTTCAGTCGTTGCTTCGAGGCTGTGGGGCAGGTGAGGCTCTCGAGCGAGGGGAGTGAGACCTAGACACTCCTTGATGTGGTTGGTGCCATGGCCTATCCATGGCTGGTGCGGTGCGTGTTTGCACTTTGAGAGTGCTTCGTTTGTGTGTGTTTCCCTTTATTTTGGCGTGTATGTGTGTATGTACGCCCTGTGATTATAAAGGGCCTTGCTGTAGTATGGCAGGGGAGTGTTAGAGGGCCCTACGACAGCAAGGGCCCTCGCGAAATGTTAGACTTGGCAGGTTGACGACCGACGACCTGGTCTACTCGGCACCGTCGCACAGGTTCGATGGCAGTCAAGTGTGACTACGGGTGAATGCGAGCTGCAGTAAGGACTCTGCTGAAGTCGGTGCTGGGAAGTAGAGTCGTGGGAGTCTTTGTGTGCTTCCTTATGAGGCACGCCACTCCCAAGCTGAGTCGGATGGAGTTGCGTGCTCGGAAGGTTTTCGCTGCTGAGTTGGATGGAAGTTTGGCGGGGCGCGTTCGCCAACTCCCACAAGCACTTCCGTGTGGGTTGGGTTACTCACAGCGCCCTCGCTACCTTGTGAGAATGCTTGCTTGCCTTTATATGTTTGTGTATGCTTTTGTATTCAGACCAAAAAATATTACAATCTCTACTCAAGTTCTCACTTAGCCATTTGAGACAAGCTCTACCGAAACGCTACCGAATTCCTAGCGCAACATCATTCCCATAAGCAGAATCTCTCTCGCCGTCGTAGTGCTCTCCATAATATTCCTTCAGCGATTTAGCTGCGGGGAGCCCCCGCAGAGTGATCAAGAGTGGTACGCTTGATTTTCCTTGCGTGGCAACGGAATGGCCTCCAACGCGTTTGGCGTTTCAAAAGCCCGGAACCTCGCGACCCCGAAACCCTGTCCCCTGAACATGAAGTGATTTGCTTTCCTGCTGCTGCCTCTGCCCGCCCGCCCCCATCCCCCAGCCGCACGTTCCGCGCGTTTGAACGGTGGATGCGCGACGAGGCCAAGATCCAATGGTCAGAAAAGCTCGCCTTCCTCCTCACCTGCCCTCCTCCTCCCCCGCGCAACCTCCGCCAAGGCGCACGCGCACGTCCCCCCCGCGCCTCTCCTTCCGCCTCCGCCGGTACCTCCGCCTCCCCCCCGCCTGGTCCGCTCCCCGTGGGGGTGTTTGCGCGCGCGCCCCTCCCCCTGGACGCGTCTGTTGCGACCATTCCCAAGTCCGCCTGCCTCACTCCGCGCACCTCCCTGCTTGCGCCTTACCTCTCCGCCTCCCCGTACTTCCAAGCAGAGGGGGAGGCGGAAAGGGAAGAAGAGGAGTCGGAGGAGGGGGAACGGGAGGCGGATGTGGAGGGGAAAGGGGAGGACGAGGATGGGGAATCAGGGGGAGGAAAGACGGATGTGGGGAGTGAGGGGGCGGTGGATGGGGAAGGGGAGCAGGGGGAGGGGGAGGCGGATGGGGAGGAGTCAAGAGAGGGCGCAAGGGAGGGGGGGAAGGGGCAGGGGGAGTTGAACAGTGCGGCGCTGGTTGCAGCAGTCCTCTTTGAGAGGGCCCTGGGGGCGAGATCCCGATGGGCGGCGTATTTTGGACAGATGCCGGAGAGAGAGGACGTGCCGGTGCTGTGGGGGAAGCGGAAAGCGAAGGAGCTACTAAGGGGTACAGAAATCGAACAGGTACCTGCAAGAAAGGATATTGCTAGTGCCACCTCCTACTGCTACCCAGATCTCACCCCTCCAGCAATTGTTTACCTCCTCCCTCCCCCCCGCACCTCACGCATCCCCTCTCCATCCCCTCTCCACCACCTCCCACCCCACCACAGGCTGTCCCCAGCGACCTAGCAGCCATGCGTGGGGAGTGGAAGCACCGCCTTCTGCCCTTCCTCCACTTGAGGTGACTCGTAAGTCTACTAGAAACTGTCATTTACCTCCCCCCTCCAACACAGGCTGTCCCCAGCGACCTAGCAGCCATGCATGGGGAGTGGAAGCACCGCCTTCTGCCCTTCCTCCTCTCCCTGCCACCCCACCTCCTCCACCTCCTCCCACCATCCCCAACCGCTCCTAATGGCCGACACACACACGAGCAGCTGTCATTGAGGGAGAATCTGTCGCTGCCCAACCAGAAGCGGACCAATCAGCAGGTGCCAGATCAGCCATCGTTGCCACGTCAGCTGTCGTGGGATGCTTACCTGGTGGTCAAGTCGCTCATCTCCTCACGAGCCTTCGCCATCGACAGCTGGCACGGGCACGGCATGGTTCCTCTGGCTGACTTGTAAGTGGGCAGCTGGCACCATTGCACCCCTCCCTCCTCCCATGGACAGCTGGCACGGGCACGGCATGGTTCCCCTGGCTGACCAGTATGTGCTCGGTTAACCCTCGCACGATACACAAGGCGCCATTGCACCATTGCACCATTGCACCATTGCACCATTGCACCATTGCACCATTGCACCATTGCACCATTGCACCATTGCACCATTGCACCATTGCACCATTGCACCATGCACCATTGCACCATTGCACCATGCACCATTGCACCATTGCACCATTGCACCATTGCACCATGCACCATTGCACCATTGCACCATGCACCATTGCACCATTGCACCATTGCACCATGCACCATTGCACCATTGCACCATTGCACCATTGCACCATTGCACCATTGCACCATTGCACCATTGCACCATTGCACCATTGCACCATTGCACCATTGCACCATTGCACCATTGCACCATTGCACCATTGCACCATTGCACCATTGCACCATTGCACCATGCACCATTGCACCATTGCACCATTGCACCATTGCACCATTGCACCATGCACCATTGCACCATTGCACCATTGCACCATTGCACCATTGCACCATTGCACCATTGCACCATTGCACCATTGCACCCCATTGAGGACAGCTGGCACGGCCACGGCATGGTGCCCCTGGCTGACTTGTAAGTGGGTTGGGTAACGTCAGCATGCACCATGACCCGTGCACCATCACCAGACACCATGTGTCGTGAATCACTATGTACCACACTCCGTGCATGGCTCTATGCACGATGGCACATGCACCCTCCCCCGTCCCACCCACCTCCCCTCTCCCTTTTCCAGGTTCAACCATCGCACAGCTAGCGAGTCAGTGCACTTCACAATCAATGACTGCACCCCTCCTCCCTCCCCCCTTTCCCGTTCCCCATTCCCCGTTTCGCCTCCCTGCACACCCACCTACCTGCTCCCACCTCCCCGCTCCCTTCTCAGGTTCAACCATCGCACTGCAAGCGAGTCAGTGCACTTCACAATCGATGATGAGGAGAGTGAGGGAGAGGAGAGCGATGCAGAGGAGGGTGATGAAAGCGGTGAGGGGGAGGGCGGCGAGATTAGGAGCAACAAGGGGAAGGATGGAGAGGAGGAGACGAACGGGGTGGGAGGGAGGGGGAAAGAGACAAAGAGAGGGGAGGGATTGCCTGAGACGGAAGGTGAAAGGGAGAGGGCAAGTGAACAGCTAGAGATGATAGTGGTGCGGGAGGAGGGGCCCGGGGACGAGGTATTCAACACCTACGGCCAGCTCAGCACCGCAGCTCTTCTGCTCCGGTACGGCTTCACCGAGCCTCTCAGCTTCGGCGGCGCCGAACCTAAGGGTGGGGCGGTGGAGCTGCCAGTCAGGCTCGGCAAGGTGGAGAAGGGTGAATGTGTAGAAGAGGAGCAGTTGGAGTGTATATGCAATCTACAGTACAACCCGTTTGATTTGGTTAATGTGGACCTGAATGTGATTATAAAGGGGCTCAGTATCGACCAATCACAGGCCAGCTGGAGAGGAGGGAGAGCGATGTCAGGAGTGCGTGCCACAGGAAAAGGGCAAGGACGCATACAATCACATCGCAGAGATTTTCAAACTTCCCGGGCAGCGAAAATTGCTTGTGATTCTACCTACCCTTCCACTTGCTCCTCCCGGCGTTTGCGGTGGGCTGTGAAGTTGCTTGAAAGGGCTGGGTGCCCCACGTTAGAGTCACAAGGGGAGAGATACTTTGAAATATCCGCTGACGGGCGGCCGCAGCTGGAGCTGCTGCTGCTGCTGCGATTGGCAGGGCTGGATGACGTGGAAGCTGCCAGGGTGGACGCCAGGGTGGCAGAGAGGGAGGCTGACGCGGATTGGACGGGGATGGGGACTGCTGAGCTGGCAGGGATGGTGGAGGAGTTGGTGGAGGGGATGGGGGAGAGGGAGGGGATAGATGGGCGGGCAGAGAGTGTGGGAGGGAAAGAGGAGGAGGGGCAGGATGGTAGTGGAAAAATTATTCAGGGGAGAAAGAGGAGGAGGGAGGGAGAGGAGAGGAGGCGTGATGGTGAGGTGTCAGTGAGAGGCGATGAAGGGGAGGGTGAGTTGGGTTTGGATGAGGCAAGTGAGGGGAGGAAGAGGAGAAGAGGGGGGAGGGAGAGAAGGGAGAGAGGCGGTGTGAGGCATGGTTCAAGACTGGTGTATAAGGAGGAGCAAGAGATGGTGGGAGTGGCGAGGGAGGAAGAGAATGGGAATGAGGATGAGGAGGGTGGAGCGGAGAGAGGAGAGGAGGGTGGAGGGGAGGGAGAAGGGGATCGGGAGGAGGGTGAGGAGGAGGGTGAGGAGGAGGATGAGGAGGAGGGTGAGGAGGAGGGTGAGGAGGAGGATGAGGAGGAGGGTGAGGAGGAGGGTGAGGAGGAGGGTGAGGAGGAGGGTGAGGAGGAAGGAGAGGAGGGGAGCAATGAGGAGGAGGTGGCAGCGACCCGCCAGCTGCTTGAGCTACCGACTGTGCGAGCCCTACTTGGCAAAGTGCTGCGCGCGCGTGAGAGCATGTACATGGACTTGAACAGGGCTGGCACATATGGAGGGGCCCGTGATGTGGTGGCGGGTAGCAGAGCGGTTAAGGGCGCGTGGACAGTGGTGGATGAATTGAGGGCTGCACGGGTGATGGAGAGGAAGGAGAGCGTGATGGGTGGTTGGGCGTGGGAGAGGGAGGAGAGGGAGAGGAGGGAGGGGAGGCAGAGTGAGGGCAGGGAGCAACGGAGGGAGTGGTGGCGGTTGCTGCATGCGAGGAGGTTGAGAGTGGCCGAGAGGGGCGTGTTGATGCGGTGCAGAGCGGTGTGGCTGGGTGAGCGGTGCTTGTGTGGGAGGGAGTGGAGAGGAGAGGGGGCGTGCAGATTGTGAGTCCGTGTGTGGGCAGCAGCTGATACGGTACCGTGTTTTGAGACGTCTCAAAACAGCTGATACGATACCATATATTTCACTCTGCTTGACGACAATGTATGGTAGCTTGCTCCATGTCAACTTACGACAATGTAACAAGATGTTTCAAAACATAATCAAAAGAGCATAGGTATGATTATGATTAGCACATAATGAAATTAGAAAAATAAACACACAAAACGGGTAGGATTAGAATTAGAGAATGGAGTTAGACAATTAGGAATTAGATCATGCACCGATCATTGTCGGGTTCGAATTCTTCGCAACTTGGGAATGTTGCAATATCGAACCACCTTGTAAGAAGGCCTCGTTGCACCCACCACCTGCTTGGCACTTGGGAAGAGAAGCCGTGGCACGGGCAGCAGGCAAAAGTTTCCGTTCAGCCCGCAGCATTACAACCTCCCCAGCAGCTGCTTCCCGGACAGCGCTCCGCATCCTAGAGAGAGCAGCATTCAGACTGTTAGCAGATCGCCCACGCATGGCGATGCCATGGCTACTACTGGCATCACAACCACCACCACCACCACCACCACCACGAGCCAAATGACCACCGGCTTCCCCAGCATGACCAGTGGCGTCACCAGCACGGTAATAACCGATGGCAGCACGACCGGTAGAAGCCCCGCTGGCGGCACCAGCAGAGCCAGTGACAGCAGCGACAGTGAGGGCTTGCCTGGCAGCAGATCCAGGAGCAGTGGTGCCGCCCTCACTGCTTCCCCTGGTGGCATGGTCGGTGCTGGTAGCAGAAGAGCCTGTGACAGCAGGCACAGTGAGTGCTCGCCTGACTGCTGACCCAGGACTAGTGGTGTCTTCCTCACTGCTTCCCCTGCTGGCATCACCGTCCCTGACAGCAGAAGCATGGCCGGTAACAGCGTTAGTGGCAGCAGCACAGCCAGTGACAGCAGCGACAGTGAGGGCTCGCCTGGCAGCAGATCCAGGAGCGGGCCGAACGCCCTCTCCTGACCTCATGGCCTTGTCCGGTCTCCACGGCCGCACCAGTGGTGCTGGCCCCATTGCTTCCCCTGGCCTTATTGGCCTTACTGGCTTCTTCTGCCTTATTGGCCTTGTTGGGTTGATTCGCCTCTCTCCTGTCACAGGCTGTGCTGCTTGCAGTGGCCGTTTGGGCCTTGGAGGAAGGCTGTAGCGCAGTGTGGTATGCAAACCTTGGTGTGTCTTCACGGGTGCAGCAAAAGCAGGAGGAGGAGTGGGAGGTGGAGCAACAGCAATAGAAACAGGCCCAGCAGTACCAGCAGCAACAGAAGCAGCAGCAGCACCCGAACTATCAGCAGCAGCAGCAGCAGTGGCAGAGGCATGAGCGAGCACATTGGCTCTCTGACTGCTGCCAAGAGCCTCCTGCCATAGGTCTGCCACGTCACACTCCACGTAGAGATCGTGCCAGCTCAGCGCATCCATGGCGCTGAGATAAGCGCTCGGTTGGGCGAGATAAGCACTCGGCGTGGCGAGATAAGCACAGTCTGGCTGCACCCTGTGCGGCCCAGCCTGCTGTCTATTCCCCCCTTCCTCTACCCCTTCAGTCAACTGCAACTGGTCTTTAACCCGCCCCTCCTCTCTAATCCGCTCCTCCTGTCTAATCCGCCCCTCCTCTCTAATCCGCTGCTCCTCTCTAATCCGCTCCTCCTCTCTAATCCGCCCCTCCTCTCTAATCCGCCCCTCCTCTCTAATCCGCCCCTCCTCTCTAGTCCGCTCCTCCTCTCTAATTCGACCCTCCTCTCTAACCCGCCTCTCCTCTCTAATCCGCCCCTCTTCTCTAATCCACCGCCCATCCTGTCTAATCCACCGCACCTTCTCTCTAATCCGCCCCTCCTCTCTAATCCGCCTCTCCTCTCTAATCCGCCCCTCCTCTCTAATCCGCCCCTCCTCTCTACTCCGCCCCTCCTCCTGTGCAGCCCGCCTTGCCACGGCCTCTGCAATCAATTGCAGCTGCTCTCGAATCCTCCCCTCCTCTGGAGCACTCACAGCAGCAGGGCTCGGCGCGCTCACAGCAGGGCTCGGCGCGCACACAGCAGGGCTCGGCGCGCACACAGCAGGGCTCGGCGCGCTCACAGTAGGGCTCGGCGCGCTCACAGTAGGGCTCGGCGCGCTCACAGCACCCACTCGCTTTTCATCCTCTTGTAGTTCCGCTCTGTTCTCTTGAACCCCCGCCGCCATTGCCTCCCTCCCTATTACCAACTTCTCTGCCCGCTCTGCGCGCTCTCCCTTTTCTGCCCGCTCTGCCATTTCTGCCCGCTCTGCCTGCTCAGTGCGTTCCGCCTGTGCAGCGACTTCGTCCGCCCGTCTCCTGATCCCCTTCCCGTCCTGCGCCTCGTCATCCCTGCCCTCCTCCTGCCCCTCCGCCTCCTTCTCCCCCTCCCGCCCTGTCTCACACCTCGACCGCGCCCCATCGCACAGCACCATTCCCTTGTGCACCAGCACGGGCGGCAATACACCGACGCTGGCTACCCCTGTCTCTGAACCTTCTCTGCCCGCACGAAGTGTTGCTCCCTCTGCTGGGCTCCTCCGCGCTACCTGCCCCAGCGCTGCACCCCCCGCCACCCGCGCAGCATCCCTCCGCCCACCCGCCGCGCCTCTCGTCGACACTTTCCCACCTGCACTTCTCGAGACCCTCCTGCGAATTACGGGGGTTGCGAAGCAAGTTACCCTTACGGCGACAGGCTTGCACATGACGACGTCGCCATCGTCGTCATCCTCGTCGCCAGCGTCGCACACTCGTCCTCCTGGTTCCGGTCTCCTTCCCCTCCAGCCCTTCACCGCCTCTCTCGCAACTAGTCCTGTTCTCCCCTCCGTGGTGTCCCATTCACCCGGCGCTGCTCCAACTACTCCTCTGCGAAATATGCCGACCGGCATTGCGAGAACCACGTCATCATCCTCCTCCCCATCCTCCCCTTCTTCCCCATCATCCTGTTTTCCTTCCCCCTCCCCCCCGATCTCCGCCTTCGTCGCTCTCACCAGCCCCACCGCCTTCCCCCCTGCGCAAGTCACGGTTCTGCATGTGCCCGACCGTGGTTGGCGGGTGGCGCACGTGCTTATTGATGCCGGCCGGCCGGCAGGGTTGACTGGCCGGCACTGAGTAACGGCTGCGGCGGAGTCCACCCGCGGCCGGCGAGACGGAATAATGCCGGAACGCGTAGTCAGAGTGCTTCGTTCCTCGTTATCCGCCTGACGGAGAATGGCGACCGCGCCGCTGCTCTCATGCCTGCCACAGCTGCTGGCAATATCAGCTGTTGTGACAATAGCATTCCCTTCGCTCTGAGCTCTTTCCGCGGGGGCGTAACCAGCAGGGCTCAGACGACGGTTCCCCCACGTACTACTAGCAGCAGCAGCGGGATGACTGGGGCGGCGAGGGGCGGAGCCTGCGCGCAGAACGTTGACAGGCGGAGGAGTCGGCGCAACAGCTTCCGCGGCGGCGCAGATTCTAGTAGGAGCTGCATTGGTGGGCGCGTTATGGCCTCCCCCGTTCCCCGGAAGCTGGTATCGGCGGATCCCCGTGCACAGAGATCGCAGGTCCGACTGACGCGCTGCGTTTTCCGCTTCGATGCGGAGTCGCCGGTGCCGCTGCACGTACTGTGCCACGTCAACGTCCGCAAAAACCGGCAATCGTGGCTCATTAGGAGCTAGTAGCGCACTTGAAGTCAGCGACGCCTTTTTAACTACGGTATCATAAGCGTCCTTCCCCGCTACGTGAGGGAACTGCACGCTACTACTACCGCGCATCGTCAATTCGTCGTCACATCGGGAATACCGCTCGCGATCCTCTGGACTTCGCGAGTCGCCATTTACGGGCGCTGCGGCTCCGGCTAGCGGATTATGGATAGTTCCGGCGACGACGCGGGGAGCTTCATCACCGCAATTTGTGGTGAGGCGATCCGTGGCGATGCGGCGGGAAAATCGTAGAAACGGTGAGTCGGGAAATCTTGCGTCGCTTCTAACCAGCGCGGCCTGCCATTTCTCCGTCGCGTCAAGTCGAAGAACATCCCTCTCGCGGCCATTTGCACGTTCATCGCACGTACCACCAGCGGGTGCCGCGGAACGCAGGGGCGCTACTCTCGCCCCCCCATTCATCGTGCGCCTTAGAGCTATGGCACTCGGTGTTTACTGCTCGCAATCAATCGTACTCTGTGGAACATGTCAGCTCGCGCCCTTGCAAGAACCGAAGCCATTTTTGCTTCTAGCTGTCTTTGGTTGGGAGTCAGCTGCCGTTTTCACTCCTGCGAGTACAGTAATCGTGTTATTGATCCTAAGCAAAGTGATCCTGCACGAGGACAGCGTGAAGGCAAATTAGGTGAAATGCCATATGACGAATGCATAGTAAGTTCGCGTCGCATTTCGTCTACAATACGAAACAACTTCTAACTGGATGCAAAATTGCAGCGCCCCTTCGCTACAGTGGAAAGGACGCGTCGCGATCACTTTGGCCTCCCTGGATTGGATCCCGTTCGTCCATCTCACCCAAGGACGGGCCGCCCGCGACTCGTTTTACTGTAGCTATATGTCAAGAGGGGCTTTCATTTTCCTCGGCACGTTCAAACCACGACCTCTTCTTGCTCTTCTTCGCGTTCCCTTGCCGTACAGGCATCCGTTATAGGTTGTAGACGTTAACACCAAACTCCTTCAGCAGAAAGAGATTTATTAAGCTTGTAGGTAAGTGTTGTTAATTTTACCCATCTACACTAGGAACTTCTCTATTGCTTGTGCGCGGTCAGCTCAATCTCCCCAGATTTCGCCAACGTGCCAATCAGGCCTGTCGAAGTTTCTGGGGCTCGTACTTGCGCTCCCCAGCTCCTCCCCATCTGACCCTTGGTTGGGTGTAGGTGCACGTTTTGGCGCCCTTAACGGGGACGGGCGCACCCCAAAGTGAGAACTTGAAATCAGGGCATTTTCGAAGTTTGCACTTACACTGTATTTAACAAGGATTGCAGGTATCTAGTTATATTAGAAGTCAAATAAACCTAGTACTACACATGCCTCTAACAGTCATAAAACCTACCTAGCCCGCAATGTTCTACTGCTCTACACTAGCTACAGAAATTGCATGCAGTGATCAACTACTCTACTCTAACCAAGCATGCAATGCAAGCCTAAGTTGCAGGCTTCCTTCCCTTCCTCCCCTTCTCCTCAAACAAGGCATAGGCCGCTGCCCAGTCCACCGGGTAGTCTAGCATCTTCACCGTCATGAGCTCCCCCAGCCTCACATCAGTAAGAGCAACCCGATCCCACGACTTAATAATGTTTTGGCGGGAGAAGCCCCTCTCGCACTCAACAGTGCTGAGGGGCAACACAGAAACCGCACGCCAGAGAGATACAATGGTGGGATAGTCATCCCTCCAGTCTGCCGTGCGCAGCATGTTGGTGAGAGCCTGATGGAAGCTCTGCTTCTTGAACTTCTTATCCATGGTGGCTACGAAGAGGCGCATCTGCGGCTCTATGTCAGCAAGAGTGAATCCTGCGACGGACATATACAACAAGTAGAACATGTCATGGTTGTGGAAGAACATAAACAATGTTAGAACATAGACAAGGTTCCTACAACAGGCCTCTCGACTTACCAGGTAGCTTGTTCTTGAACATGTCAAGGAGCTCGGTGAGATGGAGCTTCACCCACGCGTCCTGCTCTCCTGCACGGGGGGGATAATTATCAGGGGTGAAAAAACCAACACCATCGAAATGGCGCAGGTCCGCCATCCTCTTCCCCAGCGCCTTTATAAGGCGCTGAGCGAAACGCCTCGCCAGGTCCGCGCAGGCCTCCAAGTCGCATCCCCCCCCAGGGTTCTTAGGGTCGATGATGTCCTCGTGAAGCTCGATCTCGGCTGTTGCAGGCTTGCCGTTCTCATCCACTCCCTTGAGCTCCATCTTGCGCTTGTCCTTGCTTTTGTGTGCAGCAAGGAACTTGTTCAGGCGGGAGGTGTTCGGCCCGTTGGATGCGCCGGGCTCGACGTAGTACTGCGCCAGCTTGGTCTTCACCTTGTCGACATGGTTCTTCACCTGTGTGATGTCGACCTGAAAGCAAACAGAGCGCGAAACCATTATAACCTTGCACATAAGTCATGAAGCGCCTAGGTCATGTTCATAACAACCTTACCGTCTGCTTCTGGAAGGAAAGATTGAGTCCGTTGAGCAGCTGCAGCACGTCAGCCAGGAGGTAAAGCATGTAGTGGAACTTGAAGCTGGTTGCGAGCTTCTCCGTCCCGTCCTTCTCCTTCGTCCACATCCACATCAGAACCAGCAGCACGTCGCAGAACCGATTCACAGCATCCCCGCGAGACAACCAACGGACGGTGAAGAAGCCTTGCACCTCCAGGTGCGTCTGCAGAATGACGTCCTGGAGCTGCATGTAGGTCTTGTGATCGGTAGATGAACACCCGAGACGCTCAGCAGTCTGGCGTATCATCTGATCGACGACGTTGAACTCCTTGAAGCTCTTCGCGGCATCCTTTGCAGCCAATGCCTCGCTGCACAAGCACGAAATGTGGGTAAGTATGGTTGGCGACGGAAATAACATCACATAACAGTGCGGTGCAACCTTACCGATGCGCCACGCAGTGAATCGCCACCAGCCACGGGCAACGTTTCCGAAGCAGGGCGACAACTCCGTTCTGCTTGCCAGTCATGACGGATGCACCATCCGTTGAAACCCCAACCAGCTTGTCCATCGACATGTCCTTCGACCACAGACACTTCACGATCGTGTCGTACAGTGCTGCAGCGTCGCACCGCTCGAGCGACAGGAGAGCAAGAAACTGGCACACAACGGCCTCGCCTCTCTCGAACGTGACATACACGATGAGATGCTTTCCACGGGCGCGATCCGTGGATTCGTCGAAGGAGAGGCTGTACCAGGCCGACTCTTTGACGTCCACGAGCTGCCTGGCCACCAGATGCTCCGCCATAGCCTCTACGAACTCGCTGAAAGCGTATCTGCAATTAGTACTGACTGGAAATGTGAGTTAATTACTCACAAAAGAACAGCAATAGAAACGAAACAAGCAGAAACCTCCGACCAGGGTCAGAAGCAGGATAGAAGGAGCAAAAACATAGGCTAACAACCACATACCGCGAGTAATAACGACCGTATGCTTCGCCGTTCCGCATGTCGAGGCATCCTTGCTCCGCCATGAACCGCACCAGCAAGGGGTAGAGAGCGATAGGTGCATCGTGCTGCGCGATCCAATGAGCTCCCTGCATGCATTTCACGACCCTCGCCATGACAGGATTGTTGCTGAGCATGTTCAAGAGGCTGCGCTGCCTCACCTCCGTGCCTGCAGCAAGTCGTTCTGCTTCCATGGCCGCGAGGTGCACCTTGGACTGGTCGTGGTTGCGGCATGCAGACTTCTGAAAATCCCTCGCACCGACGCCAGGACCGCCAAATGAAGACTTGGTGTTAGGAGCGAACTTACAGCACACGGAACACTTCATACCATACTGGCGCTCCTCTTTGTTGTACTTCAGGCTCAGCCACGAGTACGTCTGCTCCCAGGCTGTGCTGAAGCGTCGTGCATGACACCTCTCAACAACAGGGATCTCGGTGTCCGCGGGTACTTCTGCATCCTCTGCGATAGCCTTGTCCTGCGCCTCCAGCTCCTCAGCCGTGGGTGGAGGCGGCGTGCTACGTGCGCGCTTCCGCGATTGTGGTGGCGGACTTGCGAAGCTGAGGTGCACCTGACGAAAGCGGCCCGCAGTCCTCGGTGTAGTCTGTGACGATGCGGCTTGATGGGCGTCGCGTGGGTGTCGAGGAGAAAAGGCCCCGCCCTCGCTTGGGCGAAGTCGGCCATGCTTTTCGGAGCACAACGGTGTTCGTTTCGTGGTCATCGGCGACTTCAGGGACTTTTATCTCTGACTGACGGGTCGATTTTCGACGAAATTACTTCGTCGAAATTGAAGTGCTGTTTCTGCTCTACACAACTGCCCCTCGACGAGGCACTTGTCGAGGGGAGCAAAACGGCGTCGAAATCGAGCCTTGCGGGTCGACGAAATGGTAGAAAACAGCGTTTCGACGAAACGCTGGTCGACAGAATTAAGCTCGAAACAGGCACCGTCGAGCAGAGCGTTGCTGGTCGACAAAAGTACTTGTCTCCAAAATTCGCAATGTGCGCGAATTTCGACCAATCGCGAAACAGCAAATTTCGACCAATCAGAGAATTTCGGAAATTGTACTCCCCAGGAGAATTCGAATCAGTAAGGAAACTGAACCTGAAACACGTTTTTACTAACAGTAAAAACGTAAACAACTCTGAAAGCTGTAAACCTGAGAAACTGCCAACTCAGGTGAAAGACACATGTGCTTGTCGTTTCACCTGCCGTTGCTGACTCGGATAAGTCAGGTGTTAGCCGAGGAACGTTTCTCTAGGGTTCATTGTTCTTGCTATTTGGTTCTCCTTGCTTGTACCATAATCTTGTTCAATCAATTTCTGCTAGTGGAACTATGCTTGAATTCTACCAAGGCATCTAAGTTCACTCCTGAGAATCACTGCCAGAACTCTGACTGTGTGTCCCACGCTAGTCAAGCTCTCCCTTAGAGTATAATTCTCCGCATGGTGCGGTGAGCGTGGAACGGCCCCGCGTTAGAACCTTCAGAGTAGCCGACTTTAGCGCTCATTACCTAAGTTGTTGTAGGCTGGCAGCCGTCTAGACCGCCATGGTCGACCAGGAGGAGGTCGCTGCAGGCGTAGAGGATACCCTGCAGGCGCGGTTAGATGACGTTCGGGCACGCCACGCAGCTGGCGAGTACGGCGGAGCAACCTTGGAGGTTATGCTCTTTGGAACCCGCGTGCAGTGGGCGCGCGAGCATCCAACGACCCGTACTGAGGCGGATGGACTGCCCGCCACTCCCCGACCGGCACGCAACGAAGGCGGCGTCGACGACCAGGTCGACGGCGGTGACCAAGTCGGCAGTGAAGGAGGCAGTACAAGGCGTCGTGGAGTGATTCGGGTCGCCGACGTCGGTGTCGGCGGAATGCAGGCGCGATTTCAGCGCTCGGCGGTAGCGGGAAGCTCGAACGGCAACGCCAATGGCCGAAGTCAATCTCCCTTGCAGAGTGGAGTCAGACCGACGTCGGCAACTCATGCGTCGGCCGGTCGGGACGGAGGCATCGCGCCGGCGTACGGATATTTCAAGTTTTCGCCGGACAAGATTGCCGTGCCGAAGCTGCTCGAAGGTCGCCACGACTTGATCACATGGATTGAGTCCATCGAGCCGCAGCTGGAGATCGCCGGATTGAAGAAGTTCGTCGACGGCAATGTTGCGACGCCGGACGCAGACGACTCTGAACTCTGGGCGGAATTTCGCGCTGCTCATCTCCTAACCTTCATGGTCATTTCGAGGTGTTGTTCGCCTCTGGTGCAGGTCGCATTGACGTCGTGCAGACAACAGGTGGATGCTGGCTACCAAGCGTGGCAGTACATTATGCGTACCTACAAGGCGACCGACGACCTTTACATCAGCCAGCTGGAGAGGAAATTGGCCAACATTCGCATGGGCGAGCAGGAATCGGCGACCGAGTACTGCAATCGAGCGCGGCGAATTTTGGCCGACATGCGGATGGCTGGTTTCGAGTACTCAGTGGTATCGTATGTCATGCATGTCATCAATGGCCTCCCCTCGAGCTACAATCTGATGCGACGGATGCTGATAATGCCCGGCACGCGCGAGACTCTGAACGAGGATTCGCTTTCGAGTCACATCATCCAGGACGAGTTTATGCAGGAGTCTGAGCGGTCTTCAGAGCTCCTTCCGCAGGCTAACTATGTCGCTCCGGCGAAGCAGGGACGTCAGCCGGGGCACCGTGGGAAGTCGGGCGGAGGTGGAGGCGGCGGCGGCAAGTCGTCGAACACCAAGTCTACAGAGGGCGCCGACCGCGGGAAGTCGGCGAAGGGCACTGATCGCGGAAGCAGTGGTTCGCGTCGAGGAGGACGCCGCTGCTACATTTGCGGAGACCCTGACCATCTCTCGTATGACTGCCCTGACCGCGATGAGTCTGACGACGATCAGAGAGGAAGCCGTGGAAAGTCGGAAAACGCTCGTCGATCAGAGGATGGGAAGTCTGACAACGATCGTCAGCGTCGAGACAACAAGTCGCGGAAGGAGAAGCCTGCGTCGTCGAAAACGCCGTCGACATCAGAGGCTGGTACCTCGAGCGGAAAAGAAGCCTCTTGTTCGATGGTTGGCGTGGTCGAGCCAACAATTTCGCTGGCGCCGGAGGCTGGCGAAGACTTCCAGGCGGTCGCAGCAGCCGTGTAGGCGAATCCAACGGTGGTCCTCCTCGACAGTGGCTGCTCCCATCATCTGATGGGAACACGAGAGGCCTTCGTCGAAATGAAGCCAGGAGGAGAAATCCGTCACGTGCGCGGATTCAACGGGGCGCTTCAGAACGTCGAAGGCCGTGGCACAGTTGCACTGCAAGGGGAGACTAGGAAGCAGATTCTCATCCCCGACGTGTTGTACGTTCCGGGCGTGCACGCGAATCTACTGTCTGCTGGTCAGCTGAAGGAAAACGGCGTGAAGCTGCAGAACGAGGGTGACGAGATGCTGCTCGTTTCCTCTGCAGGAGATGTGCTCGGTCGAGCACGCTACACCGGCCGGGTCCTCTGCACCGACCTCCGCCCCTGCTCCTCGAAATCGACGACATCTTCGACAAAGGCAGTTGCTCTGCGGACGATCGCATCTGCGACGAAGTCGACGCTAGACAAGTGGCACCCGAGGCTCGCGCACGTCGGCATTGACACGATTAAGAGTTCGGCGAAGCATGGTGTTGCCGTCGGCCTGAACATCCAGAAGTCCACCGGAGCCGACCTGCCGTGTGCCTCCTGTGTCGGAGGGAAACTAGCGCGACATACTTTTCCAGAGAAGGGATCGGACGCTGACAACGCCCTTGACGTCGTGCACATTGACCTCTGCGGCCCCTTCCGCGTGGCCGCCATGGATGGAAGCCTCTACTTCCTTCTCCTCAAGGACCGCAAGACCCGCTTTGTGTGGGTCCGCCCGATCGCGAAGAAGAGCGATGTGCTGGTCGTTTTCGAGAAGTGGCTGAAGGAAGTGGAACGGCAGACTTCGAAGTCGGTGAAAAGGCTGCGCTCTGACCGCGGAGGGGAATTCCTCGGCCGGGCCTTCACCGATCTCGTCGAGGACAAGGGTATCCTCCACAACCTCACGTGCCCCTACACTCCGCAACAGAATGGCATGGCGGAGCGGGAAATGCGCACGGTCGTCGAAGCTGTGCGGACGATGCTGCTTCACATGGGGGTGAAGCATCACTGGTGGCACCTCGCCCTTCGCCACGCCGTCTGGGTGCGCAACTGCCTCGAACGGGCTTCACTTCCTCCGAGGACGACGCCGTACGAGCTGCTGTTCGAGAAGAAGCCGGATCTCACGCTGGCGCGCGTGTGGGGCTGCATGGTGCAGTTCATGATCCCAGAGCAGCAGCGCGGCGGAAAGTTGGCACCGAAGGCCCGCTGGGGAATTCACCTCGGAGTTTCGCCGGAGAGCAAGGGATGGGAGGTGCTCGACCTCACCGCCAACCGCATTGTCACAACCGTGGAGGCAATCTTCTATGAGGCGATGTCTCTGGAGGAGTGGAAGGTGGAGCACGGGCCCGCGTCAGAGCGGACGAAGTTTTCTCCGCCGACGGGCCCGTTGCCAGCGGTGATTTCGTTGCTCGAATCCGAGGACGATGGTGCTTCTGCAGATCCTTCTCCCTCCATTCCGCCCTCGTCGAAACCTCCTCCTCCTCTTCCCGTCTCCCCCCCATCGCTCGCCCCCGGCCTGCCTAAGTCGGCATCATCGTCGGCCGCCAGCGATGAGGGGAGCATTGGTGTGTCACCTTCGGCTCCGCCCATTGGCATCGCTGGCGGTCGACATGATCTGGTCAGCGAGCAAGTCGGCGCCGGAGTGAAGTTTCCACCAACAGGGGAGACGTCGACCGGGAAGCGCGTTTCAGAGAAGCTGCCGACAGGGGAGACGTCGAACGGGAAGCGCGTTTCAGAGGAGCCATCGACAGGAGAGCCGTCGAACAAGGAGCGCATTTCAGAGGAGCCGTCGACAGAGGATCCGTCGAACGAAGAGTTCACTTTAAAAGAGCGAACGACAGGGGAGCAGTTCGACGATGGCACATCGAGCGACGTTGTTGAAGTCATCGGTAGCGATGAAGGGGAGCCATCGGCCAAGGAGCAGTCCAGCAGCGACAGCGACGTGGTGGAAGTCTCGGCCGACAAGCCTGCAGTTCGACGTTCCACCCGCTCCAACTTTGGCAAGCCTCGCGAGAAGCTGAGCTACCATGCTTGCCTGCCGCCGACCTCCTACAGCACTCTGCTCGATGATGCGCAGTTCGACGTCAACGTACCCGAGCTCGATCCCGATATGCACACTGATCCAGAGCACCGCTGGGACATCGCTAACATGACAGTGAAGGAGGCGTTAGCGAGCTGGAAGGGCAAGGCGGTGAAAGCGGCGATGGACGAGGAGATTCGAAGTCTCATCACCAACGGCACTTGGGAGCTGGTGGAGCGCCCGCGCGGCGTCAATGTCATGAAGAACCGCTGGGTACTGACGACGAAGTACCATGTCGACGACACGGTTGCCCGCGAAAAGGCGCGCCTGGTGGTGAAGGGCTTCACGCAGGTCTACGGAGCTGATTACGACGAGACGTACGCTCCAGTCGGGAGCTACGTTACGCTACGGATTTTCCTTAGCATCGTCGCCGTCCTCGATCTGCACCTCATGCAGTTAGACATGAAGAATGCGTTTCTACAGAGCAAGCTCGATCGCGTGCTCTACATGGACCAGCCGGCTTACTACAACGATGGTACCGGCCGAGTATGCAAGCTGCTGAAGAGCCTGTACGGGCTGAAGCAGAGCCCTCTGCTATGGTACTCTGCGCTCGACGCTGTGCTGATTGGCGCTGGTTGGAGCAAGAGCCAGGTCGACGAGGCCCTCTATTTCCGAGTTGGCGACGACGGAGTGGCGTGCTGGGTGCTCGTCTACGTCGACGACCTGCTCGCCGCCAGCAGCAGCACCGCGATGCTGAAGGAGCTAAAGGAGCTGCTGGAGGCTGCCTTTGAGCTGCGCGAGATCACCCCGGTCGAGAAGTACTTGGGGCTCGAAATCGTGCGCGACCGTCCGGCGCGGAAGCTGTGGCTTCACCAGCAGTCCTATGTCGACAAGCTGCGTAGGCGCTTCATCGACGAGGAGCAAACTGGTCGGCGTCCGAAGACACCTGTTTCCGTCGACGCGTATGCCGAGCTGACTTTCGACGACGATGACTTTCAGTCGCGCGAAGAAGAGGAGTATCGTCAGAAGGTCGGTTCGCTGCAGTTCTCTGCCACAACAACTCGGCCCGACATCGCTTTTGCGTGCAGCAAGCTGGGGTCTGGTCTGACGGTGAGGAGCGACAACCACTGGCGTGAGGTCGATCGCTGCCTCAACTATCTCTCTGACACGCGTGATGTTGCTCTGGAGTTGGAGGACCAGAAACTCTGACACTGGTCGGCTACGCGGACGCTGACGACGCAGGCGACAAGCAGAATCGCACTAGCACAAGTGGCTACGTTTTCACATTCGGCGGCGCAGCTGTCTCCTGGACAAGCCAACGCATCAAGTGCGTGACTCTGTCCTCTACGGAGTCAGAGTACATCGCGGCCACTGAGGCGGCCAAGGAGGCTCGTCGACTTCGATTCCTCCTCGCCGAGTTCCAGCTCCTCGATGCTGGGACGCCAACTACTCTGAACGTGGACAATCAGTCCGCCATCGCGGTCGCTGAGGGCTTGGGGCTGAAAGGCAACCTCAAGCACATGGAGCGACGCTACGCCTGGCTGCAGCAGATGGTGAAGCGCAAGAAGGTTGCGCTGGAATACATCCCAACATCCGAGCAGCCGGCGGACTTCCTCACAAAGGGTCTGCACTTTCCGGCCTTCAACCGGTGCTCTATCGCGATCGGCCAGGTTCGCCTTGCCGCAGTCGGCGACAACGACGACGTGCAGCAGTAGGTGCCATGTCCTCTAACATGGCTGGTGCGGTGGTCGGCGTGCGGGAGTGTGCACGCCAGAGAAATGTCCCCTTGTATTTTATTAGCTAGGTTCTGGGTGGACCTTGTGTGTGGGTGCCCAAGCGTGAGCTGGGCAGGGGAGTGTCGAGGAGAAAAGGCCCCGCCCTCGCTTGGGCGAAGTCGGCCATGCTTTTCGGAGCACAACGGTGTTCGTTTCGTGGTCATCGGCGACTTCAGGGACTTTTATCTCTGACTGACGGGTCGATTTTCGACGAAATTACTTCGTCGAAATTGAAGTGCTGTTTCTGCTCTACACAACTGCCCCTCGACGAGGCACTTGTCGAGGGGAGCAAAACGGCGTCGAAATCGAGCCTTGCGGGTCGACGAAATGGTAGAAAACAGCGTTTCGACGAAACGCTGGTCGACAGAATTAAGCTCGAAACAGGCACCGTCGAGCAGAGCGTTGCTGGTCGACAAAAGTACTTGTCTCCAAAATTCGCAATGTGCGCGAATTTCGACCAATCGCGAAACAGCAAATTTCGACCAATCAGAGAATTTCGGAAATTGTACTCCCCAGGAGAATTCGAATCAGTAAGGAAACTGAACCTGAAACACGTTTTTACTAACAGTAAAAACGTAAACAACTCTGAAAGCTGTAAACCTGAGAAACTGCCAACTCAGGTGAAAGACACATGTGCTTGTCGTTTCACCTGCCGTTGCTGACTCGGATAAGTCAGGTGTTAGCCGAGGAACGTTTCTCTAGGGTTCATTGTTCTTGCTATTTGGTTCTCCTTGCTTGTACCATAATCTTGTTCAATCAATTTCTGCTAGTGGAACTATGCTTGAATAGTGGAACTATTTGTGCATCTAAGTTCACTCCTGAGAATCACTGCCAGAACTCTGACTGTGTGTCCCACGCTAGTCAAGCTCTCCCTTAGATTAGAATTCTCCGCAGTGGGTCCAAGACAGAGACTGCTACGTCTAGCATCTCTTCAGCATCCGGTGGTACGTAAGGCTCGGTCTCGGTCGTACTATGCGAATGAGAGATGCTCGTCATGGCCAAAACTGGAGGAGGGGTTTCACCCTCGCTAGGCTCCATTGTGGGAGAACGTTGCTGACGAAGTACACTAGTCAGCTAGCCATAATATAAACCTCGCGTGTGTGAGTTAGGCGACGCGAGGTTTACTCGACAGGGTGGGTGGGTGCCATAGCACGGCACTTACGAGGGTGGAGAGCAGAGAGCTTGGGTGTTTTAGACGGGGTGGAAGAGAAAACATGGCACGAACAAGGGAGGAGAGGAGAGGGAGCCTGGGTGGGTGGTGGTGGTGGATGGATTGCATGGTGGTGGAGAAGATTCGTGGCTCGCACGAACGAAGGTGGTGAGGGAGCTGCTACGGTGGAGTGCTTCAGTTCCTTTGACGTGCTTTGGTTTAGTGTGTTGGATGTCTTTGTGGCCAAGGAACTTTGCCAGATTCACTCAAGATAATCCCATGTGTCACAGCTGTACACTGCGGCCAGCTCGTATTGGACGCTAAGGGAATGTGCGGGTGCTCCTAGGCTGACTGAGACACGCTTCACACACAGGATTGGCTACAAAACGCTAAGGGAAAAATCCCCTTGGCGCGCTCTAGTTCAGGCTGAGGAGAAAGAGGGGGGGGGGGGGGGGGGCTTGGGCACCCTGGGGGGGGGTCCTACGACCTGAAACCTACACTTAGATACAGGGGAAGGCCTGGTTTAGTCCCTTAACGCATCCGGGGAAGCTTCGAATGAGGCACTTAGTGGCACGGGTGGGGTGCGAATCTAAAACTTGACGCATTGGAGCTGGAGCTAAACAAGCCCTTAATGTCAGGGCATTAAAGCCCAAGACCTGAATTACTCAACGGAAGTCAACGCTAAAAACTAGGTTCGGGAGGCAGGCACGGAGAGGTTCGGTTGGGTTGCGAGAGACTTTCAACTCGCGAAACAATTTGCGACAAAAGTCTCTCGCTTCCCATGATGGGTGGGGTCCTTCCCACAACCAGAAAAGCGCTTGCATACCAAACTGTGCACAGTTTGAGATAGCACGCTTAGTATTAGGCATAGACCATACCCGTAGACAGGGCAGGGCGTCGGTGTTCACTCAAAAGAGATCAGATGCGCCTTACGATGTGGGAGGCGCGGATTTCGATGATGACGCGCAAAGCTAGTGTTAGTTGTGTGAAGAATTTTGTGTCGAAATGCAGGTTATTGTGCAACTACTGCGTAGCGTAAACTCGCCGCATCGAAAATCGAATCACACCCGTTCGACCAACCGTGACCCTCCCCTCGCCCTCGCTTTCCTTTCCCTAGGTCCCACGCTTCCGCTCTCTGTCGTCCGCGTCGTCGCCATCATTTCCGCAGCTCGTCGCCTTCGCGACCCCAGCCAGTCGCGAACGCTCCGTCCGTCGCGAACGCTCCGCCCGTCGCCTTCACTTCCCCCCCGTCGCCTTCACTTCCCCCCCATCGCCTTCACTTCCCCCCCGTCGCCTTCACTCCCCGCCCACCGTCGCCTGCTCTTCCCCGTCGCCTTCACCCCCCCCAACCCCGTGGTGACTTCCCACCCCCCGTCGCCTTCACTTTTCCCCCTCCCGTCGTTTTCACTTCCCCCGCCCCATGGCCTTCATTTCCCCCACCCCGTCGCCTTCACTTCCCCCCCCCCCGTCGCCTTCTCTTCCCCCATCCCGTCGCCTTCAACCCCCCCCCACCACGTCGCGACTTCCCACCCCCCGCGCCTTCACTCCCCCCCCCCCCCCCCCCTCCCGTGGCACTCGCTTCCCCCGCCTGTTGCACTTGCTTCACCACCCGTCGCCTTCACTTCCCCTCCCATTGCCTTTCACTCTCTCCTGCTCATTCTCTCTTCCCCGCCCGTCGCCTTCTCTACCCCTCCCATTGCTCGTCTTTATCCCCTCCATTCCCCCACCCTACGCTCTCTCTCCTCCCCCACTGCTCACTCTCTCCCCCACTGCTCACTCTCTCCCCCACTGCTCACTCTCTCCCCCACTGCTCACTCTCTCCCCCACTGCTCACTCTCTCCCCCACTGCTCACTCTCTCCCCCACTGCTCACTCTCTCCCCCACTGCTCACTCTCTCCCCCACTGCTCACTCTCTCCCCCACTGCTCAATCTCTCCCCCGCTGCTCACTCTCTCCCCCGCTGCTCACTCTCTCCCCCACTGCTCACTCCCTCCCCCACTGCTCACTCTCTCCCCCACTGCTCACTCTCTCCCCCACTGCTCACTCTCTCCCCCACTGCTCACTCTCTCCCCCACTGCTCACTCTCTCCCCCACTGCTCACTCTCTCCCCCACTGCTCACTCTCTCCCCCACTGCTCAATCTCTCCCCCGCTGCTCACTCTCTCCCCCGCTGCTCACTCTCTCCCCCACTGCTCACTCCCTCCCCCACTGCTCACTCCCTCCCCCACTGCTCACTCTCTCCCCCACTGCTCACTCTCTCCCCCACTGCTCACTCTCTCCCCCACTGCTCACTCTCTCCCCCACTGCTCACTCTCTCCCCCACTGCTCACTCTCTCCCCCACTGCTCAATCTCTCCCCCGCTGCTCACTCTCTCCCCCGCTGCTCACTCTCTCCCCCACTGCTCACTCCCTCCCCCACTGCTCACTCCCTCCCCCACTGCTCACTCTCTCCCCCACTGCTCACTCTCTTCCCCACTGCTCACTCTCTCCCCCACTACTCACTCTCGTTCTCCCTGGACTCACTTATCTTTCCCCCCTGTTTACTCTCTATTCCCCTTCGTTCAACCCTTTTTCCCCACAATCCCTCTCACCTCCCCTGTTCACACCCCTCGTTTCCCCCTGCTTACTGGCTTTCCCCTTTGCTCACCTCCTTCTCCTCCCTGCTCACCCTATATCCCTCTTTGCTATCCCCATCCTCCCCTCCCCGCATGTCCCGCGCATCATGTGTCCCTCGCGCACTCCGCGCTACCGCAGCGGACTTGACGCTGCGCCTCAAGGGCGCGCCTTTCGCGGCGATGGGCGCGCGGCTGATCCTCTCCGCGCGCTCCGTGGAGCGCCTGGAGGCGGTGCGCACTTCCTGCTGCGGGAAGCACGCGCCGGAGGGGGTGGTGGTGCTGCCGTTCTGCCCATCCGCGCACAATGAGTGTCCAATTTTACACACACCCCTCTCTCTTTTTCAGTTCCTACCTCTCCCAGTTCCCCTCGTTCCCCCAGTTCCTCACTCTCACGACACAGTCTCCTCCTCTCAAGTCTCTACAACCATGTGCTCTCCCTCTCCTTTCGTCTTTGCTCACCCCTCTGCCTTGTCCACTCCTCCTATACATGCCCTTCTGCACCTCCACCTCCACTTTTCGCTTATTTTGCCATATCCCCTCTTCCCTCATTGTTCTATCACAGAACCATGCTTGTACAGGTGCCCAGCACCATGGGTCCAACAGGAGTGGGATGGAAAGTTACCACCTCCTAGCTTTGTACATTGTGCTTGTAGTCTACTACTGACAAATTTTAAAAAAATATAACTTGCTTTGTTGCATTTCTTTGTAGTGGTCATGTGCATGGCTGCTCTAAAGCCCAGAGTGTTGTATCAGGAGAAGGATCCAACATCTCTACATCGCATGGCTATTTGTCATACCACTAACATCAAACAGCTAAGGCATGACAACTGGATGCATGGCAAACCTGCACAAACACGAACCACAAACACGAAGCATCAGGGAAGGATACAAAACAATGACAATGGGAGGGCAGGCGACAAGAAACAAGCCCCTAAAATATACAGACAGGGTAGGAGTGTAGTCGCGTGGCAGGGTAGAAGGGTGCAGAGGAATGGCTGACGAGAGGAAGTGAGGAGGCTGAGAGGAAGGGAGGATGGCAGAGAGGGATGCAGAGAACAAGGACTGTGCCGAGGGAGAAAATGAGCAAGGGAGACAAGGAGGAAGGGTGGACGAGAGGATGGGATGAAGGGAGGGAGGAAAGGGGAAAGAGAGGGGGGAAAGACACTGAAGCAGAGAGTAGGGGAGAGGGTGGAAGAGAGGAAGAGAGGAAGGGAGTAGGAGAGGACGACGTTGGGTGGAAGGGTGGAAGGGAGGAAGGGAGGGGGGGAAGGAAGAAAAGAAGGATGGGAGGATGAAATGAAGGGAGAATGAGGGGAAGGGAGGATGAGCACAAGGGCTGGAGGGTGGAAGGGTGGAAGGGGAGAAGGGGGGATGGGAGGATGTGAGGAATTCAAGTAGGGAGAGGACAAGTGGGTGAGACGGAAAGGCGGTTGATTGGAAGCTAGGAAGGTGGCAATTGAAAAGAAGGGCGGCAGGGTCACACTCCCGTGCCCCCCCCCCCCCCAAGTCCCCTCCCCCCCTCCACTCGCCCCCTTGAGCACAGCGCTCCTCACTCCCCGCCTGCACGTGCTGCCCCGGCTGTGCGCCAAGCACTCTGCTCCAATGCTGCAGCAGCACCTGCCATGTGTGCGGGGTTGGTGCGAGAGAGATGTGCTGTGCTGCCATGGGGCTGTGAGGGGCACAGCGTGGGGGGTAGGGGGTGTGCACAGCGGTGCATGCTCCTCGCCTAGCACCGCATCAGCTTTCATTCTCCCCTCGCCTGCGCATCACACACCCTCGCACACGCCACAGCGAACAAGTCACGACCCCATACCCAGTGCCCAGCCCAGCACTGCATCTCTCTGCGCTCAGGGTGGGTGTCCACTCCTATCGTCCACCACGTCTCTCAACATCCCGTCACGGTGCACTTGCTGATTGGTTGTAAGAAACAATGAGAGGAAGGGAGGATGCGTGGAAGGGAGGATGCGAGGAAGGGAGGATGAGAGGACGGGAGGATGAGAGGACGGGAGGAGGAGAGGAAGGGAGGACGAGAGGAAGGGAGGATGAGAGGAAGGGAAGACGAGAGGAAGGGAGGATGAGAGGAAGGGAGGATGAGAGGAAGGGAGGATGAGAGGAAGGGAGGATGAGAGGAAGGGAGGATGAGAGGAAGGGAGGATGAGAGGAAGGGAGGATGAGAGGAAGGGAGGATGAGAGGAAGGGAGGATGAGAGGAAGGGAGGATGAGAGGAAGGGAGGATGAGAGGAAGGGAGGATGAGAGGAAGGGAGGATGAGAGGAAGGGAGGATGAGAGGAAGGGAGGATGAGAGGAAGGGAGGATGAGAGGAAGGGAGGATGAGAGGAAGGGAGGATGAGAGGAAGGGAGGATGAGAGGAAGGGAGGATGAGAGGAAGGGAGGATGAGAGGAAGGGAGGATGAGAGGAAGGGAGGATGAGAGGAAGGGAGGATGAGAGGAAGGGAGGATGAGAGGAAGGGAGGATGAGAGGAAGGGAGGATGAGAGGAAGGGAGGATGAGAGGAAGGGAGGATGAGAGGAAGGGAGGATGAGAGGAAGGGAGGATGAGAGGAAGGGAGGATGAGTGGACGGGAGGAGGAGAGGAAGGGAGGATGAGAGGAAGGGAGGATGAGAGGAAGGGAGGATGAGAGGAAGGGAGGATGAGAGGAAGGGAGGATGAGAGGAAGGGAGGATGAGAGGAAGGGAGGATGAGAGGAAGGGAGGATGAGAGGAAGGGAGGATGAGAGGAAGGGAGGATGAGAGGAAGGGAGGATGAGAGGAAGGGAGGATGAGAGGAAGGGAGGATGAGAGGAAGGGAGGATGAGAGGAAGGGAGGATGAGAGGAAGGGAGGATGAGAGGAAGGGAGGATGAGAGGAAGGGAGGATGAGAGGAAGGGAGGATGAGAGGAAGGGAGGATGAGAGGAAGGGAGGATGAGAGGAAGGGAGGATGAGAGGAAGGGAGGATGAGAGGAAGGGAGGATGAGAGGAAGGGAGGATGAGAGGAAGGGAGGATGAGAGGAAGGGAGGATGAGTGGACGGGAGGAGGAGAGGAAGGGAGGATGAGAGGAAGGGAGGATGAGAGGAAGGGAGGATGAGAGGAAGGGAGGATGAGAGGATGGGCGGATGAGATGATGGGTGGATGAGATGATGGGCGGATGAGATGATGGGTGGATGAGAGGATGGGCGGATGAGAGGATGGGCGGATGAGAGGATGGGCGGATGAGAGGATGGGCGGCGAGTAGGAGATGGAAATGGAAAGAGGGACTGGATCGAGGGAGGATGAGGAGAGGGAGAATGGCAGGAAGGGAGGGCAGGAGGAAGGGAGGGAGAACGGGGAGCAGGGGAAAGAGGGTAGTGAGGCAGAGAGTGTGGGATAGATGGAGGAAGGGAGAAAGAGAGAGGGAGAGGAGGACGACCGTGGGGGCCCCACGGAACGGAGTAAGGGAGGAGGGCAGGTGGTAAGAGTGTGGCAGGGTATAAGGGGGATTGGAGGATCCCTGCACCCTCTCTCCCTAACCCCCGCCTTCCCCGCTCCGCCTCCCCCGACCCGCCCCCTGCAGCACTGCACTGCTTGCTGCCCGCCTGCACGCGCTGCCCTGGCTGGGCGCCCAACACTCTGCTCCAAAGCCGCACCACCACCTGTCATGGGCGACGGTGGGGGGAAGCGTGGGCGACGGGGGGGGGAAGCGTGGGCGACGGGGGGGGGGAGCGTGGGCGACGGGGGGGGGAAGCGTGGGCGACGTGGGGGGGGAAGCGTGGGCGACGGTGGGGGGAAGCGTGGGCGACGGTGGGGGGAAGAGGGGGCGACGGTGGGGGGAAGCGTGGGCGACGGTAGGGGGAAGCGTGGGCGACGGTGGGGGGAAGCGTGGGCGACGGTGGGGGAAAGCGTGGGCGACGGTGGGAGGAAGTGTGGGCGATGAGCGGGGAAGCGTGGGCGACGGTGGGAGGAAGCGTGGGCGACGGTGGGAGGAAGCGTGGGCGACGGTGAGGGGAAGCGTGGGCGACGGTGGGGGGAAGCGTGGGCGACGGTGGGGGGAAGCGTGGGCGACGGTGGGGGGAAGCGTGGGCGACGGTGGGGGAAAGCGAGAGCGACGGTGGGAGGAAGTGTGGGCGATGAGCGGGGCGCGCGTGAGGGAAGGTGGGGGAAGGCGCGAGCGACGGTATGGGGAAGCGTGGAGGAAGGTGGAGGAGGGCGCGCGCGACGGTGAGGGGATGCATGGGGGAAGGCAGGAGGGAAGGGAACGCGTGAGCGACGGTGGCGGAACGCGTTGGCGACGGCGAAGGGAAGCGTGGGCGTGTGCGTGGGGAGGTGTGTGAGAGACGGTGGGGAGGAGCGTGGGTGACGCGGAAAGCGTGGAGTTCTAAATGGGCCGTAGGATTACTAGGAATAAATGTGAAAGTAACCCTGGCCTATGCTTTAGTGGCTTTTTGTTCTATCTCTTCGCACGATCTAATCCCTTAGCCTACCATCGGTGCAAGCACAACCTGAATTACGGAAGAAGCAAACTGTGCACACTTTGAGTGGTTGTTCCTTCAGAAGGGTGCGGTTGGGACTCTCGCTAACCGTACTTGTTCCGCCCTACGACTTCGAGTTTTTTGCGCGATGTTTTCTGGTAACCAGCCAGGCTCGGAAAGTCAACTGTGGGTTCGGAAGGCAAACTGTGCACAGTTTGCCTTCCTTTTTTTGTAATTCAGGTCTTGGGCTTTAAGGGCATATGCCCGTCAATCGTCAGGCCTGGTGCCAATACATCTGTCGCATTGCAGACACAAGGTGCGCGAATTTTTGGGTGCGAAACGCGCCCCTCGAAGCTCATTTTTGGCTCGCATCGTCAATTTCCAGCTCACCCCCAATTCCGAACCACCAGGCCATCAAACATCCAAATTGGCCCAAGTTAGCAGTCCCCATGATCATCCTTCAACCATCGAAGGTCTATAAAACGACATGCACTTTCATTCCACATTTCACTCCTACGTAGGATCTAATCGATTAGGGCCTTACGCTCACAGTCGGCGAGTCTTAGTTCTTAGTTACCAGTCTACACGTCCTAACTAGGACGTGTGTTACTCGCGATTTATTCCCCGTTTTCCAGTCAGGCTGAGCCCTAAATCGAGCCTCACTTCCGCTTCGCCTTCTTCTCCGCGGCCCTCCCACGCAGACCCGGTGTTGAGTTTAGGACCTTGCAGAAGCCGCGCCGCAGAGGGCGTCTTGAAGGGCGAATCAGTATTGCTAGCCGCTGCCGTGAATTGCGGGCTTCTCGCGACCACCGCAGGCCAATCTTCCCCGTCGGTACGCGATCTGAACAGCCACGAAGGGGACGGTTGGGCAGGCGGAGCGTCAGTAGCGTCACGAGTCCTGCAACGTTTATAAAATAAACAAATAAGAGTCAATAACTTTACAACGAACACCGAAGATGATTACACGAAGGACCTACACGGACTCAAACGATCACTCTCTGATTTTGAGTTTCCGGAAAATCTCACCGCGGAAGCCTGCTGAGCTCTTGCAATCCAGAGGGTGGAAGGCGTGAATCGAATCGAGGGCCCATTCGCGCGTGTGGCGCGGCCGCCACGACGCCCGCCGTGAGTCGCGCGTCTGGCGCAGCGTCGACCACGCCCGTGAGAATGTCCAGGTTATGCGCCTCCGCACCCGTTCCCAACGGCGAAATTGGAACGCCCGCTTCCGACGGACACATTCGAGCATCCACTCCCAGTGGCGACATTCGAGAATCCGATCCCTGTGCTTGCACTCGCGCATCGCCGCCCAATGGCGAAATTCGTGAGTCTCTGCCAGATGCGGCAGCGCGGATGACGGGCTCAGCCGCCGCAGCCGTGGGGTCTGACGGGGCGGGGAGCAATGCGACTGCATCTCGCTGGGCTGCAGCAGATAACACCGACTGGGCCGCCGTCAACTGTTCCGTCAGCAAACGGATTCCGTCAAGTCCGCTTACTCTGCCCAGGGCGAGGAGAGAAGCCTCGAGTAGGCGCTGGCTTGCGCCGGGACTCGCTGGAACTGGCGGACCTAGTCGCGACGAATTGTAAATACTAGCCGCGATGGCGGAATGAGTAGAACTAACATCCCACAAGCCGGGAGGAGGAACGGCCCTGCTTTCCGCTGGCACTGCTACTGGCGCCGCACCCGCGCTACCACTGCCCGCAGCGACACAACTTGAAGAACCAGCAATCGTTCTCGGGGTGGAGGAAGAGTCACGAGCAAGGAGGCCTGCGGGGATCGGGGTGCTGGTACCTGCAGTACCAGTGGTGGTAAAATTGGCCGCATTTACGCGGCTTTTTTTTAGGTCATGGAACGAAAAGCTCCCGCCTGTTTCGCGGGCATGCGCCGCGCCTGTCTTTCCGTCGTGCGCTGCTACTCGCTGGTTCGCGAAGCTCGCGCCGTGCAAGCGCGCTTTGCGTGCGAGGGAGGTAAGGGCGGAGGGGAGCAGGCCTTGCGTGCTCGGCGCGCTGTGGTGCGCCAGTGACTCTGTGCTCTGCGCGGGACTTGGCACGACACGAAGCGTTTCCAAATCCAAACCCTTTCGCTGCTGTTGTCGCGTGAGCAGCGGCTGCTGCTGCTGCTGCTGCTGTCGCGGAAAATCCTCTTCCCCAACAGAAAATCCGTAGTTTCTGCGTGAGGGAGCAACGGCGGCATCATTGGCTCGTGTTTGCTTACTCTCCGCCGTCCTAATATCCGTGCAGTCGTTGGGTGGGCCCTCCGCGCGTTTTCCGCTGGGCTCCACGACGTGCCGCTGCGCCGCAGTGTGCGCCGCCATGTGCGATGCGGAGCTCAACGCGGCCTGGATAGCCGGGCTCGCTCGAGTCAGCAGCCACTGCACGGGAAAAAGAGGATAACGGAGACGAACTAATATACTCATGCAATGATAGCATGATTCTCGCGGAATTGGCGGCAGGTCGAAGGACACAACAGGTCCAACTCCTTTTCGCGTTACGGAATTCTTCCCATGACGCTATTCTGTTATTTCAATTGCCGAAAAGCCACGCAGTCTTATTACTGTCCAGAAAGGAAGAAGCAGCGCTCCCTACCGCTCACGGCGGAAGACCCGCGGATGACCCGCGGCGGGCTTACCTGAATCGTCTCGCCGTCCGACCGATGGCCGAGAGCCCGCGTCAGGCGGAAGATCTTCGCGGCGCATGCCGCGGGCATGCGGATGCGCCGTCCGCGCCCGTCCACCTTCCGGTGCCTGTCCTTCCGCCTCACCTCCATCTCCCTCTTCCCCCTCTCCTCCGCCTCCTCCTCCGCATCCTCCCCTTCTTCCCAACCCAGCCGCGGTTCCGCAAGTCTTTCCCTCTCCGCTTCCGCTATTGACACATGCGCGGCCTCACCTTGCGCCATCAGCGCAAGCCTCCCGGCGGGGTTAGAATCGCCGCTGTTTGCGTTTACTCCCCGACCGAAGCCTCCGCCAAACGGCTCGCAGTCATTGTGACTGGTCTCCCCGCCGGAAGCACACCCCGCCGTCGCACTTTGCGCAATCAGATAAGATCGCGGAGCCTCTTCTCCTTTTCTGGAGTTCCAATCTTTGGAAGAGACTCCACTTTGGCCCTGAGGGCGGCGAGAGTCACCACCAGACGCGGGCTGGTCGAGACAACCCACGGGCCAAGGGCTTGTGCTTATATCGAGTAAACAAGGGGCAGCGACGGCTTCTAAAGAGGAATGGCTGCTTCTGCAATCACGCGATGACCCGGAGAGAAAAGCGACGCGACGCCTTTTCGCTGGAGTGGAAATGGCGTCCACTTTGAGAACTTCTAGTACTATTGAGGAGGTGTCTCCTGGAAGAAAATCATGAAACTGAGGTGACATATTGAATTGAATTCTCCTTTGCCGGATGTTCTTCTCGTATTCGCCGAGCAGTTACGGTTTTAACTCTTCGCGTAGATCTATGGCGGACGACGAGGCTAGATCGATGAGGCAAATTGTGAAGCAGGAAATGCAGAGAGGGAGATCGACAATGCAGATAATGCTGCTCGGCGTTCCCCGTCTGGCCTTCACGAACAGAGAGAAGAGACGCACATTCCGCACACTCCGCACGCTGCCGTTCCGTTGCAGTTGCAGCCGCGGCTGTGGAGTGGAGTGGATGGTATGACATCGGGCACGCGTCCAAGCGAGGCCTGTTCGCCTCTTCTGTAGTGTCATCAGTTTTATCACAGCTGTACTGTACGACGAAGAAAGGCGGGGGGAAGAGGGAACGGTGACGGGAATCCCTGTATAGGAACTGGCGGGAGTGGTGGGTGAAGTGGGTGGGATTGCGGAAATGGAGAAATACTGTAGTATATGTCGGGGGAAATTCACCCTAGCAAAAATCCCCCTCTGCAGAGTGGGGGTTGGGCTGGAACTTGGTTCGGCTGAGGAAAAGGTGAAAAGTTACGAAATCCGGAAGGAAAGCGAAGGATTGGATTCGACGAGTGCGTGGGAGCGGGCCCAGCTTATCCCTCACCTCACGGACGCGACGGGGAAGGGAAAAGAGTGAGGGGGAAGGGGAGGGATGCTGGGGGAAGAGTGAGCAGATTGGGGGAAGGCTGGCGTTGTGCAACCAAGAAACCTTGGCTGCAGGGTGTGGGCCAGTGCGGAAAGCCGTGTGAGCTGGATTGATCTGCTCCGCTGGCCACCCACTCGTGCACGGGGCCGCGGGAGTGGGTTGCATCATCGAAAGAGTGCATCGCAGTGCAGCGATGAGCAACCACCGCGGCTCAACGAAGTAGCGTGGTTGGTCAGAAAGAGCCCACGAAGGGCCCACCAACACCAGCAATGACAGGATGAGGCAGGGATGCCGCCATGGCCGAGGGGGATGGATGTTTCGAATTTCCCCGCTGGACTGTGCATGGCCCAAGCATCAAGACGCAGAAGCATCCGCAAAAAAAAAAAATAGAGGCTGCACGTGGGTGTGAATCTGTAGAAGTACAGAATTGACTTCGAATAGGGCAGGAAGGAAGCATATTTCTAGTGGCCATACAGCAACTGGCTGTCATGGATCAGTGTAATTCCGAGGACTGGACTGACCAACTAAAAGCGTGTAAAAACTAGTAGATGCCCAAAAATATGTTCGTCGTTGCTCCCGCACGCGTAATCTGCTTCGCTGTACAGCCACGTCATGATTCTAACGGTGATGCTCATGTAGCGTTTTCCAGCTGGCGCACGCCGATCGAAATTGAGAAATCTGTTGCGCCCATGTGGGCCATGGCGTGGGAAACGACATTGAGGGCCACTTGTTATTGCCGCGGCTGGTGGCGTTCCAGGACAAGATGAAACAGTTCATGGAAATTAAAAACTGTTTCAAAAATTTACTGTTAAAAAAACCAGATCGTAATCTCCCCTCACCCACAAACTAACCTTGGCCAGAGAAAACCGATTCGAGGTTGATTTACGTTGTTATCCCTCCTCGTCTGCCCGGAAGTTTATCCTCGGGCTGTCAACGCATCTCTTCTCTGCGACACTGCTGCAAGTCAATGGCTGGCTACAAAGTGCTTCTGACGAAGGGCTGAGGCCGACGGAAGGCATGATACACAACAAAGCACCAAAATTCATCAATGCAAGAACAGTGCCTTCACTCACTGTAATGCAATGTTCTCCGAAGTTAATGCCTAATATCCTAATTTGTCATCTATCCATCACATCATCCATGTGCAAAGCACAACACAATGCACGCCATCTACCATAGGGGACAAATGCAGAAGGAAAACAAGAAAAACATAACAGAAAGTGTTTTCATAAGCGGGTAGACATTCTGAGCTGCCACCTATCTGTGACACCCATCGAATCTGCATGCACCGGCAAAACGAGTGGGCCAGCAAAGGCGTTACAGGAATTAAATACAGAAACTCTGGTAAGAGTCAGAGTGGACAAAGCTGTACGACAACTTACATAACCTTTGCAACCCGGGCTAGCTGCTGGCCCTCAAAATGCAGCAGCAAAATGAACCATTCCATGCTGTTGTCTCGACTATCCTAGAACCCCACTCTCACCTCGAACGTGCCAACACTCTTCCTAATCTCCAGCACAGCAGAGATCAACCCTTGGCTCCTGTTCCCCCTTTTCCGGATGCTCCCCCTAGCGCTCCTGCTCCCCCATCCTGTCTGAGAGATTGAGGCAGTGCCCCTCCCGTCGCATTTATCACCTCCCGAGGCCGTTCCGAACCTCGTGCTGGTACACCCGAACCTCCTCCCGGACCACCTCCCAGGCCTCCCACCGAGCCTCTGCCACGCCCGCCCCAGACAATCCCGCCCCTCACACCCCTCCCCATCCCCATCCCCCCTTGCGAGGGCGCATCGCGAATGCGAGCCGAGACAGAAGCTGACGAGGAGGCAGCACCAGAAACAGCATTGGCGGCAGCAGCAGTTGCAGCAGTAACAGCAACAGAAGCCGCAGCTCCAGCACTTGTGCTCTTCACACCAGATCCACCAGCGGGAACAACAGGACCGGCAGCACTAGCCGCTGCCGAGCCAAGAGGAGCAGGGCCAGGTGCAGCCGAGCCTGGTCTAGGCTGGGTGGCAGGCTTGGCCGGCGGTGCAGCAGCTGCTGTTGCCGCTGCAGCTGGTTGCGGCACTGCTGTTGCCTTCACACCAGTGGGCACCCCAGTTGGACCTGCACTGCCCCATCCTGTTGCCTTCACACCAGCTGCCACCCCACCAGCAACAGGCTCTGCCTTCTTCCCAGCAGTTAACGCACCCGGTGCAGCAGACGATGCAGAAGCAGCTGCTGATAGGGCACCTGAAGAGGCACCTGAAGGGGCACCTGTGGAGGACGGAGGAGGGGGGGCAGGACCAGATGCAGCAGCAGCAGCAGCCCAGCTGGTTGCAGCCTTCCCTGAATCTACCTTACTTCCCATTCCCCCACTCCCACCCCCACCCACGTCCCCTCCACTGCTCCCTCCCTGACTCGTTCCCCTCCCCCCTGACCCTCCTCGCCTTTCCCCATGCCTCCGCCCACCCCCTCCTTGCCCTCCTGTGCCCGCTGCTCCACTCCCCACCCCTCCGGCAGCACTGCCTGCTCCTGTGCCCTTCCCTCCTCCTCCTCCTCCTCCTCCTCCTCCTCCTCCTCCTCCTCCTCCTCCTCCTCCTCCTCCTCCTGCTCCTCCTGCTCCTCCTGCTCCTGCTCCTGCTCCCCCCCCTCCACCTCCGCCCCCTCCCCCACCTGCTGCTGCAGAACCTTCCGCCCCTCCGCCACCCCCCCGGCCCCCTCTCCCGCCCCCACGCCCTCCTCCCCTTGCTCCTCCCTTCCCTTGCGAACCATCACCCTTTGCCCCTCCTCCTGCTGTTGCTCCTACTCCTCCTCCTGCTCCTCCTACTCCTCCTCCTCCTGCTCCTCCCGCCTGCTTCCCAGCGTCCCCACCAGCACCGGCCCTCTGCCCCTTAGGTCCAGCGGACCCAGCTACAGCACCAGAAGCAGAAGCAGCAGTGCTGGCGCTCGAGTCAGCAGCGGCAGGAGCAGAGGGGGCAGAGGAAAGCGTGGAGGTAGCAGCAGTGCCAGCGGTGCCAGCAGGACCACCAGTAGCAGGAACAGCAGCTAGAGAAGACCCATTGGCAGCAGCACCACCAGCGCTAGAGGCACCACCAGCACTACCATCACCAGCACCACCAGCAGGGGCGGTGGCAGCGGATGCAGCCTTGGAAGCTCCCTTCGGGACGTACCTCTCCATCTCAGCGCGGCGCTGGCGGGCAGGGGCAGCTGACGTGGACCAGCCAGCCTGGACTGGAGCCGAGCTGGCAGGAGCTGACGTGGCGGCAGCTGAGGGTGGCGAAGGGTTGAGCAGCGGAGGAGCTTGAGAGGGCTGAGATGCTACTGATGCTGCTGGCGCTGATGGTGCTGATGGTGCCACTACTGTTCCTGCAGTCGCTGGTGCTGATGTGGTGATGGCAGACGGTTGCTGCGGTTGCTGTTGCTGCAGCTGCTGCTGTACCTGCTGCTGCTGTTGTTGCAGTTGCTGTTGCTGCTGTTGTTGCAGTTGGTGTTGCTGCTGCTGCTGCTGCTGCTGCAGCTGCAACTGTTGCTGCTGTTGCTGCAGTTGCTGTTGCTGCTGTAACTGCTGCTGCTGCTGCTGCTGCTGCTGACGCGAAACCCAAGGGCATATGCATTGCCATACCCAAGTGCACATGCATCGGCACATGCATGGGCATGGGCATGGGCATGGGCATGGGCATCTGCATGGCTCCCGTGTGCCCAGCAGGAGGAGTGATGTGAATCAGCCCCTCTCTCGGCCGCCCCCATGCGTTCATGAGCATACCAGGAGGAGGGCCCATACCTCCTACCACTGCTGTAGGGCCACCCTGTGACCCTGCCGCCGCTGCTGCCGCCACCGCAGCCGCCGCCGCCGCTGCTGTAGCTCCTGCTCCTGCCGCTGTTGCGGCTGATGCTCCCTGTGCGGCTGCTGCTGCTGGCGTCGGTGCAGAGGCAGCAGCAGGGCCCCCACTCACTATAGCAGCGACGCTGCCAGGCGCCCCCTGCCATGCTCCCCGTTGGCCACCCAGATCCCTTGCCACCTGCCCACCAGCGGCTGCCCCACCCACTGGCGCCCCACCAGCGGCTGCCCCACCCACTGGCGCCCCACCAGCGGCTGCCCCACACACTGGCGCCCCACCAGCGGGAATTCCTACAGCTGACTTTCCAGCTTTCGCTCCTGTACTCACTACACCTGCTCCCACACTCCCTGCTGCCCCCACGCTCCCTGCTGCCCCCACGCTCCCTGCTGCCACAGCCCCTGCCCCAACAGCCCCTGCTGATCCATCGCTCACTCCTGCACCACCAACGCCACCCCCTGCCTCCCTAACCTCCTTTCCGGCCGCAGCTCCCCCTTCCCGGCTTGCAGCGCCCCCTCGCATGCCCGAGAGAGCCACCTTGGCAGCAGCGGCGGCGGCAGCAGCAGCAGCAGCAGACCTCTGCTGCTCGCTCTCTGACCGCCCCTTCTCCTGCTGCCCGTGCTGCTGCCCATGCTGCCCCTGCTGCCCCTGCTGCTGCTGCTGCCCATGCTGCCCGTGCTGCCCTTGCTGTGCTTGTTGCCCCTGCGCCCTTGCACTCCTCTGCTGCCGCGGCCCCAGTCCCTGCCCCTGGCCTTGGCCTTGCCCCTGTTCCTGGCCGTGTCCTGAACTCTGCGCCTGTTGGTGTGGTACTTGCTGCTGCTGTTGCACCTGCTGCTGCTGCGACTGCTGCTGCTGCGACACACCAGATTGATTTCCCCCAGCACTACCTCCTCCTCCCAATAATCCACCACCACCACCCCCAGCATTCCCACCACCCCCAGAAACACCAGACGCATCTCCCTCAACCGCCCCCTCTCCTCCCCCCGCGTCACCTTCCGCCCCTCCCTTCCCCCTTCCCTTCCTCCTCTGCCCTCCCCGCTTCTTCCCCCTCCCTCTACTCCCCCCACCTGCTCCTTCTCCAACCTCCCTCTTATCTCCTGCACTCGCGTCATTAGGTACGGGAGCAGGGACAGCAGGTCCGGTACCCGAACCAGCAGCACTGGGTGGAGGTCCGGGATGAGGCCCGGAAGGCGCGGGTGGTTCGGCAACTGAAGCTGGTGCTGGGTGCGGTGCTGTGAGCGGCTGGGGAAGAGAAGATACGACTGCAGGTAGCGGGTCGGGAAGAACGCAAAGGGTGAAGCAGAAATGATTGAACAGCCAGTCACACGTGGTGTGGGTGGGGGAACGAGAAACGGTTGGAGGCATGGGAAAGGGTTGGGAGAACCGGAAAGGGCCACGGATATGGGAAAGGGTTGGGGAATGATAAAGGGAGCCCCTGAGTGGCGTTCTCTTCTTAAAACTCAAGGCCCGAATTGCGCATGATTAGTAATCTTGCGCAAGGGTTTGGGCTGGTGGTTTGGGAGGTGAACAGAAAGTCGAGAAAGTGGGGTTCGCTTTTTTCGTCAAGCTCTCGCAACACTTGCTGAGTCAGCAAACTCTTGGCCAAACATTCTGTTTGGGTCATTCTGTTTGTTTTTAGTCCCAAATTGAGAAATACTGAAACATGAAGTTTGCGCGGTGAGTTTGGTCTCGACCAATCAGATTCATTCGTACCTAGTGTAACCCAAAATTCGCCAACTCACAGCACCCAAACAGCCGCTCAGCAAGATTAGTAATCTTGCCCAGCGCGGCCCGCAATTTGGGCCTTGAGCTTTAAGACGGGCGCCATCTGTTCTTAACTTCAGCCTTTCTCAGTCCAGACGTCGTGCTATGTTATGGGTAACTTTGATCAGCATGCTTTCTTCAATGCTGTGCGTTACTTCATAATCACGCGCTTCCTTCAATGCACATGCTTGCTTTGATGCATTTACTCACTTCTTTTTGATGCACGTGCTGCATTAACTCACTGAACATCGCCCTTCTCACCTTCTTTTCTCGAGCTTCCAGCAGAGCCAACGCTTCCTGCCTCCACATATCCCCCACTAGACACCACTCCACCGCTTCCCACTCCTTCTTCTGCTGCTCCTCTCCCTGCCCCGCCTTGTCCCGCAATCTCCCCGCCCCATCCCGTCCCAGCACCTCCCTTGGCCCTCTCATGCACAGATACCGCCTGCCCAGGTGCTACCTGCACTCCAGCTGCTCCTTCCCCTGATCCCCCCGGTCCCCCATGTCCCCCCGGTGCCCCAGGGCCCCCCCACGCCCCTGGCGCAGGCATCCCCGCGAGGAAACCGGCGGGCCCTCCCGCGGGTAGCGCAAGAAGGCTGTCTTTGGCGGCTTGCGCCTGCTGCTGGGGAAGCGGGGCCGCTTGGGGATGGGAGTGCGGATGCCCGACAGGCGGAGGTGGGTGCGGGGGCGCATGGCCTGGCGGAAGCAGGTGCAGAGGCAGCACCTGCTGTCCGGGGAGCAAGGACGGGGGGCGCGCGCCGGGGGGAGCGTTAGGGGGCATGTTGGGCGGAAGGTTAGGCGGAAGGTTGTGCTGCATGGGGAAGGGCGGGTGGGGGAAGAACTGCGGATGGCGCATCCCGTGGGGAGGCCCAACAGGGGCGAGGAACTGGGGGATTGGGGGACCCATAATGATCCGCGGAACGGACGTGGGCGCGGGGAGTAGCGGCTCCGCCTTAACGTTTCCACCTGCTGCTGCTGCTGCTGCTGCTGTTCCTCCTCCTCCCCCTCCTGCCACACCTCCCACTGCCCCTTCAGCAGAGTTCAGTGCCAAGCCAGAAGCAGCAGAAACAGCTGCTTCCCCTGCATTAGAAGCTTCCGGCACAGTTCCCTGCACTGGCACACCGCCTTGCGCACTCCCCCCTGTACCCACCTGCCCGACCTGCCCTGACCCCCCTCTTTGCTGCCCCTGCTCTTCTCTCTCCGGAATTTTTCCAATCACCCCCCTCCGCCCCTGCACAGGCCCCTCCCTTCCGCCCATTCCTCTCCCCGCGCCCCCATCCCCCCTGCCCTGAGCCTCCCCCTGCTGCCGCGCTGGGGTCCAGCGACCGTCCGCCTCCCCCGCCCCCGCGCTCCTCAGTCTGCCTTGCTCTCTTCCGCGCCCGCGGCCCCGCCCCGCCCCAGCTCCGCCAGCAGCAGCAATACCACTCGCCGGACCCTGTTCCTGCGCGGTTGGCGCGGGTGCAACTGCACCGCCAGCAGACTGCTGCTGCGCGGCTGACGCTCCAGCCGCAGCAGAAGCAGCAGCAGCCGCCACAGCAGCGGAAGCAGCGGCAGCGGCGGCAGCGCCGTTCGAATCCCCTCTTGCAGACCCTGCTACCGGTGCGGATCCAGGCGCTTGCGCCGCTTGCGCCCCTTGCGCCCCTTGCGCCGCTCCTTGCGCATTCCTTTGTGGACCTCCCACAAATGCTCCCTGGCCTTGCTGAGGCGCGGTACTCGCCACCTGCAGTCCTGCCTGGATCTGCTTTCCCGCCGCTGCCTGCCCTGCCCCCGTCGCTGAGCCTCCCTCACCCACACTGGCTCCAGGCGCCGCAGTACCAGCAGAAGAGCTCGTGGCAGGAGCAGCAGCAGGCGCAGAACCAGATACGGCAGCGGCGGAACCAGCAGGCGCGGAACCAGGTGCGGCACTGGGATCAGGAGCAGGAGACGCCCTCCTTTGAGGCACATCCCGAGGCGACCGCAGGGGGCCTCGGCTGAACGGGCGCGGGCTTTTAGCGAGGGTCTCCCTCACCAGCCCTGCGCTCGGACCAGACTGCCCACCTGCTGCCGCCTGCACTGCTGCCCCCTGCCCAGATGCAACCAGCGCAGATGCCACCTGTCCGGATGCCAACTGCTCGGACCCAATCCGTCCGGGTGCAACAGCAACTTTGGGCTTTTCTGCTCCTTTCCCTGCGCCTGCAGCAGACTGCGCTTCCCCAAATGTATCCCTACCGGCACCAGATCCCGCAGCCACACCTGCGCCCCCACTGCCTGCACTCCCAGCGCCCGCACTACCCCCTTGCGCCACCCCCTCTCCGCCCGCCGCCCCTCCTTCCGGCCGCTTCAAAATGCGCACCTGCTCCGGCTGCGTTCTTCCAGCGCTTTCCGCGCCCCTCCCAGTGTCCCGGCCCCCCTGCTCCCCTTTCCCCCCATCTGCCCCGCGCGGGGTCCCCTCGGGTGCTCTACCCAGAAACGGGTCATCCTCAAACGCGGGTTTTGAAAAGTCCATGGTTTCGCTCTCTGCGGAGGCCCAGTCGATCCCAATGTGGTGATCCTTGTGATACGGTCGATGCGGCTGCGGAGCTTGCTGCGGCTGCTGCTGCTGCTGCTGCTGCTGCTGCTCCTTCGGGGACTGCTGTTGCTGCTGCTGCTGCTGTTGCTGCGACTGCTCCTGCCCTTTCCGCTGCCCCTCACGACCTTCTTGCTCCTCTCCGGGTTCCCCTCCCCTCCGCTTCCCCTCGTCCGCCGCCCCCGGCGCAGATGGCTGCCCCTGCCATCCATCCCCTGCGCCAATTTCTCCGCGCGGACCGTACGGCTCCATGGGCGGACGGCCATGCCCGCGTCCCGCATGCTCCCGCGCCATGCCTCCGCGCCCATCAAACCCTTGTGGGCCTCCCCGCCCCGCGCCCATAAACTCGTGCGCGCCCATGGGGCGGAAAGGTGGACGGCCCTGCCCCAGCGGCGCATGGAAATGGTCAAACGGCGGAGGGGGAAACATTCCGGGGGGCATGTCAAACTGCGGGCCTGCGCCTCTTCCTTGCGGGCCATGCGGAATCCCCGCGCCCGGCCCATGCCCCGGGCCATACCGCGCGCCAAACCTCCCCCCTCCCCGCGGATCCATGTGCATGCCGTAGCCGTGCGGGGGCATCACCCCCGGGCGCATGGGCCCGTCGTACATGCCCCCAGGCGGAGGTCCCCCCCGCCCCGCCGCGTGCGCGAACCCAAACTCCGGGCCTTCTGGTCCGCGGTACATCGGGTGTCCCCCCCCGCGCCCATACCCCATTGGCGGGGCCATCCCTGGCGGCCCCCGCCAGTTCTCCCCTGGCCCTCCCCCTCCTGCTGCGCCACCCGCGCCTGGTCCTGTTCCCGCTGGTCCCCCCGCGCGCCAGTTTTCACTCTCCGGACCCCTCTCCCGCCACATCTCCCCCCCCGCGCCCGCACCCGGCGGAGGCGGGGACCTCCCAACCCCAACCTCACCCCTCCGCCACGACGCCCCCCCTCCTCCGCCTCCACCTCCGCCACCCCCGTCCCCACCGCTCCCACCAGATCCATGGCGCCACGTGTCACCATCAGGGCCGCCGCGGTGCCACGTGTCCCCAGGAGGGGGGGGCATACGGTCCGCCCTGTGCGCGGGCCAGATGCCGTGCGGAGGGAGATCCTCAAAGCCCGCGCCCCCGGGGCCGGGCGGGTGCGGATGCCAGCGCGCAGGCATCATCTGATCCGACCCCGGGCCAGGCCTGCGCCCCATGCCCGGGTCCCACCCCATGGGCCCTGCGCGCAAGCACACAGGACGATCAGCATGCGACACACACAGCGGAAAACAAAACAGCGTTTCAGCACGTCTAGGTTCATTCGTCACCTTTAAGCAATACCATTCGCAAGGGCTCGAAGTGCTCAAATTTCTGCGTTGTAGTTTCCTTTGGACTTTATCGGGTAATGAATTAGCAAACGCTGTTCTACTTTCCGTATGCAAAAGAACTTCTCAACTTTCACGCACGCTGTAATTCACTGGTTCACTTGCAGTCAGACATTAATCCCTCCCTGGCCCCCCCACACCCTCAACCCTTCCCAGCGCCCACAAACCCTCTTCCCAAGCAACACGCACCTTCACCACGCTGCCCGTGCTCTCCGTGCTCCTGCCCGTCGTCCCTCCCTCGGTAATACCCCGCGCCGTCCTGCTCATTCGGATGACGCGGCCCCTCTTGCTGTCCCTGTTGCTGCTGCTGCTGCTGCTGCTGTTGGCCTTGCTGCCCCTGCTGCTCCTGCTGCTTAGCCTGTTCGGACCCCAGCGACGGAAAATCTCCCGCCGACAGATGAAACTGCCCTCCTTTGCCATCCGACTCGCCATGGCGGTCCTGAATCAACGAACAGGATTGATTCGCAAGCGGAGGCGATACAAAGGAGAACGGAAGAGGAAAGGGCGCGGAGGCCCAGTGGGGCGGAACGCGACGGGATCAATATCCAGTTTCCAGGAGCCTCAAAACAGCGTCCAGGAAATCAGGGACATGGAATTAGGAAGAAGTTAGACGAGAAGGAGACGAACTGGCGAACGACGCGGAAGAGGGACGAAGGAGAGGACGCGGGAAGCGAAGCAGGTGAGGATCGAGGGAGTGAAGGGGAGAGAGGGACGAGGATCGGGACAGGGAGAAGGACGAGGATAGGGAGAAGGACGAGAGAGGGACGGGGAAAGGGCCAGGGAAAGGGTCAAGGTGAGGGACGAGGAGAAGGACGCACGGTGGAGGTCGACCACGCAGACGGGTTAGGCGAACTCCGCAGCGAACCGCCTGGCGGCGTCCCCCCGTACGGTCCCCCACGCGGGCCTTCGCGCGGGCCCCCTGGCCCCTGTCCAGCCCACTGCGGGTACCCAGATGCGCCAGGCTCCCCCTCGTGGTGCGGCGACCGCTGCGGCTGATGCTGATACGCCGAATCCGGACCACCAGGCACGGGGCTCCTACGGTCAGAAGTCAGGCTCGGAAACGCTCCCGGACCTGGAGGCCCCAGACCTGGCGGTCCAGAACCAGGGGGTCCTTGAGATGAGGGCCCCGGAGGATACGGAGGGACAGGGGAGCGGTTGACAGGAGATGGGTTTCCATTGGGCTGAGGCCAAGAGGAGACGGAAGGAGGCGGTGGGGATTGCTCTGCGCCAGGCGGCTTCCATGCGGACGGAGGAGCGGGTGGAGAGGATTCAGGAACGGTCCACGCTGAGGGAGAACTGGGCTTGTTAGATCCCCATGTGAGGCTTCCTCTGGAAAAAAAAATATCCATCGGGAGAAAAAGAAGTGAATGTAGAAGCAAAGGAAATATTGGCACGCAAGTCGTAAGTTACTGAAGAGAAAATAACCATTGATATGGTTCAGAGGATGTGGGTTACCGTGGGACAAGTGCGACTGATGGGTCGAGTCCTTTGTTCTCAAGCCTGCGACGTAGAACCAGAAAGCCCGTCAGATCCGAACGCACGAGATAAGATGAAAGGCGGGAAACGAAAAGCTCGAGTCATACTTTTGACTGGGAAGGTTGATTGGTTTTGGAACGGCAGGAATCTTCCCGAGCACGGTCATTCCCCTCCGGGATGGTGCTCCTCTGCAGGCATACACCATGCAACAGAATATAAGTTCCCTTAATTCGTTATAACACCACTGCCATAAGCCGAAAGAGCGAATAATCACACACCTTCTGTCTCCCAGCATGATTGAAGGGATAAGAACTGACCCTCGTCACAAGAGGAGATACTATGCTAGAGAAATGGTCTAGAAGAATCAACAGCGGACTATGACTAGGGTACGGCCCTAGAACCGGGATCTCAGACTTAGTCACACAGGAATGAACGACTAAGAGATCCTACGGCTGGGCCTACACCTAACCTGCCTACTGCATCCAAGATCTGGAACTCAAAAGGCTTTCCGTAAAATTACTGACTCTTATCTTCCACTCGTCTTGAATCCCGCTTCACACCATACCACCCCCCTGCTCTGGCTTCACTGAAGGCAGTGCTGCAGAATTCGAAACCAGGCTTCCTTGAGAAGTCCGCAAAAACGAACCTCGAGAGGCTGTGCTTCGGCACAATTTGTTTACTTCGTTCGGTCCGAACTTACGTAAGTTTGGCGCGCATAAGTGAACTGGCATGTGCCTCTCGGAGTCATGATTGGAAGGATGGAGGTTCGGAAGAGCAGCGCTGTGGCAGATTGCTTTTGGGCTAGGTTTGCTGCTGTTCTAGTGGCGCGAAACGTGGAAGCGTGCTGACGGGGCAAAACGAACCGAGAACGAGCCGAGCCAAGATCTTGAAGCCCGCCTGAACTCCGTTTCCCGTTACAGCTGTTTGCTGTGTAGTTCGGTGTTCGGCCAAATGAATACCACTAAAACGAATCTTGGACCCCCCACCCGACCCGGGTGGGTCCGGTTCAACTGAATTCCTCTTAATAATATGATACATAATGAAATTCCGTAACACTCTTAAAAGCAGACGAGATTTTCCATAACTGATACGACCAGCATCTATTCTTAGCTGCTGCTCAGAGGAATTGGCCCGCACAAAATGCCATCGAGTCCTTGAATGGACACGTGTTGGTCGAGAAACAAATCAGGGGAGATCAGTGGGATTCGTCTGCTGCCTACGTGAGGGTTTGTAAGCAATACTTGCTTTCTCAAAATGCCCTTTCTGTCCCTGCTGGTTGTGTGAAAACTCTTCACATAATTTGACTCGTAGCCTTTGATGTCTCCAAACTGCAAACACAAAAAGCGTAAGAACGCAACCGGACGTTAATAACCACCAGAACAAAACAGCATTCCCGAAACGTTCTATCAATGCAGCAGAAAATCTTTACCTTCGTGCCATCAGGTGAGTCAATAATGTCCTCTGCTGTGAAGTGGCCGAGAACGATGTGCAGGGACATGCTGGAACCCATCAGGTCGGAAGGAGACCCCGATCGTCTCGTCGCCGACACGGCACGGGCGCAGCCGGGAGGAACGGCGGTACCGTTTGCCGCACCGAGAATCGCGTGATTCGGTACGGCGAATATGGTGAGCTGATAGTGATTCAGCGCGGGTCGAATTACGTTCAATACCTCTGTGAATGGACAGCAAAGGGGGTGGAGAAGTTGTTGGTCAAAGCGAAATTCTCAATCTGGACGAAAGAGCGGTCAGCGGGAGGTGAGGGTACGCACGAGGATTGTTCAGCCGTTCGAGGAATTCCGTGTAACCCGCCGATCGAAGAGCCTCGCGAACCTTTTGAAGCTCCGTTGCGCCGTCGAAGATGGGAGGTGCCTCATTTAACACTCGTCTCAACGCCGTGACGCTGGAAACGCATACAACGAGGACGAAAACGCCTAGTGTCTCATGCGCGACGCGATGAGTTTGCCGTTCCAACATGGTGGATTTGACGGACTCGAAAACGATATTGGATTGATCAGAAGAGCCCAAAAAGGGAATTCACACTTTCGGGATGCTATGTTTCTTAGCTAGTGCCTTACGGCTTCTACGAAGTACGGCGCGCTTCGAACAAGAGTCAGTCACTTATCACTGATGACGTGTTGCTGGAAACAAGAGAGTGATGTGTGTGGCTTTTTTTCTGTGCCTAAGGGTGGTGCGCAGCAATTCGGGAATCCCATACAAGTAAAGAGATGGAATGGGATGGGTAGTTCGAGGGAAAAAGTCCCATACAGTGCATTTGAAGGACGGCCGGGACGAGAAATGCTTGTCGGCCGAACTTGATTGGGTTCAGGTGGCGGTGGAGAATTTTGGCGGTGGGAGCGGACCATTCGTCGAAGCAGCAAATGACCGATTGATACGCTTTGACAGTTGTGCTTCCCTTCGTTTGATTGGTGGAAATTGAACGAAACGGGAGCCTCGGAATTTGTACCTGGTGAGCTTCGGAATTGGCAGTGAAAGACAACTGTAACCCCCCCGGCCCCATCGCAGGCGCAAATGCATCAGGTTTCTTCAGGTTGTTCAGTCCATTGACCAACACGCCTGGGCAGAGCTGTAACACTGAACACTTGAGTGCAGCAACATAAGAAAATCGGCTGCCATAATTCAACAACTGTTGGCGAAAATACTACATTCTTCATATATTCACTTTCAGATGGTACTGTACCCAGTCTCTAGATGTTCTCTTTAGGCAAACCTTGCAAGAAACAAAGCAATGTTTCTTGATGCACGCGTTTCTTTACGTAGCCTTTGTAAAAAAACTCTCCTGGCAGTACTTGGCTAGCTGTTCATTTATTCAGCCAAGTCAAGTTATAGCTGGTGGGTCTAAATAAGGCATAGCGGTACTTCTGGAGGATTGAAAAATTGGACTGTGACACAAATGCAACAAACAGGTAGTACGAACTGGCTGGATAAACATCGCATCCATGATCGGCAAAAACGTAGCCATGAAGGCTGGCAAGGCCAAGCCCTTCTAACCTCGTCATATGCACACGTAAAGGGCGCTCCACAACGGAATACCTAGCTAATATAAGTACAAGCCGTGATACTGTTTTCTACAGCACTCTGAGAATCCTCGCTGCCTGGGCGCAGTGCATGCGAAGCAGTTGCACGGGAACGCTGTTCGAGTCCAGAGACGTGTCGACGGCGATCGCCACAAGGTCGCTCTCAATCGCCAGAAGCAGTCGTTCGGCCTCTGCGACGCGCAGCTGTCGCCGAATCTGCGACTCCACATCAACATCCATGCCAAGATCGCTGATGCCGCTCCGCACGCGGGAAAGAAGAGCCCGGCCCGCGCCAGCGATGCTCTTGCCGTTCCCCGGAGCGTGGTTCAGCGTGCGGCTGAAAGTGACGAGGAAATCCGCCATGGATGCGCCAGACGGCAGCACGGGAGTGGCGGGGGCATCTGACTCGGGTCGGTTGACGGCGGCAGGCGCAGCTTCAGCCCTGACGGCGGGAAGTCCGCGTGCAATGAGCGATCGTGATTTCAGCTGCGACGCGGGGGATGCGGTGGTCAGGCCCCTGGAGAGAACGGCGGAGGACAGGAGAGCAGCCTGGTTGCATGAAAGAGCCATGTCGTAGAATGAGGGTTGATTGCACAGATGTATCACTGGAGCTGATGCTAGAAGAGGAGCGAACTATATCCGAGATTAGGAGAGTAATTTTAGGCTGTAGATAATGAAAAGCTGCAGCCTCTTTTTATGGAGTCAAGCGCCAAGGCCGAGAGCTCCGCGACTCGCTAGAGTTGCGGCAGAAGGAAGCGAAAGTGCAGCTCCTGCACCTGGAAATATCGGAAGGTGAATGAACGTGACAACAGGGGGCAACTCAAGTTGTGCGATGCGAAGCGGCAATTTCGTGACCTGTGAAGGAAGTGAAAAATCTTAAGGACTATCCACCTCTAGGCAGGCGAGGGAGAAGGAGCTGTCTTCCTCTCTCTCCGGATCGGAGCTGGGTTTGGGTGACCTTGCTCCCAGCCTCGATTGATCAAATTCGAAGGCAAGTTGGCTCATAATTGGGAATTCACAATTCTAGGCTTGGTGCATTTGCGCTGCCATCCTGGCGAAGCGTCACCTACGTGGCTGTGAGTGCGGACCGACGTGGAGCGTAGTTCAGTGTGCGCGTTCTGCCCTGGTTGCTCTGGTAAAGAAACACGTCCACAGGGGATTCACTAAAGATTTGCTTCGATTCAGAACTCAGCCCAGAATCATTTCATCCAGCATATTTACTGAAAAGGGCATCTATTTGATGGTGATTTTCAGGAAACAGAACTACTAAGAAGATATATTACTTTATTGTAGCTCTTTGCAGTTAATAACATTATTTTTTCGTTATAAAAAAATTTTGGATGAGGACGGGAAATATAGGCATTATTTTCACGATTGCGTGTTAATGGAGTGCGCAGTTTACCAGTTTTTTTTTCTACACTTCGAGCCCCACGCTGGCCGCAATCGAGGTCTGTGAGACTGAAGACAAACTCCAACGGTAAGCTTGGCGAGTTTGTGGCGGTGCAACCTAGGTCCGCCGTTCAGGCCCCAGGAAGTCAGGGTATTTTACCCTGATTAGCCTGTTTTTCAGAGTTAATTTTTAAGGTAACCCTGCTGAAATTGACTTCGACGCTTGTACCGCCCTGACACGCCTTGACATGAGTAAAACCGTACCCTTCAATTCCAGGTGAGAGCATCCTGTCAGCCCTGCCTTTTCCGAGTCTAAGTCATTTTTACCCTGCTAAGGAGTCCTTGAGAGTCGAACTCTCGTGCTCTCCAATTTCAGCTAAGTCGGAGAATTTGGCTAAGACACTGAAACTCTGGAAATGCTGCCAAGTCTTTGAAACACACTGGAAATTTGGCGAAGTCACTGAAGCACTCTGGAAATCCGCCCAAGTCACTAGAACACACTCGACATTCAGCGAAGTCACTGAAACACTGGAAATTGGCGAAGTCACTGAAGCACTCAGGATTCGCCCAAGTGACTGGAGCACACTGGACATTCAGCGAAGTCTGAAACATACTGGAAATTCGGCGAAGTCACTCAAGCTTTCCGAAATTCGGCGAAGTCACAGAAACACACCGGAATTTTGTCTTTGTCGCTGGGACAAGCTGGAAACTTAGTTAAGTCCCTTTAACACGCTAAGCTCGCTCAGTGACGGAACAGGCTGTAATTTGACGAAGTCCTGTTCAGAGCGGGTCAGCAGAGCTCAGCAGTGTTAGCGAGATTTCTACCCTGCCAGTTCCGACAAGAAAATACAAAACACCCTGCCATTTCCTGAGTATGCCGCGATTGGCACACTGCAGTGGCAGGGTGAAGGTCGGCCACGACTCGCTTCTGGCAGGGTGCCCAAAAACACATCGAGAGGCCTTGTTCAGGCCACACGAAACCAAGCCAACAACCAACCAACCTCGCTTGGTTTGGATGAACAGTCTTCGCTCCGCATCTGGCCGTTGGTTTCCTGTGCCGACTTCTGCAGCAACCTCGAGATTGGCATTTCGTGAAGCGGTTTTTCAGAATTAACGAAACGTTACCATTTCGTGAATCTTTCGCACAGATTGTTTAGGGTTACGAGCATTTTGGCTCCATGTGTTTCATCATCCCGCCTATCGCCGCAATCACCGCGTGCGCCTGTCACACCGCGCTCACCGCAACCTCAAAATTGCCTCGACAAGTTCGTGGGACCTTCGCGATTAGCCCTGGGAGAGCTTCGGAAGAGCCTCGGATGAGCCTCGGACGTGTCGCCTACAGTTCTCTTGTGTCCCTTGAATCCCCATCGTCCTGCCTGCCTTGCTCACGTCCCTCAATCCTCCACGCGCATTCCCCATCTTCCTTTTCCTGCTGCTGCCTTTCGGCTGCATCTGTCTGACTTGCTTGAATCCCTAGTTTCTCCAAATCTTTAGCTCGTTGTGAGAATCGCCACTTGCTATGTTCCGTGCTGGACCCGTTAAACGTCAGTAATTTCCCAATCAAGCTGTATTCAGCAAGCTTGTTCTCATCGTATCCGTAGTTACGTCTCGGTTAGGTCCGCCGGAGTGTGAAGCAGGCAGGAGCTTATTACTAGCACAGGCACCTGAATCTGTTATTGCAAGGTTTCTTCCTCGGTTATGCGAATCTAAGATGAACTTGCGATGAAGTTTGCATCCTAGTTTGCCGTGTCTGCCATTGTCGACCCACCCTGTCAGGGCTAGATTAGGACGATCCTCTCTGGTCCAGTCATCCTAACCTTTCTCCATCAATTTCTCCTAGCTAGCAAAAAATGGATTGGGTGCTATGGTTTGTTGGGGTAATTATAGCCCTAGTATGCACCCTCGTAGCTGTATTTCTTTCCGTACGGCATATTATCCAGCATCTACAGAATTATACGGAGCCGACGTTTCAACGGTACATAGTCCGAATCATTTTCATGGTTCCAGTAAGTCTTGCAAACTCTGTGTCTTGCGGCCTCCAGCTCAAACCAGCATGTCGGGTTCCGGAATCATATTGTTATGAAGGGATTGGTTCTCGTGGCAGATTTAGTTTTGTTGCTCGTCAGACTACCTAATACCAAACCATTTGCTGCCTCGCGCTAACAGCTTTGGGGCTTTGGTTGAATCCTGCAGGTGTATGCGACCATGTCATTCTTCGCGCTAGCTTTTAGCGAGTACGCGATGTATTTCAACACCATCCGAGACGTGTAAGTGGAACAATCCTGCTGGTTACCTTTGGATCTTTGTTCTTTCTGTAGATGTCAGGCACCTGTGGCAATATTAATATAGTCAATATCCAAGTTTTCGTATTTCTCTCCGCTTTCTCGCCGTCCATTCGCCTTTCTCAATTCGTAACTTCCTCACCGTGACGTGATGTTATACACCCTTATAATCAACCCCAGCTACGAGGCATGGGTGATTTACAACTTCCTGTCGCTGTGTCTGGCGTGGGTGGGGGGTCCCGGAGTGGTCGTGACGTCGCTCGCTGGTCGCGTGCTCAAGCCGTCCATCGTTCTCGGCACCTGCTGCCTGCCTCCCATGCCGCTTGACGGGTAAGCTGCTCGCTAGCGCTCGGATGACTTGCTCTAATACCCTTTCCGCGACGTGTGCGCTTCAACTCTTCCTGAAGCTGTAATCTGTTCTGAATATACTTCACTTGTGCAAGTATGGGAGGCGTTATGCAAATCAATGGTACTACTTTCTGATAGGCGCTTTGTGCACACTGAAAGTGTCGTCGTTTGGCCGCTTTTGTCTCACCCTTCACCACGTCGAAGCATCCGTTCCCACCACCGGTTCATTCTCAACCACTCTCCATGTCTCCTGTTCCATTCTCCGAAGTGACTTATAATCGACTTTGAAATCTCACGTCCCGCTTTTCGCACCTCTCCCTCCCATTCAACCTCCCCTCACACACCCCTGCTCTTCCCCCCCCCCCCCCCCCCTCCACTCCCCTCCAGCCGATTCATCCGCCGCTGCAAACAAGGCTGCCTGCAGTTTGTGTTCCTCAAGCCCATCCTGGCCGCGCTCTCCCTCATCCTCTACTCGTACGGCCTCTACAACGACGGCAACTTCAGCGCGTTTGACTCGTACCTGTACATCACGTGCGTCTACATGCTCTCCTATTCCGTGGCCATCTACGCGCTCATCCTCTTCTACGTCGCCTGCAAGGACCTGCTGCACTCCTTCAACCCCATCCCCAAGTTCCTCATGATCAAAGCCGTCGTCTTCCTCACCTACTGGCAGGTGAGAGCAGAGGTCGAGTATGGTCGCTGGTGGTAACAGCAGGTAGCAAGTATTGACCCAACAGTCACCTGCTTCACTCCTTCAACCCCATCCCCAAGTTCCTCATGATCAAAGCCGTCGTCTTCCTCACCTACTGGCAGGTACGGCGCTCCTATCCCTGCAACAACCCCTTCCCCACTTCACCATTTCTCCCTACTTCGCCTTCAACCTCATCCCCATGATCTTCATGATTTGAGCCCCCGTCTAATTACATTTTCCCTTTCTCCCGCCCCTTCCTCGTCCTCCCCGAATCCCTCTCCCACCCCGCAAACCCTGGCCTTCCCCACTCCACCCCCTCCCCGTCCCGCCCTCCTCTCCCGTTTTTTTTGCTTCTTCCTGCTTCGCCTTCAACTCCATTCCCAAGTTCCTTCTCCCCTTGTTTCCCTTCTTTCAGTCATCGAGTCTTTTATGGTCAAAGCAGTCGACTTCTCTCATCTGCCAAATCATCACTACTCATCGCCCAAAGCACAGCTTAGTGGCCGTCGTTTCCCCATCCCCTTTCCCCCTTTTTACCTCCCTCAGCACCCCTCCATACCTCTCATTCACAGCGTCACCTCCTTCTCGTTGCCATATCATAACCATCCTCTTCTCCATCCCCGTTTTCCCTTTCCCCTCCCGCACAACCCCGTCCAAATCCCTCTCGTTCAGGGGGTCATCATCTTCCTCATCGCCCCTTTTGCAGTCGGCTAACCATCATTTCCCCCATCCGCATATTCCCTTTCCCCTCCTGAACAACTCATTCAGGGAGTCATCATTTTCCTCATCGCCCACTTCACAGCCAGCCCAGAGGGAGCAGCGGACCTCCAAAACGTAATCATCTGCTGCGAGATGGCGCTAGGCGCAATTGGCTTCATGATTGCATTCCCCGTCAAACCCTACATGGTCGCGAACGTGGGCACGTCAGGGGCCGGGCCGATGGATTTCCAGGGGTTCGGGCTTGCAGGGCTGGGCCTGGCGAACATGACTGAGGAGCAGAGGAGCGCGCTGATTGCGGCGTTTAAGCATTCTGTCAATATGGGGGATGTGGTGAGCGATACGGTTCACCAGTTCGCGCCAACCTACCATGACTATGTGCTGTACAGCGATGGGTCTCAGGACAAGCCCCAGCACTACCGCACCCGCACCTTCGTGCCAGCAGGTATGGGTTCTTACTCCTGTCTTCGCTCTCTTCTGACAGCTTCCCTCCTTTTACCGTTTTTTGCTCTCGCTGCTCTCCCTGGAGGCATTGTTTTTTCCATGGTCTCCCCCTTTTGTACTCCGATGTTTTCTTCCTTGCTATCTCCCCTTCCATCCTTCAGGCTTGCTTTTGCTGCTTGCGACCAATTTCAGCCTTCCTCATCGCTCTGATCCCGTTTCTCATCCTTTCGCCCCCTAGACATTAAAATGAATGCTTCAGACCTTCGGCCCCTGAAAGCCCACACAGTTATTCCGCATTCTTTCTCCCTCTCACCTGTCCGACTCGCATCTCCCCAACCCCCCCTTTGGTCCCCTCAGGCAAGGAGATGGAGAATGCGCGTCGCATGGGGCAGACCATCAGGCCCTGATAGGCGACACAAGTAAACCTTATCCCTTCTCCCTCTCACCTCTCCGACTCACATGTCCTCGCCCACCCCCACCCCCAATCCCTCCACCCCTCAGGCAAGGAGATGGAGAATGCGCGTCGCATGGGGCAGACCTTCAGCTCGGGCCGCACGGGGCTACTCACAGCCGAGGCCACCGCCTCGGAGCGCCGCTTTGCCAACCTCTTCGCCTCCATCACTCCTGGCGCTGCTGCTGGCGCTGCCGGTGCTGCTACAGCTGCTGCTACAGGCGCCGCTGGTGGGTCTGCTACGGCAGCTGACGCCTCTGCTTCTTCTGCTGGGGGGTTGACCAGTGGGGTGGCAGCTGGAGGGTCTGCTGGTGCTGCTGCAGCAGCAGGGGCAGGTGAATCTACGGACACACCAGCCGGAGCAGCAGCAGCGGCAGCGGCAGCAGCAGCAGCAGCAGCTGCTGCGGCGGCCGCTGCTGCTGCTGCCGCCGCCTCGAGAATCAAGGGAGAGACAGTAGTGAGCATTCGGCATGACATGGACGATCCAAATGCAGCTATTCTGGAATCTCCCACTGGAGAACCCTCGAGCTCTTATGACCCTCCTGTTAAGAAAACCAGTTCATCGCTTTCTCGAAGTAGCAGCAAGGGAGGGGAGGGGATCGGTGTGAGGGGGAGTGGGTCGGAGGGGGAGCCGCTGTCACGGAGGGCGTCGAGCATCAATGAGGAGGAGAACTCTCGGTTGAGACGCAGCTCAGGGGCGGCAAGCAAGAAAGAGAACGAGTTTGGGTTTCTGATGAATGAGGATGATATGATTGAGGAGGGAGATCCTCGACTTGACCTTGAGGGGTTTGTAACTGGGTAACTACGCCATTAATCCTGCCAGCTTAATGTCTACCAAGTTTGTCATTCATCAGAGTAGGGCGTTTAATTTGTTTATTGTCGATTGTATGATCAATGGAATATTATTTACACCTGTGATGAACTACACAGCTACCTTCCCAGTGTTGACTAAATAGTATGACATTTTAGTAGTTTTTATGCGAAATTATATCAAGGGTTCAATTAAATCAGCGATCAAAATTATACTATCATAACGGATACGTCTGTAGGACATAAACTAATTTTGACATAATTTTACAGGTATGTACATACTAACTCGGGACGATTATTCCACTCGTTCTTGCATTCGGCATTTCCCTAGCTCGCGAACGCTCCCTATCACACAGAGCGGAGGACGCGGGCTGCGTGTGCGCACTGCAAGCGCACTGCCTGCACGGGGAAGGCCTCGGGCGCCACGGCAAGTTCGAACTGCAGACGGCCCAGGTCTCTCTCCACTTCGAATAGCAGCCGCTCGGCCTCCACGCCCTTCACCTGTAGAGCATAGCAAAACAGAAAAGGAAAAAAGGAGGCTGAATTCCAAAAAACCCGCGAAACAACATCCACAGGAACACCACCGAAGAATCCCCAGAACAGCTAAACGTCACACACTTATCGCACCGAGCGTGGAAACACGTACTTGGTTCGTGTCAAGCAAGGTCCGCAGCGACTCGAGCACGTGCGCCAAGACGCCGGCACCGGCGGCGACGAGATCGCGGCTACCACCGGGCATGAGGTGAAGCATGCGGCTGTACGACATGAGGAAGTCCGCCATCGCCGCTCCGGATCGCAGCGCGGCGGGCGGCGGAGCGAAGTGGGCGGGTGCGTTCCGGCGGCGCGCGGAGAATGATGATTTCTCTGCAATGAAGTGAAAAGAAAAGGAAAGCAACGACGGCGGGAGTTGGCAAGCAGGACGATGGTAGAACAACTAATCGCGGTCAGTAACGCTACAAAACGAACTTTGAAAAAACGTTACGCACTGTGTTGCTTGATGCGGGGCGCAACGACCGCTGTGGACGATGGCGAGATTGCGGACGATGGCGACTCGGAGGTTGGTTCCACCCATTTGGCGCGTCGCGTGGAAGACGGCGTCGATACAGTGACCATGATGACCGAGGTTGGGGGCGAGGCGGTGGACGACGGCGCGACGGTGGGCGATGACGACATGGTAGGCGCTGGTTTGATGGTAGCCGGTCGTGCTGGTTTGACGGTAGCCGGTCGTGCGACGGTGGGCGGTCGTGCGATGGTGGGAGGTAACGCGACTGCGGAAGGCGGCGCTTGATAGCGGACGTAAGGCATGGAAGCTGCGGGTAACGAGGGACTAACAAGGTTGCGTTCCCCAATTAGCGAAATCGTCGAGCTGGTGGAGCTTCCGAGTAGAGCAGAAGATGGGTGGAGAGCGGGCGCCATGTTTGAGAAACACGGGGCAGATCAGCGGCACCGCTTTGAGAAACCGGTTCGGATAACGCTTTGGCAGAAAATTAGTTTAGATGATGTTGTTCCTGCGTTCAAGGTGAGTGAGTAACAAGCTGTGGAGACTACTAAATATGGACAACTGTTGCTGGTGTATTGTCAGTGGGGCGAATTCCTTCGTCAGTCAGACGTGAGGAATACAGCAGCACAGCTGCCTGCGCTCACCCAAGATTTGGCCGGGAAAAATGTCCAAGCCGCTATGTCGCGCCCATCAAAATGTTAGCAAAGTTCGTGAATGACTGTGACGTGTCGAGGCGCAACTATGTTCAATGATGTGCTGTCTTCTTAGATGTTTGATTGGTTGGATCAATTTAAAATGTCTACGTGGTCGAGACATGTGCGACGATCCAGTTTCATTGACGAATTGGATTTTGGCACGCTAGAAATCACAAATACACCTGTTCTGCGGTATTTCCACACCCCCTATCTTCACGCCCTGGGGTACCTACCCTCGTAAAAATCTGATTTCAAAGGTAGTTATAAACGAACGCGGGAGTTTCGAAGGTAATAAGACACGACCTCAATGCGAGTTTAACACTCTAACATTATGGCACTGGGAATTTTCCCCGCTCACCCTGATTACAAATTAGAGTTTCGAATGGCCAGAACCTGACGGCTCTTTACTGATAGACCCGTAGTGTCAGGGTGTCCGTCTCATCGATCCTCAAGCCGTATAGGGTGTCTGGCAAAAACGAGGGTAGGGGGTGTGGAAATACCGGAGAACAGGTGTAGCTGCAAGGTTGAAGCAACACCCCCCCCTTCCTTCACTTCTGGGTCGTGTCATGGATTGCATGGAATGATGCCGTATACGTACTGTACCAGGAATGTGTACACTGCCCACACGCATGATTGCTGAGGTGATTCCCTGATCTCCTTTATCAAATAACCTTATGAATCATTTTTAATTAGGATAGTACACTCTGATTCAAACCTAGAGAAATACATCCACGCTGTGTGTGTTTACAATGCAATTGACGATTCCTACTCAGCCTTGAAACTGAGTCAAAAGCGAGAGGCTTCATCCAAGAATCAGGAGCTAGCGGCAGGGGCAGCAGCATCAGTGCCATTGGTGAGGGCAAGAGGGTTGGGCGGCTCATTGAAGATCTGAATGTTCTCGGGGCCTCCGTTGCGGATGGCGACGTAGAAGCTGGCGTACATGTTGACTCGGTCCATGTACTGCTGCTGTGTGATGGAGCGCACTTGCACCACTGCCATTGGAAGGGCAGGGCGTAGGGTAAACATTAGATGATAGCGAGGGAGGGAACCGAGGAAGTCGGGAGAGGATGGGGTTTGGGATGGGGGTTGGGAGGGTGAGGACAGGGGAAAGAGGGGGAAAGTTGTAAGACTGATCGTAAAATGCTGGGGGAAGGAAGAAAGTTATTGGAACTGTTTTTCCACTCCATGATCTTGGTTCAGCCGCCTCATCATCCCACTCAGCTTCCCTCTAAGTCATACTCCGAAAAAGCACCCTCCAGCTCTTACCCTTGAATCCGGCCTTCTCAATGTCCTTGGCATACTCGGGGTTGCGAGACGCGCTGCGCCAGATGACACGACCTCCGGGCTGCAACGGTGGGGAGAAAAACAAGGGGGGGAAGAAGAGGATAGGGACGAAGAGGTAAGGGGGAGTAATGCAGTGCGCCGTTTGACACAGCTTTCAGGCTGCAAGCCTTCATGGAAGGAGGAAGAGTAGAGGTTCAGCAGAGTGAGATGAACTGTGCTACAAGCACCGAATTGCATATCATATGCACTTGAAAGGAACAAGCATGGCGCCACAGAGAGGGTGCTGGGACACGGGTTGATGAACTTGTGCATAGCTCACTGCACTCCCAACCTTAGGCAGTCCTGACAACCATGCTGCCTTGTCTTACCTTGACTTGGTCCTTGAGTGCTTGGCAAAGCGTGTCAATGTCGCGCTGCCCCAGCCAGTCCACGTGGTCCATCAGAATGACCTGGCAGGGAATGGGGGAGGTGAATGAGGAGTGAGGCGAGTGAGGGGTGAGTAGAGGAGGGGTGAGAAGAGGAGGGGCGAGGAGGAGGGAATGAAGACGGGTAAGCAGAGTTGAGGGTTCAGAGATTGAGGTGAAAGCTTACCCTTCACTTTTAACGTATCCATCACAGGGACAAATCAATCTACGCGGAACAAAACAACATTTTACCTTAGTGTACATGCCATGGTCACACATATAATCATGACAATGCGCACACACCTTGGTGTACATGCCATGGTCACACATATAATCATGACAATGCGCACACACCTTGGTGTACATGCCATGGTCACACATATAGTCATAACAATGCGCACTCACCTAGGTGTTCATGCCATGGTCACACATATAATCATAACAATGCGCACTCACCTTGGTGTACATGCCATGGTCACACATATAATCATAACAATGAGCTCTCACCTTGGTGTATATGACATGGTCACACATATAATCATAACAATGCGCACACACTTTGGTGTACATGCCATGGTCACACATATAATCATAACAATGCGCACACACCTTGGTGTACATGCCATGGTCACACATAAAATCATAACAATGCGCACATACCTTGGTGTACATGCGTGCTCGCAGCTCTTCCACAAAGTACGATGTCGAGATGAGCATGCAGTCCCGGGCGGCAAGCTCCGTCTGTCACACAAGAGAGGGGAAGAGGCAGGAATGGAGGAGAAATGGGGGACAAGAACCACAAGGGGGCAAACGTGAGAGATGAAAGATAGAAGAGGGCAGAGAGGCATGAGGAGGGGAAAACTAGGTCCGAGGGTTGGATGCATGCAAGAAGAGGGATGAAGGGCAGTGGGAGGGGAAGCCAGGAGACAGGAGAAAGGCCCTTGTTTAGATTCCCTGAGAGTGAACGAGAAGGAGGAAGGCAAGTGCTGCTCTCTCACCACAAACCCAAGCCTCTCCACATCGTGCCTTTGCCCCTATTACTTCTCTTCAGGCCCTGCCCCCGTACCCACCTTGAGCTTGTTGAAGCAGGGCCCTCTGCAGGAAGCGCGGACAGCAGTTGCACCTGCCTGACTTACCTAGCACGTGAGATTCATCCCAAGCCCTGCGCCCCCCACATAAGGCCCCTAGCCCGTACCCACCTTGAGCTTGCTGAAGCAGGGCTCCTGCAGGAAGCGCGGGCAGCAGTTGCACATGCTTGGCATACCTTAAAGCTCACCCCTTTCAAGGTCAACCCCCAACCCTGCGCCCAGAACTGACCTTGAGCTTGTTGAAGCAGGGCTCCTGCAGGAAGCGCGGGCAGCAGTTGCGCGAGAACTGCCCCGTCAGGCAGCAGCGGTAGAAGTAGTTGCTGTGGGGGGGAGAATGGGGGGAAAGGAGGAGCTATGTATGACACCTTGGTAGTGCACACAGTACCAACCGGCACCATAACTCTCTTTCACACAGGGAAATGGTGTCAGCCGCGGGGTTACGGGAGTGTGCAACATTGCGGTACACCCTGACTTCCTAGCGGATGAGGCGCCGCTGGCCCCAGCCCTCCCCACCCTACCCTCCTGCCCCTTGCACACTATCTGCACTCACAGGCTTACCTATCATGGAGGGACGTAGTTTCAGCCACAGATTCCATGCAGCGCACGACATAGCCGTAGACGTTGTCCTCCTAGATGTTGCAGGGATTTTTTGAGAATTCTAAAAAAATCCCTGCAACATAGCCGTAGACGTTGTCATCCTAGCGGATGAGGCGCAGCTAACCCCTGCTCTCCCCACCCGCACCATTGTGCCCTACATGAGGCTCACCTGTCACGAAGTGAGGTGGTCTCTGCCACGGAGTCAAGGCAGCGCACAACATAGCGGTACACGTTGTCCTCCTTGCGAATAAGGCGCAGCTGGCCCCTGCTCTCCCCACCCCACCCCAACCCTTGTGCCCCTGCGCCCTTGGGCATTACATGAGGCTCACCTGTCACGCAAGGACGTTGTCTCTGCCACGGAATCCAAGCATCGGACCACGTAGCGGTACACGTTGTCCTCCTTGCGAATAAGGCGCAGCTGGCCGCGGGCGATGCCGGCGCAGAACCAGAGCACGACACGGTTGGTGAAGAAGAACCCAAAGATACGCGCAAACATGTTGGCTCGGGTGAGCCACCGACCAATGGTGTTGGTCCTGTGGGTGGGAAGAGATTGGGAAGGGATTGAGGGGATGGATGGGTGGGTGGGGAGGCGAGCATAGAGACGCTGAGGAGAATCCAAAGATGAGAGCAAGCATGTTGGCCCATGTGGGTGTGTGTGAAGTGGGAGGGAATGGAGGGATGGGAGCATCCTGTTGGTCCTGTGGAAGCTGAGAAGTGTTAGCACAGGCCCCTGATGCCGCACATCATGCCACAGACCTGACTGCACTGCACTTCACATCATTGCGCTACTGCACTACACTGAACCACACTGCACTCCTCTGCACCGCATCGCACCGTACTACTGCACTGCACTGCACTGCATTTCACCAGACTCCACTGCAGGGTACTGACCAGATCTCATACTGGGTCTCGACAGAGGGGGCATTGACCAGGTTGTCAATCCACTTCTCCTGTGAGCATGAATTCGCGGACGGACACAGGAGGAAGACGAGAAGGAAGGTCAGGACGGGGAGAAGCAAGGTCAGGGAGGGGAGCAGCAGCAAGGACAGGTGTGCCAGTGCCAAACAACAAAAGGGAAGATTAAAGAAGATCGAAAAGGGAGGGTTAGAGAGAGGGTGGGAAGGAGGTTTGAAAGGAGGGTGGGAAAGAAGGTTGGAAGGAGGGTGGGAACGAAGGTGGGAAGGAGGGTGGGAAGGAAGGTGGGAAGGAAGGTGGGAAGGAGAGGAGGGTGGGAAGGAAAGTGGGAAAGAGGGTGGGAAGGAAGGTGGGAAAGAGGGTGGGAAGGAAGGTGGGAAGGAGGGTGGGAAGGAAGGTGGGTGGGAGGAATTTGGAAAGCTTGACGAGGACTCGTAGGGTATCATGCAAATGCAGCCCATTCATTCATCCACGCTAGCACACACACACACACCATCCATGCAAGCACAGCCCAGTCTTCCACACCAGATTTGCACCAAGTCCAACCACTCCAACACAGAAGCACGCACATTCTGGTGAACTTAACGAGGAATCTCACGGCCGGATGAAACAAGAGGTCCCAATCATTCATCCGCACCAGCACACGCCATCTCATGCAAACATAGCCCAGGCACGCACCCACACCATCCACAACACCGCACAGCACAGCACAGCGGCACGCACCATTCTGGTGAGCTTGGCAAGGACTCGCACGGCACGGATGAGACGACCCATGCCGCCTGCATTGGAGTCAAGGCGTGGACGGACAATACGTATTAGATGTGTAAAACTTGGAAAGGCATGGAAAGGCATGACACTGGTCCATTCGCCCCTGCTCCACAGCTGGCCACACTTGACATCCATCCATCAGTGCATCCTGTCTGCGAGCTATTTGGATTCAGTTCACGCCCCTGCACTGTGACTTGGACAGCGTGCACTGTGACTTGGACAGCGTGCACTGTGACTTGGACAGCGTGCACTGTGACTTGGACAGCGTGCACTGTGACTTGGACAGCGTGCACTGTGACTTGGACAGCGTGCACTGTGACTTGGACAGCGTGCACTGTGACTTGGACAGCGTGCACTGTGACTTGGACAGCGTACACTGTGACTTGGACAGCGCACTGTGACTTCGCCTTGTACATTCGTTACACGCCTGATTGTGCCATACCGTTGTTCACTTTGTGTAAGCCATTGTCCTGGGGACTCACCATGGAAGTAGATGCCGTTGCGGAAGTAATATTTCTTCCACCGCCAGAAGTTGGTGGCGCCCTGGCTCATGAACGGCACGAGCTCCCGCTCAAGCAGCTCGGGGAAGCCTTCGTGAATGCCCTCGCCGAACATCTTCCACACGTCCTCAAAGGGCAGGCGCAGGATGGCCGCTCGCTTGAGCTCCAGCAGGTAGCTCTGAGCCGGGTTGATGTCCACCCCCACCACCTTGCCCGCTCCCTGCACATTGGGAATACCGAGACAGGGAAGAGGGTTGATGGGAGGGACTGCCCTTTGTGGAACCATGATAAAATCGTTACTTCCCTTGCGTCCCCCAATGGCAGGTATGGACCAGCGCTCGCTTCAGGTCCCAGTTGCTCTGGGACGGGTTGATGTCCACCCCCACCACCTAACAGCGATGCCCAGTTGCCAACTCACTTGCCAGCCCAGCTTTCAGCTCAGAGAGGTCAACGACAAACGATCTTAAGCCCTGAACCCTGTAGGCCACAAGGATGAGAGGTAAGCCTCACACATGCGTGCGCACTGATGCTCTGCAGCATGAGATCAACCCACTTGTTACACAAACCATGAGTATGGTTCACACTTTGATGCCAGTTCAGAGCTTCAAAGCATGACCTTAAACCCCGAACCTCCGCGGCATAAAGGCGCGGGGGGGGGGGGGGGGTTGGTTTGACTCGCATGTACGCACATTGTCGTACCTGCAGCACGGTAATTACAGCGCTTCATCGGCGGAGGTGGGGCGAGTGCCAGGGGAGTGAGATGGGATGCACAGAGATGCAGAGGGGTGCAGAGGAGATGGCTTTCCTATCAGCATTTTCCGAGCACAGACTCGTACTTGCAGCACGAGGTCGATCGCGTTGCAGCCGCTGGACGTGAGCGTGAGAATGGTGTCGCTGGGGTTGATGTCCAGCACCTTGTCGTCCTCGCGAGAGTCCACCCCACGTGTTATGAGCCGACTCAAAGCACACGGGGGTGCAGAAGAGTACAGAGTGCTGCACAGGTGTGCAGAGGGGTGCAGAGGGGCCCGTACCTGCAGCACGAGGTCGAGCGCGTTGCAGCCGCCGGACGTGAGCGTGAGGATGGTGTCGCTGGGGTTGATATCCAGCACCTTGTCGTCCTCGCGCGGGTCCTCCCACGACAGCGAGTACAGGAACGTCGGGGGGAAGCCCGGTGGGATCTTGAACTCCAGATCGTCCGCTGCCCGTGCAGGGAAGCGCACCAGATTGACCTCTGCACGGCGGGAGAGAGGAGTCGAGGGGAGCACGAAACGTTAGGGGGGAATCCCGGCGGGACCTTGATCATCAGACACAGGCCAAGCAGGCTGAGAGTTGATTAACACTTGTCCAGGCGAACCAAGTGAGGGAAAAAAAAGCAAGTGTCGTCAAGTTGCGAGCGAGCTGAGCCTTACTCTGGCAGTCTCTGCGGCGTCCGACCCAGATGTAGAAGGGCGCCCTCAGATACGGCACGTAGGGGATATGGCCGCGGCCGTTGTACTCGTACACTGCACGCACGCACGGACACGAGCAGAGCACGTGCAAATATAATCGATTTTAAAAGGGAATGAAGGGAAAATCGGTGGCTGATCACACCACCACATTAAGTCGGTACTGTTGAAGCTTCTCCAATCCCGCAATTCTACAGCAATTTTTCTCGCGGGATCTTCAATATTGATTCTAATTTCCTTCCCTGTGCGCCCAACCTTCCCCCCAAAAAGATGCGTTTACTCCTTCCTTTTTCCAGCAAATTTTCCCATTTACCACCAAGCCCCACTCCCTCAGCACCTTCCAACATGTGTCCATCGGAACAACCATTTCCCATCCAAGCTTTTTCATCTCTCATCCATCGCACAATCCCTCGTCCCCTCACCGATACCCCGCGTGTGTTGCCAAACAATCTCATATCAGGGTTTCAACTTTCTCTAACCATCGCCATCCCTCTTCCTGCTACCATCGCCATCCCCCATGCGCTCACCGGTCTCGAGCTTGTGCTCCAGGTACTGCCGGCGCTCGGGCGAGAGATCAATGCCGTCCAGGTCGAAGCAGGAGCGCCAGAACCAGCGCTGGGCGTACGTGTGCTGGCGGTTGGGCAGGTCGAACTTGGCGGAGGTGAAAAAGTCCGCGACGCCCATGATGCCGTCCTCCTCCATGTAGCCTTCTGCCGCGTCCACCGCGTCCATGAAAGGCGGGATCACTGTACGGATCGTTCAAAACGAAGAAAATGAGAGACAATATATGAAATTTCACTCGATAATGGGAGACATCGGAAGACAGGGAGGGCTGGATGAAGAGAGAACCATGGAAAGCATATGCCAGTGGTGAGCAGACATCGTCTAGTCCGGAACAATGCAAACCACGTACTGGAGAGGGAGTAGGAAAAGGTGACGAGGGTGGCCTTTTCCGGCGGCACGAAGGCGCAGGCGTCGCCCTCAACAATCACGACGTTGGTCCACCCGCGCTGCTTCACCTTCTGCTCCGCCACGCGGCACAGCGACGGTGTGATGTCCACCACGTAGATCTTGTCGAACGCGGACAGATCGATGAACTCCGCCATCATATCCACGTTCTCCGCGGTTCCGCCGCCCAGATCCACCCACACCATGCCGGTTGACCCGCGCAGGCGCGCAGCGCACGCCGCCAGCATTGGCCTACGAGCGTGGAGGAAGTTTTTGCGAAATCTGTCATCTGCAGGGTGTCGGGTAATCATGATCAGAGGAAAGGCATTTACACGTCGTCAGCCAGTCGCCGTGAAGAATCCTTACGCGATTTAAGAAATGTCGTCGCATGAAACGGCCGAATTCTATAGCATTGTCTGAGAATGTAATGTCATGATCTTCCTTGTATGATATGAAGATGGGATGTTACGACTTGACTCATAACTGGATCCGAACCCCAAAGCGACTTACAGGCATGTGCTTGGGGGCTGTAGAAGGACTCGAGGCGATCCTTGTGTGTGGTTCCCTTGATCTTCTTGAACCACATTGACGACAGACACTGCATATCCTGAATCACGCCATACGCCGTACGAAGACCGAGCACCATCTTCGCACAACGCAAGGGCTTGCGCCCCTAAAAAATAGTTTACAATGCCGGCCTGATATGCTAGCCCTGGCTCACAGGTGAATCCAGAGTCGGCAGGTACTGACTCGAGGGATTCTCACAGAAGCAAGCTTGATCAAGGAAAGCTGGATAAAAAGAGCTTCTTCAGCAACATCAATGGCTCAAAACCAGGGTCTCAAGTACTACGAGTGTTTTGCAGTTGCTGTTGAAAGTTGGGCTGTGATTGGTTGGCGAGGTGAAAGGTTTGAAGTGGGGAGAAGCGAGGGGTGCGAAGCGAACGCAAATCGTTGGGTGTATCCGAACCTTCTAGGCTTGGAAACTTGGTTCGGAACCAAACCTAAAATGCCTCCAAATCATCGATAGTCTCAAGTACCCAAAAGTGTTGTGCAATCGCTTCTGGGGCACTGACGGGGTGTGTCGCACGCTGATTTTCCAAACCAACCAGGATGAACTTCGTCTGCAATAACTAGGTAACCTAGCTTCAACTGCAAAGCAGTTGACAGCTCCTTAGCTTACTTGAGACCCTGGCTTTGAGAACTGGATGGATGATCCTCCTGGGAATTGCTCCAGCAATGCGGCAAGAAATACGTGAGGAGGAGAACCCAAGAAAAACATAGCTTGTGGTGGTCCAACCTCAAGGGCTCACTCGCCGACCGATCGTTAATCTAACGGTTGAAAGTCGACGCCACTACAAGATTTTTGGATCTGAACGCTGGTCACGGATTGTTGAGTGGGCGATGATCCCAAGGGTATCTGGCGATGCGCTCCGCCGCCTCGTCAACCACCACGAGTTCAAGCCTTGCTGGAGCAGCAACCCTGTGTGATTGGCTGACGAACCGGAATCTCTTGACATGGCTTTTGGGTGGTCAAAATCGGTTGGGGGTCAAATGTAATTTTGCGAACCAATGTTGCAAGGAAAATATACGCTCAATTATTATGCTCAAGGTGAGAACAAATAATCTTCAACACCAGTAAAAAGTGGGTGATTTATTGCAGGGCGCCAGTTTAGACAGACGCCACTTTTGAGAAACAGCGACGAGCTCATAGGTTGTGAAGATTGGACCACCTTACTGCAAACCGCCTCGTTCGACAAATTTGGACATGTCATCTCCACTTGTCGTCCTTCACTTCCGCTACTTTTGGAGCAACAGGTGTCAGTGCATGAGCTAGCGCTACCATCAAACGCACTAGGATACCCCTCTGCTCCACTCATTGCCTCCGCAACATGAACACCAGGGCATGACTGCACATTCCTGTTCATCTCCACATCCCCCTGACCTCCATCAGATGGCTTTTCGGTCATTCCTACTGCCGTCTCCAACCCTCCGCTTTGCCCATGGCTGTTGCCTCCCTTATTCACCATAAACATTCGACTCGCACCGCTGCGCATATCGACTTCCCTATGCTCCGGACTCCATGAATGCAGCCCACCCACATTGCACCACCCACTATCCGGCGACCGAACAATCATATCCGAAGCCTCAACGGTGCATACCCCCATTTCCAGCCCCCTACTCCTCCTCCCCCGACCCTCGTCTGCTTCGGTGTGACGATCCAGAAAAAAATCAGGCTCGGAACCCACGCGGCGCATTCGCCTGCGATGTGTTTGCCGTGGCACAGGTGTAGGGCTGGGAGGCGGCCAATCATGTTGGTCTGCCTTCAGCTCTAAGTGCAGCTCGCTGTTCACCTGGTCCGCTTTCTGCTCCTGCATACCAATCCCTTTAACGGCAAGTACGTGCGAGGGCAGGTCACATACACAAGCAGTGCATGCCTGCTCCCTCCTGCCATAGCCACCTCGGCTGCTGTTGCTGCTGCTGCTGCTGCTGCTACTGGTCTTGTCCGATGGCAGGAGTTGTTTCGGCGGGCTCCGTGTCGACATTAGCCGTGCTTTCAAGTCCAGAGCTGGCAGCTTCTGCAGTGGAAGCTTCATCGCAGCTTCTGGTTGCACTGGCAATTCTGCCACGAGCTCTTGGTGAGTCGACGGGTGCTGCAATCGGGAAGCTTCTGTGCAGCTTCTGATTTCTCTGGCGATTCCATCACAAGGGAGCGGCATTGCGGGTCATTGTCAAGGCCACAGAAGAGCCGATGCTCCGTGGCAGGCACAAAGTGAGGAGCTCTCCCCTTGGCCCTACCTATGCTTCCGATGGTGTCCGGTGCAGGTCTGCTTGTCACTGACATGGCCCGAGACTCATGCAACGCTGCTCCGTCTCTTGTCATGGCCCCACCATGATGCGAAGCGGAATCATCATGATGAGCGATGGCAGAATCAAGCCGTGCCGTCTCGCACGTTCCTTCGGTTCGGCTGCGCCGCAGCAGCGGAGGCGCTTCAACGGACGGCTCTAGGGCGCTGGGACACGCCGGAACATTCCTTGAAGTCAACGTCGTCGCTGGGTTTTGATTCGAGAATCTGATGTGGCGGGACGATGAGGATGGGCCGCGGCCGGAGTGAAGAATATGCGGCCCCGCCCAATGGCTCCAATCCATGCTCCATCGGTGATGCCTTGGGGGCTTATTCGCCGTCGATCCTGCACCGTTGGATCCTGCCTTGCATCCTCCGTGAACACCGTTGGATCCAGCGTCACATGATGACGCCGTGCTGTTGGTATGGCTTGTCCCAAATGATGGGCTTGCGTGGTGGTCCCACAGGTTCGTGCCATGACTACAAGTCGCTGGTGCGGGATGATCCCAAGGGTTGGCGGGGTGCCGTTTGTGGCGGAATATGGGCGAGACGGGAGCGTGCAACGAGCGCCAGAGGGACCCCACACCCCATCCGCCCGCACTGCTGCTGCTGCTGCTGCTGCTGCTGCTGCCGCTGCTGCTAGTAGTAGTGCTACTGTCACCGTGATAAAACGAAAACGAGCCGCTCGTAACCGTTGTTCCCTCCGCGGTGTAAGGGCTGTACGACCAACGGGAGGTGGCGCTACGTTCCGCCACTCCCGGCGACTGCAGTGGCCTTTCTGTCGAGTCGCTATTGGCGCGCACCATCGGTCGTCCCCCATCAAGCCCGGCAGCGTGCGCGCCCGTGCTGTTCCGCCGGACATCATGAATTTCGCTGCTGCTGCTCCACCGGCTCAGGCTCCGCATTCCACCTCCGCCGCTGCGCGGGCGTGCGTTGGCGGGCGCTGCGCAATGCTTGATTCCGGCTCCGCCTACTAGCGCCGCGCGGCCCATCGTTCGCTCGACCGCGCGGAGGCTTCCGCCCACAAACGCGCCGAGTGCGCCCCTGCTGGTGCCGTCGCACGGAAGATGCGTTGACGATGCGTTAAAATGTTTTTCGCCGGTTGCCATTTCTGCGGGGTTCCCGCGCCGCCCGTGCCGTCCAGCGGCGGCGCTCACGCTACTAGATTCGCCGGGGGGGGCGGTTGTGATTCTCTTCGTCGTCTGCGCCGGTTCGCATGAGAGGAACCCACCACTGCTTCTCAAAATTCCTGGCCCCCAAAACATGCCCACAACTGTAGCAATCTTTCAGGTATCCCACGTGAGCTATGTTTGAACACCATCCATTCATGCAATGAACTAAGCTTCGAAGCTTGGGTTTCGGGGGAGCCACCTTCAGTAAAAGAGTAATAGCGTGTAGGGGTTTAAAGTCAGACCCGTTTCAGTGTTAAGTTCATTCGCCATGCAATTGTTGTAATTCTGTGGTTCATTTCCACCACCATCAAGGCCCGCCAAACCTGTGTGCCAAACCTAGGGTCAGGTCGGGAATGATGTACAGCATCATCACACCGACAAAATTCGCATTCATCGTCTCCAGCGAGTTGCGACGTCAACACACCACCCTCCGCGTCAGGTGCATCTGGTTACACGGCGATTTTGTCCAGCATAGCAGGAACCATCACATGCTATCGAAAACATGTTACAGCGTAGCACGTTCACAGCTTTCGGCACATGACGGAATTCCCTGTGCGCCAATCTTGGTTCTGTGCTTCTGAACTCGGTACTTCGAAACAAGGCAGTCCCAGCCTCTCGAGCACCTATTTCAGCCGAGAAAATTTACTTGCATTCATTCTTTTTTGAAATACTTGGTAGCCATGGCCGTATTCAGAGCAACACCACCACGCATGGCTGGTATGCTTGCGGGAAAGAAGACCCACCATTATGCTTTTCTTGAAAGCGAGAGCGTCGCTATTTCTTTCTTGGTTCTCGCTCGTCCGCCAGCTTTGCTTGCGCGAATTCATTCACTTACTTGCCGATCTAGGTTTAGGATGCCTCAGACACTCGACCGATTTTCAACCTCTCGCGGAGAGCGCAGCATTTTCGCTTGGTCGCGCAAGATGCATCGCTGCGCCTCCGCCCTGTCCTCCTCCTACGCCCACCCACTCGCTTTCTCCGCGTCGACCCGTTCACTTCTCGTTCAGCGAAATCGCCTGGTTATTCACGGACGCGCTGATTCGACCTCGAAGAGTCTTCCTGCCCCTCCCCGCACTTTCTCCGCTCACCTCACGCTTCTCTTTCCCTCGAAGAGCCCTTATGGTCTCGATGCGGCACCACGTCTGTTCGCACCCAGTTCCACTCTCTTCCACCCTTTTCGATTGCCTTCCCTCGATCTTCTCTCGTTTTGTCTCTCCTTCCTTTGCTCCGCCACTTCAAATGGCGCGAAAATAATTAAATAAAGCAATGCTAAGGATGTCTCAAATCAAAGCTCCCCATCTGTTCAACAACTCGTTTGAAGGCTCTCTTGCTGGCCTCTCTACAGTCACTCGTCTCCAACACCCGTGACACCCCCTCACCTCACCGCCCCTCACCTGAATTCTCTCCCTCACCTCCAGCACCTGTGTGACCCTCTTGTATTACTCATTTCTCACTGACCTGTTACCCTCGCCCTACTCAACATCCACTGTCTCCAGCAACTAACCAATCCCCCCCACTCCTCCCATTGGCCCCACTTTCCCTCGGTGCAGCAACCTGGCGAATGAGACGCGGAAAGGAACCATCCCAGGAAATCATATTTGAGGCGCCTCAATAGCTCCTGCCTCCCAAATTCCCCCACTCCCCCAATCACCCCCACTTCTCCTCGGTGCAGCAACCTGGCGAATGAGACGCGAAAAGGAACCATCTCAGGGAAGCAACTGGGGCTCTGAATGGCCTGCAACGCCTGTTTGTGCATGACGGGGGGAAGGGGGGAGAGGGGAGGGAAAGGGGGGGAAAGAGGAGGGGAAGGAGGAGAGGTGCTGTCGGAGGAGCAGCACCAGCACGGCGCGTGGACACGATCCGCAGCAGCCGACACGCGCTGCTGGCCATCCTAAACGACATTCTGGATCTGAGCAAGATCGAGGCGGGCGACTGGAGATGGGCACCGCGTCGAGGACACTGTCAACCTGCTCGCGGTCAGTGCTCGCTCGCTCAGGATCTCTCAACACTCCTATGGTGGCCTTATCGACTCTGTCTCGCAATCCTCGGTAGCTCCCCCATATTCCTCATCGTGCTGCCACCCTCCCATTCCCATCTTTTTATCGCTCTCCGTTCCATCCCCCCCCCTCTCCCCCTCTCCCTCTCTCCCCCTCCACCCCGCATCCCCTCACCCTCCCAGCTGCCCCACCTACCTGGAGAGCAGGTGGCGGCTTTGCCCTGCCAAGTGCGCCAGATCGCCCACAACCTCCTCCTCGCCTCGCTCTGTCCGCCACCTCCCCCCTCCTCCCCCTCCTGCTCCCCCCCTCCTGCCAACCCTGCTTCCTCCGGATACTGCTCACGTATGTGCCATGGGTTGGGATGGCATGGGTGGCATGGGGTGGCATGGGTTGGCATGGGGTGGCATGTGGTGGCATGGGTTGGCATGGGGTGGCATGTGGTGGCATGGCGTGGCGTGATGTGGTGGGGCACAGGTGAGGTGTGTAGGCATGGTAGGTGGCATGGAGCAGGCACATGGGGCATGGCGAGGCACATGGGGCATGGCGAGGCACATGGGGCATGGCGAGGCACATGGGGCATGGCGAGGCGAGGCCTGTAGGAGAATGTCTTAGCAACGTGAAGTCCATGCATGCAGTAGGCAGTGTAATTCAGTGTTTTCACTCCCGCCCAATCACCCTTCTGCTTCTTCCTCCCGCTCTCTCCCCTCATCCCCCACTCTCTTGCCCCTGTCCCCTCGCAACCTGTGTGCGAGACATGGGAGCAGCGTGGACAACACGATGAATCAGAGGCCACGATGCTAGCGCGCATGGGGTATGAGTGCACCATCGCTGCCAACAGCCAGGATGCTATCCGCTGCCTGCATGCACACCTCCAACCTTGTGCTCATAGACTTGCAGGTCAGCGGTGCAATGCGGTGCAGGTGTGTGGGGGGGCATGGACGAGCAGGAGGGAAGGTCTTCTAGGGCTTCCAAGCATGTGTGTTACTCATGCACGCATGCATCTATGCATGGTATCACTGAATATGTGCACACATTTCTGCGTGCATGGCTCAAGGCACGTGCCTTCCACCTCGCGCGCGTACCTCCCCCCAGACCCTTATACAGATGCCAGTGCTAGGCAGCATAACAGTAATGCACCGCGTCGTCATGCGCCGTCTCAGCACGGGATGGCGCCGTCGCGCCTTCCCCTCCCAACCACTTCGCCCTCCTCCCCTCTACAGATGCCAGTTCTGGACGGAATCTTAGCCACGCGGCTCATCGAGGCGCAGTGGCGCCACACCTGCCCATCTTTGTGCTCACAGCCAACGTGTTGGAGACGGACTGAGTGCGCTGCCTGGCAGCGGGCATGGATGGGTTCATGGCCAAGCTATCCACGTTAGATGTGGCAGCTACGGGGGAATCATCGACGGGGGGATGAGGAAGCAGCGGGGGAGGCAGCTACGGGGGGGATGAGGGAGAAGGGGGACAGGTAGCGATAAGGGGGATGTAGCGATGGGGCATATGGAGCAATGGGGGAGCCAACGAGGGGGGGGAATGAGGGAGCAGGGGGGGAGACAGCGAAGGGGGATTTGGGGTAGCAGTGAGTGAGGCAGCGACAGGAATGGGGGAGCAGGGTGGGAGGCAGCGATGGTGGGGATGGGGGAGCAGGGTGGGAGGCAGCGATGGTGGGGATGGGGGAGCAGGGTGGGAGGCAGCGACATGGGGGATGAGGGAGCAGTGGGGGAGGCAGCGACGTGGGGGATGAGGGAGCAGTGGGGGAGGCAGGGGGGATGTGACAGATAAAGCCCAGGTATTAACGTGGGGAGGAGGGAGCAGTAGGGGAGGCGGCGGTGGGGGAGGGGGGTGGGGGGGGAGTGAGGGAGCAGTGGGGGCGGCAGTGATGGGGGAAATGAGGGAGATGAGGAGATGAGGGAGCAGTGGGGGAGGCAGCGACGTGGGAGATGAGGGAGCAGTGGGGGAGGCAGCGACGTGGGGGATGAGGGAGCGGTGGGGGAGGCAGCGACTTGGGGGATGAGGGAGCAGTGGGGGAGGCAGGGGGGATGTGACAGATTAAGCCCAGGTATTAACGTGGGGAGGAGGGAGCAGTAGGAGAGGCAGCGAGGGGGGGGGGTGGGGGGAAGTGAGGGTGGCAGTGATGGGGGAAATGAGGGGGATGAGGAGATGAGGGAGCAGAGGGGGAGGTAGTGCTGGGAGATGTGGAAGCAGAGGGAAAGGCATTGATGGGCACTTTCTATCGCTATGATACAACTCTGCTGCTTGTGGCTCCCCACCTCACCCTGCACTATACTGGGAAGAGCCTGTTATGGCACCAAGCTGATAGGTTGCCCGTGTGGGCAAGCCATAAGGATGGAGATTTCGTATGCTTTATCATGTAGGGCCTGGTTGCTCCTCTGCAACATTGTGTGTTGAGCATGTGACTTTTTGGAAATTTTAATTTTATAGCAATGATGCATTTACAACCTAAAAAGCACATGCAATAAAATGCCATGCTGCTGTTAGACCTGATGTGACAATAAGGAATTCTGCACATAATGAGTGGATGTTCTTATAACGGTTGTTGTTTCATTGTCACAAAATCTTTATTACAGAATTTACAAGTAAAAAGTACTAACTGTTGTGATTCTTACTGTAAAAAATTGTTACACAACCTTATACAGAAACGAGTTACCCCCTGTCACGAATCACCTAAAGGCAAAAAGCAGTGTCCGTAGCGAGATGTGGGTTTCTAAAAACAATGCACGAAGTATGCAGCACCATTCCCACAGCAATGATCAACTTAATGTCACAAGTATGCCCCGTGTGGCATACTTTGAGGTATGTTCAAACACACTTTGATGACACTTTTTTGGGGCAGGATTTTTGTGACGTGTCGCTGGAATGGCTCCTCGCGAAATCGTTCGTTTCGCCGCTTCTCCCGCCCCCGCTCTCGCCGACCATGGTCGCAGTGCCGACGAGCGCCGACGGGCCAAAATCGAGCTCTATCGAGTCGCTGCTCGTGACAATTTCGAGGGCCGGGGGGCGCCGGAAGGGAGGGCGGAGAGAAATCGGTAACGACGCCGCGTTAGGGGGGAGACGGGGCGCGGAATCGGCGGATCGTCGTCCTAAACTCCGCAACAAATGACCTCCTATACCGGCCATTTCCACGACACTCCCAATGTCGAGCTACACACCAATGACTCAGTATCTCGGGAACTATTACTACTACTAAACTCCGCTTGCAGAGGTTACCTTCATGGGCTCTCCGAGGCGGACTACTGTTCAGCCAGAGAAGAAGTAACAGAAACATGGCAAATTCAATAGTGATCCCCCCACACGACGAAGTTCTTTGTGGTGATGATGAGAGGGGCGAGTGCGCCCTGCTATACGTTCAAATCGTGGGGAGTAGTCTTATGTGACGGTAATAATCCTCAAACGTTTGTGACATTAGGTCACGGTTCTGGGCGAAGCTTGGACACCATCAACCAAAATTTTCCCTCAGTGACGTGTAAACACACCCGATCATTGGTCATTACACAAGTTGCGAGAAATCTTGGAGCATGGCAGCCAATCAGATGGTGTCCAGACTTCAGATGGTGTCCAGACTTCAGATGGTGTCCAGACTTCAGAACCGTGATCTTAGTGTGTCACCTAGACGTACTACATGCAAGCTAGGGACCACCAGTCACCACCTGACTCAGGTTTCCCGAAAATCTATGTTACGAAAGGTCTCACAATTGTGAAAATTGGTTCTGAACTGATTAGTGATTCAGTAACGCGTATCTGGTGTGACAAGTTCTGTTCCGCTCACTTCCGTCCAGACTGGCAGAATTCGATTGGGAGAAAAAGAGCCCTGGCCCTAGGCGTCCATCCACCACACGCAGCTTCTGTAGGTTGACGACGACGTGCTATGGGGGGGTGGGTCAATACAACTGTGCAGATAATTGCATGAAATGCAGGTCAAGATAGATCACAGCTGGCAGAAAGCAAGGTTTGCCCATGCTGAGTCACCAGATTGGTGTTGACTATCCCGGTCATCGCCGTCCAAATAGAATGTGTATACAGATTTTGACGCACTAAACCGCTTCCGAACTTTCGTCATCCCTCTGTGTTCTGGTCTATCAAGTCTCGATGACGACCTGCATTGAACCAGCACACTGTTTACCACCAATTTGAATGTGCAACTTCGAGGCCATTGGCTTGTTGGTTGGCTGGGATGAGCGGAAACTAGCGGGATGGGGAAGATGGGGGGATGAGATCCACCACACAATGAGGACGCGGGCACTCGCTTCAATTTTGGCGATGGATTGAAAAACTTCGATCTGCCACCGCACTGGAAACCTGCTATTACATTCTAAAACTTTCCTAACCTGTTTAAAATTCGTAAAAAAACTTTCCTGCCCCGAAATCGATCGCCGAAATCGATGTGAGTGCCCGCGTCTTGAGCTACACGTTGCTGTTGGGGGGAGGATGCTGTCGCGCACGAACGAGCGGAACGCATCCGCAACTAGGTTGCGGGCCTCCGCTCAACTCGAGGCAAGCGAGATGTGGTGGTGAGAAGTGTTTCAGCTTTCTTCCCAAGCGTGATCCCTGGGTTTGGGGGGAGGGAACGAGTGTACAGCTTATGACCATTACAACATTCTACCTATAACCTTGCAATGACAAATTTCCCTAACGTTCGGGTCACAAGATGAGGCATTATTCAGAGCAGTATCGGATGGGACATATATGTCCTATATTCGGGCGATGACGGTAACATGCAAAATATTGCTTACTGGTGTAATCCCATTCAGGGAGAGAACAAGTCATCGTAAACACCAACTGCTCTACCACTAAAAAGCGGATGATTCATTGCAGGGCGCCAGTTCTGACAGGCCCCACTTCCAAAGAAAATTGATGTGCTCATGCATTGTACAGATTGGATTTCCTCCCCTCGAAGCTCCTCGCAAGGCAAGATTGGACTCATCAAGCCGCCATGCCGTCCTCCACTCCCACCACTCTCGGAGGCCAAGCACTTCAAAGAAGAGCTTGTGATACCATCACATGACACCGGATGCCCTGCTGCTTCACTCATCGCCTCCGTGACAAGGAGAACTGGGTCCGATTTCGCGCTCCTGCAGTTCACCTCCACGTGCCCCTGCCCTTCGGCAACTGCCATTGCTGTCAACCCTCTCGTCATACTCATCCCGCCCCGCCTGCCGCCACCATTCACCATGAACATGTGTCGTCCAATGCTACGCATTCTCCCCTCCCTGTGCTTCGGACTCCATGAATGCAGCCCACCCACCTTGCACCACCCACTATCCGGCGACCGAACAATCATGTCTGAAGGCTCCACAATGCCTCCTCCCATTTCCTGCTCCCTGCTCTTCCTCATCCGAACCTCATCTGCATCGATGCACCGATCCACCCAAAAGTTAGGCTCGGAGCCCACCCGGCGCATGCGCCTGCGATGTGTTTGCCGCGGCATGGGTGCTGGACTGGGAGGCTGCCAATCATGTTGGTCTCCCTTGAATTCAGCCTTCAGCTCCAAGGGCGGCTTGAATTCCACCTGCTTTGATTTCTCCTCCTGTCCACTGGTCCCCGGAACGCCAAGTGAGTCATGAGAGGGCATGTCACACTTGGAAGCCGTTGGTGCCTGGAAGGGCAGGTCACACACAGAAGCAGCTGGTGCATCCATCCTGCTGCCTCCTGTCACGGCCACCTCAGCTGCTGCTGCTGCTGCTGCTGCTGGCAGGCGCTGTGGCTGCAGATACTTTGTCGGAAATTGCTGTTTCTGCAAGTCCTGAGCTGGCAGATTCTGCAACGGAAGTTTCTGTGCAGGTTCTGGTTGCGCTGGCATCTCCGTCATGAGCGCTTGGTGAGTCAACGCGGGCTGCAGTCGAGAGAGCGACATGGAGGCGCGGTGAAAGCATTGCAGGTCATTGTCAAGACCGCAGAAGAGCCGATGCTCCGTGGCGGGCAGAAAGAGAGACGCACTCTCCTTGGCCCTAGCCAGGTTCCCAACAGCCCCCGGCGCAAGGGGAATGCACCTTTCCGAGAAGCTTCCGTGTGAAGCACTTCCCCTCACCCTGCGTCTACCAGAGTCCTTGAGCGTCTCAGTGGAGTCATTGTATGCCTCGTTCATTGTCACTGACATGGCCCAGGCCTCATGCGACGCTGCTCGCTCTCTCATAGTTGCAGAATCATCATGAGCGATGGCGTAGTCAAGCCGCGTCTCGCACGCTCCTTCGGTTCGGCTGCGCCGCAGCAGCGGAGGCGCTCCAATGGACGGCTCTAGGGCACTGGGACACGCCGGAACATGCGCTGGAACGTGCATTTCAGGCAACGTTGTTGCTGGGATGTGAT